TGATTATGTTACTAGAGAGCTATTACGTCAGATAGGGATCGAATCTGGGGGATTAATACTTGAATACTCATTTCGTATAATAACAATATAAATTTGTTATTATGAATACAATTTTTCCGCAAACAAATGAGAGCCCATTTTAATTGTTTTTATATAGAGTCTGTTTTTAATCCGGTTTCGGTTTATTCGATAACGGGAACCTATAGTGCCCGTTATTTTACATATTATAAACTTTTGCTTGGAGAAGAAAGTTTTCCCAAGTGAGTGGAAGCAGTCTATCGTGGTACCAATACCCAAAATTAAAGAACCTAAGAAATTCAAAGACTTGCGTCCTATAAGTCTTCTTCCATTTTTTTCTAAAGTTTTGGAAAAGGCTATTGCTCAACAGTTGAGAAACCACCTTCACAACAACAATGTACTTCCAATTATGCAATCTGGTTTCAGACCAAACTATAGCTGTGCTACAGCTTTATTGAACATATTAGATGATATCGTCGCAGCATCGGATAGAGACGAAATCACTGTTCTACTATTGATCGACTTTAGCAAAGCTTTTGATACATTGAATCATCAACTACTTCGATCTATATTACATTATAATGAACTTTGTCAAAGCACTTTGAAATTTTTCGATTCATATCTTTCACATAGACAACAAATTGTTAGAGTGGAGAACCACATGTCAGATTTCAAATATACTTCTTCAGGTGTCCCACAGGGTTCAATCCTTGGACCTATCCTCTACACCTCCCATTTGACAACCTGTTTGAAACAACTCAAATATCATATGTATGCCGATGATACACAGTTGTATTATTCTTTTACTCCTGACTCTGTACAGCAAAGCGAAAATGTCATTAATGACGATTTGAATCAATTCGTTAATGTATCGAAGAAACATGCCCTGGAAGTTAATAATTCCAAATGCTCTATGATTGTATTTGGAAGGAAAGTCGCAAGGTCGAAACTTAGAGATCTGATCATAAAAATTGATGACACTGTTTTACCGGTTGTAAATCAGGTTAAGAAATCTACGAGTTTGTATCGATGATGAACTCAAATTCAAAAAACATACTTCAACATTGATTCAAAAAGCATTTGGGAAAATGAAAGTATTACACCCTCATAGGCATGTCTTGAGCCTAAAAACCAAATACCTCATTTGTGATTCGTTGATATTATCTATTTTCAATCATTATGACGTAGTGTATCATTATTTTCTAATTAAAAATGAACAACAACGAATTCAAAGAGTTCAAAACTCTTGTTTGAGATTTTCATACGGTATCAAGAAAAGAGAACCGATTTCTCATACACTCAAAAAAACTAGGTGGCTGAAAATGTACGATAGGCGGACTCTTCATTCTTCGACATTATTTCATAAAGTTATTGTCAATAGAACACCTCCCTACCTCTATAACAAAATAACTTATCGAACTGATGTTCATAATGTGAACATCAGGCGCAAAATGATCCATGTTGTTAGACACTCCATAGAACTATTCAAAAGGTCATTTACATATACGATAGCTGAATTATATAACCACCTACCACCTTCCTTTCGGTCGAAATCTGTTTCCAGTTTCAGGTACTGCCTGAGAAAACACCTTCTGAAATATCAATAATACCCGAATATATTCTATGACACATTGGCTCTTGTAGGCCATAGCTAAAATATTTGTAGTATCCTTATGTTTGTATCGATATCCGCCTCATGAATTAAATGTTGTACCCGCTATCACAATTCCAATTTTATTTTAGGTCCTTTGTTATATCTTTTTTTTGTTTTTCATCTTTTTCATTTTTTTTTTGTAATGTGCAAGAGGAAAAATGAATTCTGTTCAATCTTGTATCCTATTGTCAAATTTGTATTTTGTTTTTCTCCATATTGTATCATGTTATTTCAGCTGTCAATAAATTCATCTATTATTATTATTATTATTCTTAGGTACGTGTTAAATATTTCTTATTCTAACGAGTTTTCTAGTTTGAGTTTATTTAGAAACGCCAAAGCAACGATTATATACTTGAATATAGAGTTTATGATAAAAATGTTTTTTCTCAATGTCACTTTCAATGTGTGAAATATAATTGTACCAAGGTAGCTCTTCCAACCAAAGAAGTGTTCGAAAGTTTGGTGTGGCTACCGAAGACTGGCAAATTGCTCAAGAAGCAGAGCTATAAGTGAAACAAGAAAGCAAGCATCACTTCATTCATTATTTTCTTTTCGTGAAATACGAGTGTTGTTATCTACGTGTGTATCATATCTTCTCATAGCACATACTTACTCCATTTATAGACCAGTTCGTTCATTGTCTCATCGTCTTTGATCACGTCTACCATAGTTATAGACGAAACAACAAAACATTAAAATTTGCAGCCCAATGCAGGTCAATGTAATGGGCATTGTATAGATATTTTCTGACCTGGAAAATATATATACATTGCAGATTATTCATCACAGGATTTTCTGCCAGATGATGAAAATGGTGATAAAAAACCGTCAAAATGACAAATTATATTTTCATGAGGGTGGCAGAAGAAAAGAGGTTGAATTTTAGTCTGGTCAAAATGTGGTGTTACCAGGGTTACTATACTAGGGGTTGCGAAATGTCATTTTCTATCGACATTTGTGGCTGCATAATGCGGGCACTGCCATGTGATTGATCCAATTCATTATCCATTTATACTGAATCGTTGTGAAAAATAAACAATATGTACAATGATTGATAAATGTGAGCCCTAGTTGGAGTTTTCAATATTATTTATACAGCAAGAAATTCATCAGTTATCGAAGTATTAAAAGGAAGATGATTGTACTTATCGAGTTTCCAGTCCATGGTGAAGAAGGTAAATGTGGCAGAATCATATATACCATCGCCTGGGGACAGGACATTGCCCACATCAAAATATGTGCCAGGGATCATTTTCATAAAATAAAAAGAAGTGTATATTTTTGTTCTGACATGAACAAAGAAAAAGTTATTATATTCAGTAGAAAACTATTAATACACATATAAATTTGCTCATTTTATTCAACACATTCTTGCAATGGAGACAGGAAATGTAAATACAAAGTAAATTCATACAGGTCCACCTTCAGGACGTCTACAGACATGAAACGTCACTTTTTAAGTTGTGCCTTTTCCATTCTGGATATGAGATATATAAATGTCTAGTATAATGTAATCAGAAGATGATAAATTTCCTTGTAAGACAAATTTTATATACTACAATGCTTAGCGTGAATGATAAGTATTTCAATTACATAACGAATATTTGGAATGAAAACTTAATAGGAAAAAGTTATTATCTTATTCAATAGGTTTTGGAAGAAGTTGAAAGTTTTTTTTCAGTTTGCTTCCGAAAGAAATTATTTGTGAAGAGTTTATTTTGAATTTGATTACTTAAGGGGTGCCCAATTATCGGAATTGTGGCAAAAAAGTATCCACTGCTGTCTCAAAATATCATCACAGGGAAATCTGTGAAAACTTGAAGGGAGGCTCCACAATGTTTGATAAATTATTGAAACCATTATTCACACAGCATTTATGTTATGCATTAATGAAACAATACAACTATTAATAAGCTCGATACTATAAAAAGAATAAACTAACTGTGAAACTCTTACTACCGATAAAAATGTTCAAAGAAACTTTGGGAAAATTCATAAACTAAGCTCACAAAGTAATCTTTATCTCTTAAATTCAAACTCAATATCAGTAACATCAAAATTGCTGTCAATATGTCACTGATGACAACATTATTCCCCTTTTTTTCAGATACCCCGTAGTCTAAAGTTGACTCCATATCACAAACCCCCCTATATAGTAACCCTCGGTGTTACAAAAAAATCATATTAGGAAACTTTTTTTTCTTGGTGTCATCGGCTACATTGGTCATTAGCCTCGTGTCCTGGGTAGGCAATGTTAATAACTCCCTGAGCCACCTAGGGACCATCATGGTTATTCGTAGTCCGTCAGACATGTAACGTTGCATAATCATCCCAACTTCAACTAGATAAATTCTCTCGACAGAAATATCTGGTCGAGGTTGGAATCGAACTCACGACCTTCCAGACGTGAGTCGGGGAATTTTTTTTAATGTGATGTCAAAAAAATAGAGAACATCTGTCAGAAAAAAGAGATGCCTACTCAAGGAATTTGACAACTTTGTCATTTGTTAAATATTTATTCAAATGAGTTTGTTTATAAAGAGAAAATGTTGTATGATTTCAATATTCAAATGAATTCCTTCCTATATATTAAGTAGTGAATTGAGTCATAAATCTCTCAAAATGTTTGACAGCTAGAGGTTCGTCATGAAGATGAGATTTGTCATCGTTTATATACATTCTGCAAATCCATTTATGTGACTCTCAAGGTATGCGAATGTCTCAAGAATTGTTCATCAACCGGGCACACAAACTATGTCTAATCTGACAATATTCTGAACTCTGAGAGGCAGTAGCAAAAAACTCTTTAATATCTCCACAGATAAGGTTAGGAACCATGGTTGTTAGGTTTTTCAGTGAGATGAAATAGGTTGATCAAATACACAATCACACACATGTCAAGACTCAAGATGGATTACATCAAAACACAGCACCAAGAATCACAAGGTTCCAAACAGTGTTTATATAGGCAATATCACAATTCATAACAAAAATTCTAATAATGTGTGTGGACACTACCCAGTCGAGACCCAAACTCTCCCAGTGTTTTCCAGAGATTTAGTAGAAATGGACAAATCAGGCAGATCTCAAGTCAAAATAGGTATTATATTCAATGGATATATTTTATGAAATTTTAATTTCTGTGTAATTTCCGCTACTACATTCCATGTTGTTTTATTTTTATTGACCTGTCTGGGTAATTTTTTGCATGTGAAGTTCTACCTCTTAAATATTAGTGGGAAATTGTTTTTAAAGTTATAACATGTCTGAAAAATACATTTAAACATCAATAATAGATAATAACAGGAAGATTGGTAACACTCACTTGTAAAAGTCATTATCTGAAACCATATCTCTAATACTATCTTCTGGGTCAACAGGAGTTTTTCGTCTGTGAGGTTTTGGCAATAATACTTCTTCATCGTCCAAGAAGTCTTCTTTAGTTGGAGTAGAGTAAGGAGTTATATCCAGCAGATTTTCTGAACGTCCGTGGTGAATTTCTTCGGGAACAGGAATATCCATAGAATTCTGAAGAACTAGTTCATCACTTTTGCTAGATGCTAACTCATTATATAGTTCACTTTTAGATGCACGATACGTGTCCAGAAATGATCGAGGAAAAGTGTCTCCCCGAGAAAATATTAGTTCAGTCATGTTTCCACTTTTTCATATTTTTTGGACTTATTTCACCATTGTCTAATATTCACAAGAAGTAAACTGTCACACATAAAAATGAAGCCAGTTATGTTCAAAATGAAACACTGTTAATTAATCAATCACGCAAAACCGATTTAAAATCATATCTAAAAATATAAATGAAATTATTTCTACTCAGTCAGAGCATTCATTTACATGTTACATACTTCCACCTGCGTACTTCAAACTGATAGCTTAAAACCATCAAAACAAATAGAAGCTGTCGAAAGTAACATGGAACATTAGGTCATCAATAAAGCAGTAAGTTCATTGTAACCAACCTAAATATTTTAATGAAGTAACAGAACATAAAAGTGTCTCTGTTAAGGGTAGTGCAAAAGGAGCAAAGTGCTGCTCAGGTAGAGGAAGAACGTAATGATTTTTTTAAAGTCAGTTGATTTTCAATTCCAGAAATTGAAAATGTCTCATTTCTTGCATTGAGGAATTAGAGGAAATGCATTCGAACATCGGTGTCAATCACATGTCAGGTTGTCCTTGCTCACAATGGAGTACGCGTTTTCCTTATGTGAAAACTTTGAATTTCTAGGATATTTTTCCAATTTTGTTTACACGGTTTTTAATAACTTAACCAGAAATGTAGTTTATTGATAGACCGAAAATCTCAGTAGTTCCTGAAGTCTAATCAGGTATATTTAAAACACGTTTTCCTAAAAACTGGTGAAGCAAACGACAATATATTAACTAATGCTTTTGTTATAGCGAATTTAGGACCACCAGAGGCTACATTTTTGATACTTCTGTAACATATCCGTAATATCCGTCCGATCGAATGAAGTTCTGTTGAAATGTGAAACTGGCTTAACAGTTCTGGCAGATCACAACCGGAGAACTGTCAAATCATGTCGATTATGACAGACAGATTTACAAAGGAAAGAAGGTGTTTATTTTCATGTTTTCAAACAAAAAATTGAATTACCTATTCCTTTAATGTTAACAAATTACTTCTTGGTTCTAGCAGTCGATTTTACCGTATAATGAAAAAATAAAATTATATGAAGAGGAATATTTGGAAATAGATCTTATTTATCTTTATTGATAATGAGTAAAAACCTGCAGTCCGCAACAAAACTCACGGAATTTGCACCTCTGCAGGCCGAAGACCCAAAACCTCAGAGCGTTGGGCAATTTTTATCCAGTTTTTTTAAGAAAAAAAACATTCCAGAAGAAAATGTGAATGAAAATAAGGAAATCCTTGTCCCAGAATCTCTCCCCAACTGGGCAGTTGACTCGACAGTAGAAGCAAAAAATATAGACAATGATGCTGTTTCTAATGTCTTTGCAGTTGACGTAAATGAAGGCCGAAGTTTACCAAACGTAGTAAAAAGAATAAGCAATCTATTAGCTCTGAAGAGTAGTGTTAGTTGCTACACTTTTTCGAAGATTATTACAAGTATAATGAATGTCTTTTCAGAATCTACAAGACTATGGAGACACCGAATTGAAACAGTACTGGATGCCAGATTCAGTCAGTAAAGAGTGTTACGAATGCTCTGAAAAATTCACAACATTCCGTAGGAGACACCACTGCAGAGTTTGTGGCCAGATATTTTGTTCTCAATGCTGCAGTGAGCAAATACCTGGAAAGATATTTGGCTGTACAGGTTGGTTTCATTGTACAAGGGGTCAATTTGGAATATTCCCACGATTGTCATCTTTGTTTTAAAAAGAAAAATTAGGATACACCTCAATTTTGTTCTGGAGTATGCTACTTCAAACGAGTATTTGGTGTATTTGTGAGGGCATTTTCTTTTAGTTTGTATCTAAAGGTCTACATAACTTTGTAAAATGTTTATTTTGAACTTAATTGCTTTCTTCCTTCCTTCGGAAGTTTCCCACCTTTCTTTCCCAAATAACTAATCTCTCCCAAAAATATAACCCTTTCGATTCAAACTAGATTCCTATGGCTGGGATTAAATCAAATAAGTCTATGAATGTATTTACTTACTGTCATTGTGACATGAGTAGATTGAACTCTTCCTTGATGATTCTGATCTTTGGTTTTATCCATTTGATTTGTTTGTCGTTTCACTTTTTCAAAAATATATCAGTTTGTAAAATAAAATCAAAGACTAAACTTTTATGATTAAAATAGAATCCACATATCAACCACCTAATAAGTTATGTGTTTTAAAGGTGTGTTGTGCTTTCAATGGTGTACCCAGTTTTCATTTTGAAAAATTAACCATTATGGTGGTGTAATTTGCCTCAAACATAAAATTTGTGAAGTTCACCTGTTAAGAAATAATGGCAATGTTCTGTTACCAATCCTTATTAGGATTTATGCATTTGTACAATAGGTAACATAAAGTTTAACCTAATCTTGGACCTTGCCCTTCAACAATTATGAATGAGTTTCATTATTTGAAAACTATTGCAAGTAACAACAAAAATTGTAATCCAAAAAGTTTTACTTTTAATGAACTGTTTAATCCACATCAAATAACATTGAGAGCAAATAATTTTTGGCACTAGTCAGAAAAATGAAGAGAATTGCTAGCTAATCTGAAATAACGTCATTCTCGACAAAACCAAGCTTATGTGTTCATGTGCATCTTCGATTTCTATATACATAAAAAAAATTAGAATTCTATTCCAGTTGCAATGGAAGTTAATTTGATGTTTTCATACTTCCAGAAATACTTTACCCATTGTTGAGTATTAAAAAGAAATTATATTGAAATATAATGTTTAATTGCAGGTGATTTGAGGGTCTGTACTTACTGTTGCAAAGTTGTTTTATCCTACTTGCAGTCATCGGATTTTACCACAGATTTGTCTGCAGATTTAAGAGTTCTGCAAGAAAATTTGCAGTCAAAATTCGGTAAAGATGATTCTCCTAACCTTATGGATGATAACACTCTGAGTATTTCAAATTCCAATACATCGGAAGAGAACACATTGAAGAGAAAAATTTCAGTTGGTTACCAAGAAGAAAAGTTTGCATCTGGAGGGTAAATTAATTAAAAAATCTCATCTTTTTCTGCCCTGATATTAAATCTGAAGTGATATCAGATCTACTTTTGGAAATATCCTTCAAAAGTCAAAAAATTGATAAGATATTCATATCTCATTAAACATTTTTTTAATACTTATTCAAATTCCGTAAATTGAAAATACTTAATTTTACTTTGAGAGACTTGTTTCTTGACCCCTTTGGGATCTTGCTGAAAACTTCCTATTATCGAAGTGTCAGTTATTTTGACCAAAAACCATTTCTTGTAAAGAGTTTCATTTAGTTTTTTGCAGATACATGTGACTGATTCATACACTAAACTTTTTCTCTCTTCAACTTCAATAATACGGATTAAAATCTGTCAAACTATGTTATTCAAACAAAGCTGTTATACTCTGTAGATATATATTTAATGTATTTTGATTCAAGAAAGAAGTTGAGTTATTTATATATTGGTACCACCTACAGCTGCCGGACTGAGTCGTGGCCAGTGAGTGCAGTAAATGTGTATCATCATATATATCTACAAGAACCCAAATAGCATTTTAATATCCATTTATTGTTTACTCCTTAATCTGTACTACATAAAATTGCAAACAAAAGTTTCTATTCCTATTCTATATCATACACTTCACAGATAATAGCAGAATGCCAATAACAACAAAAAACTGGGTTGAATTCTAAATGAAATCGATGACATTGCCCATTAACACATGCACATTTTTTTACTTCAAGCAATACTTTAAAGAAAACCTGCTCACCCAGAGAACTGTCTTTGAAGTAAATGTAAAAATGGCGTGTATGAACGCTCCTTTTAATTTACATTGTGGCAATGTAAAAGATGAAGTAAAAGAAATGTTTGATTATGAATCAGTCAATACTGTTTTGTGGGCCAAACCTTACTTATTCATCCAACACTGTTCTTGAAAATTTCATTTCAGACTGAGACTATTAATACTTTGAGAATAAGCTATTGCAGAATAGATTGTTAATACTGATTTAGGCAACACTTCTTGAAAAAAATCACTCTATATAAATATCAATGGATTCTGTCTCATCTGGTGAAGAACTTGATTGATGAATATTTTCACTTCAGATTTAGTTATTAATTTTATTGCATACTGTTGCAAGTGTCCAGTGGCTGTTAAATGATGTCGTTATCAAAATTTTCAAAAGAAAATAAGTCACATGTTCGGATAAATCATCAGCAAATAGAACATATGAAAAACTGTTCTATTCATAAAATCTATGAAGAATTTTTTTCCAGACCGTCACTTATAGCTAACAAAAATTTTAGTGACATTATTGTGAGATATCATAGGAAGTAAGCAATAATAAAGTTTCTGGTGATTTAAAAGTATTGTAATCTTTGGTATTGAAAGAAGTTTTTACTGCAAAAAGAAAACCTATGAAAAAAATCAATTGTTTGACATTTTTAAAAAAAATTGACTTCAGATTCTTATGAGTCGACAATAAAAATACATAAACTATTGGAAAAACAATTTTATATTTCATAGCATGGAAAATATATGCCCAGCGTGATATATTTTATAAATTTATATTTTATTTTCAGGGCAAATGTTACATATTTGTCATCCGAAGAAAAATGTAGGGCCCTACAAAATTCGTCATCTCTCAGGAGTCTTTTCGAAGAATTATGCAAACCTTCTACAGGTGTTCCATTTGAAACTCATAGATATCGGCTGAAAACTTACACCCAGTGTTTCCTTGGGTCCGAATTGGTTGATTGGTTAATTTTTCAGCAGAAAGCTAAAAACAGGTAATATAACCATCTTCGCATTTTTATGGTATGGGGATTACATCTAGCTCTTACTGTGAATATGGAGGAATTGAAACTATCAACCATATTTTCTTAGCGTTCTTCCTGGAAACGATATGTATGAAAAAATTATAAGTAATATCGGAAAATAAAATACCTCTCCCTATTCACAAATCTACTTTGACAAACGACTCTGATTAATGAAAGCAAAAAATATATAATTACTTACCCTATGAAATTAGAAATGAGAATATGTATTACAAATTCAGAAAAATAATGAAAGAAGCTCTAATCAGAAAAGCATTCTATAATCTCGAGGAATTTTACAGTGAAACTCTGCTATAACCTTGATATTTCCAAAGAAGTGCTACTTGAAAAGTGCAACATACAAACCCTCGAGAAAAGAAGAGTGCATACTTAATATACTTGTACAAGATGATACATGGTAAAGTGAATGATCCTTGTCTTCTATCAAAAATCAATTTCAATGTACCTGCTTATGAAAGTAAATCGTTTCGCACATTTTATATTGAATCGGCAAGAACAAATTATTATCAAAATGGCCCCATTAAATGATATGTGCAATGCCTATAATAATGTTCAAAATGACTGTGATATCTTCTTCCAAAATCTTACTAGTTTTTGAAATTGTATGTTTTATGTAGGTTGTATGAAATTGTATAATTCTTGTTGAATATTTTTTTTATAACTTTTTTGTCATTTTGTTATATGTACAAATCTATTTGTTATATATACCTTTCCTACTCTGTAACTGGGCCCTGATCTGTAGAGTTTGTAAACAATTAAATAAATGAAATAAATAAATAAAATTTAGATATTATTTTATTCTCAGTATGTATTATTTATATTTTATCTGCTATTTTAATTAATTTTTATGTTATTTTTCGTAATACTCACTCATTTTATCTATATTTGACATATGATTATATTTTAACTGATTAGTATAGGATTGTTCTACTTTTGTAAATATTTTGTATATTTTAAAAAAGCACTCTTTAACAATTTTTTTTCTAACATGCTTCGTCAGTAAGAACTTGATTTCTTGGACAATAAAGTACATATCTCTCTCTCTTTCAGGCATTACATCTCCTTTAGATATGTTTATAATACTCAGAAATTTAAACTTATCAGTCATAGAAACAATAATATATTTTATGAAATTTAACAAATTCAAATTGTAGAAGGGAGGCGATATCTTCTTCTGTCTCCCACCCTCAACTCCCTCCCTTTTTTGGACTGTTTTTCCTTTCCTAAGTCCTGCCTTTTGCACAAAAAAAGAGTGCTAGCAAAGAAACCAATAAGCAATAAATTGTTATATACTTGCAAACACGAAAACTTTGAGGAATTAACAGCAGAAAATGAGTAATGCTACATATAGGGTGCGGTATTGTCAAACTGTACCCCCCCCGACAAAGCTTCTATTATGTTATGTAATAACTAAGAAAGCAGCGACCATACAAATAGAAGAAGAAAAAAAAGAAAACAATTTAGTAACTCAGTATCACTGATATTTCAGGATTCAAGCTTCAGCAATATGTCAGGCTCTTCTAGAAGGTGGTTTCATTGAGAGTTTTTCGGACCCGCAGACTTTTGTCGATGGCTACTCTTTTTATAGCAAAGGAGTTGCTTCTTCGCCTGAGTTACCTAGGTCTAACTTAAATTTTGATGTTCCATTCCATGAGGAACCACATTGGGTTCAACAAATACCTCAGGAATCAAGTACTACAGGTGTGTTTGAATAATAATATTTGACTTATTACTTATTACTGGAATTGTTTCAGAAGATTGTGCGTATTTGTTATTTGGGCTTACATTGTGAGGTCATTAGAGTGTTCCTCAATCCCAAACAAAAAAATCTGTAGAAAAATTCAACTTTTGATGAACTCATATTGAAGTCATGAAATTGATATCACCTTTAAAAAAAATTGATTTTGAAAGTAACATCTTTCATCTTTTTGTAGTGCTACAACTTTTATTAAAAAGTTTTTTCTGTAAGCTAAGGTTTTGGCTTTCTACTTATCCATTTTTATACAAGGAAAGGAAGGAAACAATCAATTCAATTGTTACACATCGTTTAGAATTACTCATTAAGTGAAATATTTACTCATAATTTCACGTCTTCTTAAATGTAGATGTGAAAATATATTTTTTTTTATTTGAACCTTCATTCATTATTTCCGAATCGGGTGGAAATTTATGAGATTTTGTGTATCTACACAGTATTCCATTTGTTTCATTGCAAAAAATGTTGAATTGAGTTTCTTGCAAACACCATCAATATAAATTTTCTAATGCACTCAGTCAATCGGCCGATGTGTGAGTCGATGGTTCAAGCCGCAGGCTGAACGCTCGATTTTTACTTGCTATCATCCAACCGATGTTAGAAATCACACGTTAAGAAGTAAGACCCCGTTAGTCCTTAGCTCGCACAAGTTTCGACTTCTGAGGGTTGTCGTTGGTAGGGGTACGATAGCTGGTTAACGGAAAAAACATATTTTAAACATTTTCAAACATATCTAGTAAGTTACCTAGAAATGTTATGTCATGTGACATCATTATTTCGTCAATTTGATCAGCATCCTCTAGGACGTTTTTTCTTTTTGATTAATATAGATTCAGAAATAAGAAGTATTCAATAATAAGCATTTACGCCATTACATAAATCCGTCAATACTCTCTTTGGCCCTTGTTGGTACATCTTCTAATGTGGCACCATCTGTTAATATAGTTATATGATTATTATTGGATTTTTATCCCAACACCAAATCGTTATTTTTAACACCTCGACACGTGTTTCGATCACCAAGTGATCATCTTCAAAGAGGAAGATTAAATATATGTTGGGAAAAAACTCCAGTAATATTCATTACTACACCAAAGGTTCCAAACAGTGCATCATAGTTATATGATAATTGTCAACGTGTTCTAATTGTTAACCAAATCCAAAGAGATAAGGTCTTGGTACTGATCCTCGAAGAATTTTAGGTTCAAATATAATATTATTTCTTCTGTATCTTTACTAATGAATTGACTTGAAAAATCTTGTAGACTCCGATAATGAACAGATGTCTCCTATGAATATGACACAAGGAAATATCACTTCTTCTTCTTCGTACATGTTGGATCTCAACTTAGAAGCCAACACTGTATATTTATCGAGGCCTCCGGATATTGACTTCAAGTCACCTGATGTTAGTGAATACGAACAGCAAGATAACGAAGAAACTAATATCGTGAGGCCTTCAGAACAGCTGGAAGTTGCTCCAGAATCTGGTAAGTGAGTAAATGAATAATTCTTTCATTGAGTAAAAACTAAATCTATGTTTCCGGGGGTGGTTCATGATTTTTTTTTCACTCCAATATTCAACTTCAAATATTCAGTGCTTTTTCTATTAAATCTTTGACCTAATCAACAAACTTGAGAATGAATTTTGCTGTTTTTTCATTCGTTGGGTATGTTTTCACCTGTAATTTATAAGTTTTTTTTGTTAGGTTGGTTCAATGCCTCAAATTTGAGAGAAGAAAATCGTGAAAAACTGGCTTACAGTTTACTAACTGAAACATTCGAACAGCATGAACTAAGTTTTCTGAGACAGTTGTTATCTTTGAAGGGTTTGCCAAGTTCTTGGGTTGAAGTCATCATACCGCTAATTCATGAAATAATAGCAATTATTAGACCAGGTAATAACGTTTTACAGAAAATATTTGTGTGTTCAATTCAGGTATTATTTTTTCAGATAAAAATCATGACGCTGTTGACCTCGACATAAGGCATTACGTTCAGTTCAAAATAATATCCGGTGGTCCGAGAACTGACACCGTTTTAATTGGGGGTATAGTTTGCAGTAAAAATGTAGCTCATAAAGCCATGTCGACAGATATAGAGAATCCAAGGATATTGTTGCTACAATGTTCGATTGTTTATCAAAGAACCGAAGGAAGACTGATGTCTTTAGAGCCTGTGCTGATGCAAGTAGGTAATACTTGAGTTAACTTTTAAGCTACTCAAATTCGCAAACGAAAAAGTCAAAACATAGTCCGAACTAAGGTTTTATTACTTCAACAAGTCAGCAAAGTGTTTACTAGTATTTGTAGATCATTAATTATACCAGAGCAGCTTGGGTTCACAAATGGTAGATCTACAGTATCCAACCAAATTTATTACCAGCACTACATAACAAAAACACTTGAGAGATCCGCACAGGTTGATGTTATCTATACAGACTTTTCTAAAGCCTTCGATCGGGTCTCTCATAATTTATTGATTAAAAAACTATATGCCATTGGGTTAGGTGGTAGGATGTTGGATTGGATAAGCAGTTATTTGATAGGTCGTTTTCAATCAGTGAGGTTGAATGGTATAATATCTCAGAAAATGCATTCCAAGTAAATAAACTCAAGACTTTATTCTCAACATATTGATTGAAGCAATTTGTAACTGAACCAACACGTATCACATTAGAATCTGAAACGATTAATTGATTATGTTATATCAAATCAAAATGATATTATAACCAACGTTCACTTATCCCCCAATATCACAGATCATATGGTAATATTAGTCAACTTCCTATTAAAGCCATTGAAACAAAACAATATTACAAAAAAATATAGAAATGTTTGTGAGGGTAATCTTGATAAAATAAAAACTAATTTGATTTCATGCGAATGGGCATCAAGTTCAGTGATCCTGATTTATGGAAACAGAGCTATACACGTCCCATTTTCAAAAGTGGCTCGAAAGAGGATATATCCAACTATCAAGGAATATGTGTACAATCAGCTATTCCCAAACTTTTGGATGGATTAGTCGGCAAAGTGTTAACTAATATTTGTAGATCATTAATTATACCAGAGCAGCATGGGTTCACAAATGGTAGATCTACATTATCCAACCTAATTTATTACCAGCACTACATAACAAAAACACTTGAGAGATCTGCACAGGTTGATGTTATCTATACAGACTTCTCTAAAGCCTTCGATCGGGTCTCTAATGATTTATTGATTAAAAAACTATATGCCATTGGGTTAGGTGGTAGGATGTTGGATTTGATAAGCAGTTATTTGATAGGTCGTTTTCAATCAGTGAGGTTGAATGGTATAATCTCTGAACCTTATGCAGTAAAATCAGGAGTACCTCAGGGATCCCATTGTGGTCCCTTGCTGTTTTGCCTTTTCATCAATGACATTAAGACTAAAATTCAGTATTCTGATTTTCTCCTTTTCGCTGATGATCTGAAGATCTTCAGAGTAATGAAAAATATGTATGATGCTAATCTTCTCCAAATAGATCTCAATAATATAGCAGAATGGTATTATGCAAATTGTCTTTATCTTAATAATAAGAAATGTTTTTCAATGGTGTTTAGTAGATCACAAATTCGATCAGCAATTCGATTTGATTACCAATTAGAAGATAATATGTTAGATAAAAAACAAGAATGTGAAGATTTGGGAATATTATTAGACAACAAGCTTTGTTTTAATAACCATGTGAACAATGTCTCCCAAAGAGTTCTCAAAATGCTTGGTTTTATTGCGAGGTCATCAACAAATTTTTCCCCTTCTACTATAAAAGTTTTATACTGCTCTTTAGTCAGATCCATTGTTGAATGCAATACCTTAATTTGGAATCCATACTATGAAAAGTATATCCATCAAATAGAAAATGTACAAAGAAAATTTCTGAAAATCATAGCATACAAACTAGGTCTAGTTGTTGGTGAATATAACTTCAATGAAGTAATGAACTTGATGAGTCTACCTAGTCTAAGTGATCGCAGGATTATGATATCGTTGGTTTATCTCTTCAAAATAATCTCTGGCATAAAAACATTTTTGAGTGTTTTCTAATTAATGATTTATTCAATTTTTTGTTTCAGGAACACGAATATTTGAGACACGTTGCTGCCAGAATAGTTGCGCTCCAACCAAACGTGGTGCTAGTCCAAAAAAATGTTTCCAGATTAGCTCAAGACATGTTGAGGCTGCACAATATCACCCTCGTTCATAACGTTAAGCAGAGCGTTCTGGAAAGGTTGTCGAGATGTACTCAGGCGGATTTAGTTTCTGCCGTTGACGCTCATATAGGCCGGCCGAAATTGGGGACTTGCAAGAGGTTTTATCTGAAGAGTTTCGATATTGAAAAAGGTTGGTGAAATTTTTATTTCACCACCAATATGAATTTTCAGAAGAGTTTCAAAACAGTATGGCGAATTGACAACAATTGCTTTAGATTTTGTTAAATTTTTGGAGTTTAGATGTTTTTTCGAAACGGTAATTTGAACTGATGATGATACTTCTTTGCAACTTTATTTGAAACAGTATTTTTGGTGATATCGGAATGAAATCTTGTCAAGATTTTATTCATTATTGTAGTATCATATTTGGTGAAAAATGAGAAATAAAACTTTCTATGTTTTTTTACCACAACTACCACAGCTACCACAGATTCGTTCTATAAGGACATTTTCAAACAATTACAATAAACTGAAAATTAATCATAATGTTAGCCCTTATATATCTACTGTAGGTAATAATAGAGGTCCTTAACTTAATTAAGTACCTGAAATGTGTTTACTTGTGACAATGTGGATACGCTAATTTGAAAACTAATGGGTGAACGTGATCAATTTGATCATTCAGCAGATTACATCTGCTAGTGTCATGGTGATGAACATTTTTATTCATTTTGAAATGTGATTTGTTTTTGAATATGTAAATGCATATTTCAAATATATAAACTGATATAAGTGTCAAGATGTGATAATTTTTGAAAATTTGTCTGCAAGATTCTCTCCTTGAGACATTTGCAATAGACAGTATAATGCGTTTTTGATCAATGAATACATTATGAGTCATGGATGACCCACCCCAGAAGCAGACACCATACCTCAGTCTTGAATCAACTTGAGCATAATAAAGGCTCATTAGTTGAGTAGTAGTTAAAACTGTCCGAAAATTCATAAATAGAAATTTTATTGAGTTAAGCTTAGAAATTAGATGTTGGCAATGAGCATTCCAGTTCAAGTTTTCGTCAAGAAGAATACCCAGGAATTAAATACTTTTATTCGATTTTGAGTATGTCGCATTATCAGCACTGAAACTGAAATTGAAAAAATCTGATATTTGTTCAACTGCAGAAGCACATTTGTCTTTCAATATTTCGTCATCTGGTGCTGAGATGATTATAGAAATGTTGTCAGCGTAAGCTGTATAATGAACTTCAAAAACAACAGAGTCATAAATTAAAATATAGAATTTTATAGATTGTTAATCGATTAAAATTATTTTCTTAAACAGAGTCTATATTGTTTACATATTGTGTTTGCATGCAATCATCTTATAACAAATGGATTTTAATGTAGACCTATGGTCTGCACAAAATATTCCAAATGAGAATAATTTCTTTTCTTGAAATAGCATTACGAAGCTTTTAGTTCATGAAATCTACACATACTCGTTCTTTTTTTTGTGATGAACGTGAAAACATTATTCAAAGTTCACTACTTTTGTGCTCGGGATGGCATTTTCCTTGCCTTCCCTTGGCTCTCACAAATCTCTGGAAAACTTCTGAGGGTTGCTCTTGCGGGTGGGCTGATTTTCACTTGTTCATTAAATTATTCCATTTCACTAAAGTTCACTGAAATAGAAGGAACATTTTCATGTATGGTCACTATTTCTGTTTGTATACCCGGTGGCCCAATGAAATATCCCATTTATCAACATTTTGACTGTGATTATCTTTGCTTATGTTTTTTAAATTTATTATGGAAACGGTAGGAGCGCTAATATTACAGAACAGTTGGCCAAAATCCAGATAAGCGTGTTGACCATTACAGTTCATAGTTGAACTCATTGAGACAGAAACGGTGAAGAATAAATAATGAACGCTCAGCAAATGATAAAGTGGGAAACGAAGCTATAGATTTTGGTGTTTTAGACCAGGTCAGTATTGATCCTATGGTAAATATTGGACGATAAATTGATGGATATAGCCGTTACTACGTGGTAGGAGATCATAATGAAAAAATGAAAATTTCTATGTTTTTTACCACTTTTATTTGTAACTAACGTTACTGCAGTTTCGTCCTATACGTCCTAAACTATATTGTATAAGTTTGAGAATGTCCGTATAGGACGAAACTGCAGTAACGTGAGTTACAAATAAAAGTGGTAAAAAACATAGAAGTTTTCATTTTTCACAAATATTGGACGATTGTCTATGGCTTCAAACAAGCGTACAAAGGATTTTAAAATCCCATCAATTTAACTCATATTAATTACTAAATGTAAATGACTTTGGCAGACGATAATGAATATTCAGAATTCATTGTCCAATATCCGTTTTCCAATATCTGAAGGAGTTGCCTGATACTTGATGAAAACCTATAAGAACTTTAGTGTTAGTGAAAACCTGTTTTTCAGGCGATTTATTTCTCTCAAGGTTTTTTCCTGTTGTGTATATTGTGGAAATTGTAAAGTTATTTTCATAGATAGTGTTATTAATTTTTATTGAGTAACGGGTCAGTATATTCACAATTATATTTTAGTATTTATGTAAAACCAAATCTATTATGATCTCAATAAGTTATATCCTGTTGTATATTAGGCTTGTCTATTCAAATCAACTCGCTGATTTTTTTTATTTAATTACTATTATCTCCTCAACTCCATATCTCTAATTTAATTTAATTTAATTCAATCATTCATATATTCACTAAGATAGGATTTTAAAAAACAAACAACTATAATCACACTTTCTTTTCAGGTGGGTTGAAAACTCTGATGTTTTTTGAAGGCCTCCCGTTACCACATTTAGGTGGTACAGTGCTGCTAAGGGGAGCATCAAAGCCTGAACTAGCCCAATTGAAAAAAGTGTCTTCATTATTATTATTTACGGCGTACAACTGGAGGCTGGAGAAATCATTTTTGATGGACGAGTTTGCCATGCCTCCCAATACCAAGTTTGAGTTCTTCGAAGAAAGCAGAGAAAACTCTCCAGAATGTCCAGAACCGAAAGTTGCATTCACTGAGTTCCAAGAAACTGTTTCCATTCCAGTTGATACAAATGAAAAAGTGGAAAAAGTCATCCCAAAAAGAATATCGAGGGATGAACAGTCTAATGGGGGCAAGAAAATCACAGCAGAAGCTATTGAAGATTTCACAGATCCCTTACATTCGTATGACACTGATTTACATTCTGAAAAAAATGCAGCGAATTCTGAAACTTTCACTGTGGCTCTGTTACCATTTTCTAACAATTTCAGGAAGCATTTAGATGATATTATACTGTGCATATCTCCTTACATAGTTTTCCCAGTTCCTTATTTAGAGACAGAACAAGGAAAAAAATGTAAACTGAGAATGTTTTTTCCAAGAGATATATATTCCAGTGAACAGTTTGAGAATGGTAGAAAAAACAAAAGGAAAGAGTTGGAAAGTTTTGCTTGTAAACATAACAAATCTAATAATATGGTAAGTAGTTAGTTCTTGAAATTTTTTGAACTTCTCTATATGTTTTTTAATTTTAGGTCAAACCTCCTCATCCGTTTTTGCTTGCCCAAATAACTTCTAGCGTGGACAATCCAAATATTCAAAATATGCTTGCTAACTTTAGGGCTTGTGGCGGCAGGTATGAGAAGAAAGAGAATATTTGTCTGAAAATCGAATCGAAAACTGTCGAGAAGGCAGAGCCTGAAGTTATTGTCAAAGATGCGCTAGATCCGCATAATCACCAAAGATTAGCAGTACTATTTTGTAGTTATAGTTCTGAATCCAACAATGCTCCAGCATTTTGTGTCAACCCTTGGTAAGTGGCAAATCGTAATAGTACTTATAGAAAAACTGGTTGAAGACATTCCATAAAATCTCAATTTTGTAAGAATATACAATACAATTATACATTATACAATAGTGAAAATATACAATATTGTACAGCACATTGAACGTGTATGGCTGACCTCTAGATAAAAGTTTTTGCTCCTAGTTTTCAGTTTAATTCAGTGGCTAAAACTCAAAAACAATATAGTTGAGAATTATACTAGATTATACAGATTGAATCCTACATTCTGTATTAATGTGTAGGTGAAAAAACTTTGTAGATTTTAGATGCAAATTACCTAAAACATAATAAGTGCATGTGAAATAAAATATTCTAGCAGTGAGAAAAAATGTGTGCTAGATAAAAATGCCAGTTGAAAACTACAACAAACACGTATACGTGATAGGCTAGAGAGGTGTAAACTCTATGTTTCCTTTTCTCTATCACTGAACTCATCTTAGAGCCTAAAAATACTTAGATTGAGCTAGATTTTTAAAATAAGTGGTGATTCATCGCATATCAAAACCTACAAATGAAATGAACTATTTCAATCCTGAAAATGTAAATTCAAATCTACCAGCATCAATATCGATGGTTTCTTCTCTTGCAGGGTAGTATATATGGATTTTTATGGTCGAAATGACATACCCCTAGGTTGCTTCTTAGAGCGATACTGTTTTCGCTCTACATACACATGCCCTTCTAAATTGTGCGACACCCCAATGGTTAGGCATATAAGACGGTTCGTACACAACACCGGCTGTGTTAGTATATGTCTGAACTACTTTGAAAACGAATTTTCCGAAGAGCACATCGTCATGTGGTCTTGGTGCACCAAGTGCCAAAGAGTTTCTCCTGTCGTTCCATTATCTGCTGATAGTTGGTCATACTCTTTCGCAAAATATCTAGAACTAAAGTTCCATGGGGATACGTTCAGTAGGAGGGGGCAGTCAGCCTGCGACCACAGCTTGCACCACGAACACTATCAATATTTTGGATACAAGAACTATGTGGCATCATTCAAGTGAGTAACTTTGAAAATTAGAAACGAACACTAGTTAGTTGAATAAATTTGTCGTTACCATATTTTTCAGATTTTCTCCCATTAGTATTTGGGAAATCTCGTTGCCGCCATCTCTGATTGAGGTTAAATATGATGTGAATAACCTTCAAACTCAGCTTATAGACGAAATTCGTATCATGGCTCAAAAAGGGCATGAGATATTCTCATTAATATTGGACAAATTGATGGTGCTGCCCGGAGAAGAAACGGATGCCGTCAGCAACATGAAACTGGCATTGACTAGAGAACATGTGCAGTTCAAGCAGAAAGTGGAAGAAGTTCAGTTGAAGCTCACTTCACCAACCATAGAAAATAAGGAATTTGACGAGAAAGGTAAAATGAAATTAGTTTTGAAATAAAACAAGAATATTTATTATTTAACGCTGCTTTCTAGTCAATCTTGACTAACATCTGCCACAAAAGTCCCATCAGACTGATTTGACTTTTTTTATTTTTTCAGAACTTCATGTAGCTTATTATAAAATAGGAGATGCTCTCACAAGGATAAAGAGATCCATTGTTGAAAGTGTAGATTCTTGGAATGTACAGTTGAGTGAATATACACGTAAGAAAGATGGGGATAAAAAGAGAGAAAAACTTCCTCCTATAGATTCTGACAGTAATAGTACCGATGAAGTTCTACAAGAATCTCTAGATTGTGGTCTGACAAGCAGCTTGGAAGAAAAAGAATCTAGTAATGCAATAACAAAGAGAATCAAAAGCTTGGATAACAGTGATAGTGAGTATAACTGAGTTTATAATATCACTGCTGAAATATTGAATTTCAGCCGAATCATTGGCCCCATCATCACCTAAGAGTCATCACAGGTCCCAATCTGATGGTACCATAATTTCTCAAAGCGATGATTCCACAGACGGTAAAAAAGATAGTGATAAAAATAAGGTGAAGAATATTTTATCCCATTTACTCACGCCATCAACAAACACATATTCGATCAGCGTAAGATCACTTAATGATACCAGTCAAGAATATGCTATTGAACCTTCGAAATTTTCAGTGTCCCTTCAGCAATCAAGAACACTACTTGCTACCTGAATCAACCATTCCTATAGTCGTATTAGAAAGCGAACCGAGTTCGGTAGTTGCCTATACTCTCTGTTCGAATGACTACAAGAAGGCATTTGATGAATTGACTAATAAAAAAACTCAAACTGATCAGGCCCCGAGTCCTATAACCAAGAGACGAAGCAACAGTACGGATAAAGAAAAAAATGACGATGACAAATCTTCGAGTTTACTGGGATTCTTGAGAAACAAGGAATCGAAGTCTGACTTGTTTGGACAACCTGCAACAAGTACATCTGTGGATGTAGGGTATGTATCTACTTGTTTATGGAGGCAAAAATCTTAACATCAGTTGAAGCCATCATTAATACATTGAAAAAAAAGTTATTGATTGAATAGTAGTACTTTTAGGAGACATCATTCTTCAATAAATTACTACAGAAATTCATGTCTTGAACAATATCAACAAATGCAAAACCACTCATTGAAGTATCAGTGTTAGAACTAAATTTTCTGTGTGGACTAATATTGCTGGATCTATCTACAGGTTTAGAGGCTCAACTCATATGTGGTTCAATAATTATTTAAATAAAAGAATGCAGTATGTATGTATGGGATATGAAGGAGGTTTATTAATAAGTCGAACAAGTGGCGTTCCACAAGGTTCAATTCTGGGACCTGTTTTATTCCTCATTTATATCAATTTAATTTCTGATTTGAGCTTGGGTGGAGAAATTAAACTGTTTGCAGATGACACAACCCAAGTTTATTCAGAAAAAAGTAATGAGGAATAACTTCAAAGCATTGATAAAGCTCTAAAAATGATTAGTCACAAATTAGCAATATGTAAAGCAAAATCATCGTTTACGTTCATAACAATATTATTTGTTATCAGTACCTCTGATAGTTATTTCGGGAGTTTATCATTGAAGGATAGAAACATACTTATTGAAAATCAGGAGCAGTATATATCTTATAAACCGTATTGGTTGAAAAAAGATATATAGACAGGTTTGGCTCTCATTCAACTTACTACAATACTCGCCAAAATAACGATATTAGACTCCCTCTTCCTTCTACAACTCTAACTAAAGACTCATTTATTCACAATGGCTGTAAAATATATAATCACTTACCTGGTGAAATCTAGAAAATAGTATCCATTTTCGAATTAAAAAAATCAGTGAAGAATCTTTTGGTAGAAGAAACCTATCACAATTTGGAAAACACTTTGAGGATTCCTTGTGATATTATAGTCTATACGAAGTCAATCTGAATAGCTAAATAAAAGACTAATGTACCGAGTCCGATAAATTAATTAGTTAATACCATATAAAACCTCCCACATAAAAATAATGATTAGACCTCGTATGAATTACCACGCCGCCCATGCCATACAAAGAAACTACCGACGTTCGGTAACTATTTAATTTTTATGCCATTCCAATTGAATTTGTATATACTATACACATTCTATTTATCTTTCCATATTGTTATTATGATTTTTCAACAGTGTAAGACTTATACAATTATTATAATAATTATTTTTATTCGTACTTTTTTTACTTGACATTGTGTACTTTACTTTCATGCACAATAAAGTATATTATAATCAAAATTTTTCCCAAAATTGAATTACTCTTTGATTTGCATTGTATGTTATTCAAACTGAAAATTAAAAAGTTCAAAGAACTCAAATATTTTTACAGTACTGAACAATCGCCAAACCCTGTGGAAAAAAATGACGATGCAAAGAAGGCCAGAAACGCTCACATAGAAGTGCAGTTTCAGGATTCGAATAGCAACTTCTTTTGCAGGGTATACTTAGCAGAGAAATTCGCGGCTCTTCGCGCTTCCGTTCTACCAATAGGAGAGGAGGGATACATACGATCATTATCAAGATCTATACAGTGGAATGCGAGAGGCGGAAAATCTGGCTCTAACTTTGCCAAAACTGCAGGTTAGTTTGTGTTATTCGTTTAGAATAATTAGCTTGTGTTGGAACTTCATCAGACTTGCTGTTTTCTCACAATCACCTCTGAAAAAAAAAATTCAAAAGCAGTGCCAAGAATCGCACAGTATAAGGTAAGACCTCGTTAACCTTTAGGTTTGTCCTTCGTAGGGGGATGACAGCTGGTTAACGGAATAAATAGATTTTCACAGTTGAATGAGTTGAGTTCATTTAATAATTAAGTGAAGTCATCTTTCATGATACCACAGGTTTTTAGTTTGTTGATACTCGCTTCAATAATATAGAACCTATTTCACCTATAACGTTAGTGGGGTAGCAGGAGTGAAATATGTTTTTATACTTTGAAGGAATTTTTCCTTTAAATGATATTTATTTCAATTCAAAATTATGAACTTCTCTTCCCCTTTTCTTTTTTTGAACTTGTTATGTATTTATGTTGACACTTTGTACACTGTGATACTGACTTTGTACACAATTTTATTGTATGAGTGGAAATAAGGTATTCGATGGTAAAAACTGTCAAATAATGAATGTATTTGATAGGGCATTGAATTTGGAATAGTTTTTATCAATTGATCTTTTTTTGTAAAGTAATTTCAAGCCCAAAATTCAGATGATTTTCAAATTGATACAGAATGTTCTCAATACAAATTCATCATATTTTCTGAGGAAAACTTTTGTAAAATGCGCCATTACATAATGTGGAAATTCAAACTATTTTTTCATGAAATTCTAGGATTACCTTACTGCATAAATCATAACCAGTAATGAATGAAGATAAATTGGTTGAGGCTTTCGCGGCTGAGATTTTCAGTGTTACTACCTTCATTCGGGTTTGAAGACGTAGTTGAGAACTGCATCCTGACGTTTCGCCAGCACAAGTGGCTGGTTTCTTCAGAGATTTTTTCATCTTGATGATTCACCAATGACTGGTGATTTCTAGTTCGTAAGTTGTATTTATGTGGACTCAGGTAGTCCCCCTCGCTTGTTGATGTGTTGCTATTGGTCGAAGTGTTATTACCCATATTGTTCCTGTTGTATATTAACGATTTGATGAACATAAGTGTATCAGGAACATTCACTCTCTTCGCTGATGACACCATTATATTGTGGTATAGCAAAAGGTATAGATATACTCAATGAGACAATAGCTCATGATATACAAAAAATCAAGTCTTGGTGTGATTCCAATCTACTCTCCCGTAATATTTCTAAAACAAATATTATGACTTTCAAAGTTCACTTCAGAATTTATCTGTAGCGAGCGGTATCATTGAGAACAGAGAGTGTACTAAATTTCTGGGACTGTATATAGACGGTGGACTGAAATTTGATGCTCACATCAGAAAAATGAAAAGTAAAATTTCCACCAGCTGTTATGCAGTGAGAGTTATTGCTAGAGAATTGGGAGTTTATACTGCGAAAACACCATATCACGCTTTGGTAGAGTCTCACTTAAGGTACAGTATACCTTTTTGGGGTGTGTGTAGCCTTAATTTGCTGGAGTCTGTATTTGTAATACAGAAGAGAGCTATATGATACTTCTGCAAAGCTAAACCTCGTGACTCATGACTCGTGAATATTGATACCAATCAATATTACAGTTTGATGACTTCTATACCGATCATTTTTAACTTAGCATGTTTCATGTGTATGTATGTTTCAACCATTATTTGTGGTTTTTTATTCAGTGTTTTTATACTTTAGTTTACATTATATTTTATCTATATTTTTATATTCATAGGACATTCATGTATTCTTTTATATTTATTCACTAACTTTGTCAACAAGATTTTTTCTTCGGACAATAAAGTATATATAATAATCGGTCGGTAGCCAAGCGGTTCGGCGTGGGTGCTTTGTTCACTCACTCGAATCGACAGCCGTGTTGGTCGGTGGTTCAAGCCCTAGTCTGAACGATCGATCTTCACTTGCTATCGTCCAACCCGTTTTAGGAATCACACGTTAAAAGGTAAGACCTCGTTAATCCTTAGCTCGCACAAGTTTCGACTTTTGAGGGTTGTCGTTCGTAGGGGTGCGACAGCTGGTTAACGGAAAACCAGATTTTTAAACAGACAGATTTTAAACAGAATAATGACGTATCTATTCCCGCCGTACCTATTAGCGGGTTGTTATTGGTTACGGTATTAATACTTGACTTATTAATCGTCTCTAACAGAAGTAACATTGCACTGCACATTGTCACTTTAGCATCTTTGAGTATGGGATTCCAGATCCGGTGAAGCGTTACCGCCTCCTCTTTTCTGTTGTAGTTCTCCGTATGTTAATGGATTTCTATGGCTTCCCGTACAAGCCGACTGTGGTATCCATGGTCGGGGGCAAGTAGTTTCACATCTTCAAAGAGTATCGTGTATCATCGGTGAATCATCAAGATGAATAAATCTCTGAAGAAGCCAACCAGTCGTGCTCGCGAAACGTTAGGATGTAACACTGAATGAACGAAGAATCAGCCAGGCCTTGGTTCAATGGAACATGAAGTACCAAATGTTTTGTCTGCTACTGCGACAAACTAATCAATGAATTTAAAACAGATATCCGGCGTACAGTACTATAAAAATGATCTGTCTCATGGACCGTGTTGGCATACGAGACAATTTGTATTCAGGTCAGTAGGACCGTTTTTTTTGTTGGAAAGCTCTCGTCTCAGTTCCATGAACCAGAAAGGTAAAAAATGTGTTAACATAAGATGATTAATTCTGAAATCAATGCCACATATTATCTAGGAATTTGCAATGTATATAAAATGTTCAAACGGATTTCATCACAAAGTCAGCCTATATTTCCACAGTCTTGAGATGATTTAAAAAATGTATTAGCTACTTGGTTTTATTTGATTGTTGTTTTATAAAATGTGGTTGATTGTTAATCTCAATTTTTTTACCCATATTTTTCAGATGACAGATTTATTTTGAAGGATATGTCCAAATCAGAGGTTCAGCTGTTCTTAGAGTCAGCCTCGAATTATTTTGTTTATATGAACAAATGCCACAGTACCAAGCAACCAACGCTCTTGGGTAAAATTGTCGGTATATACCAAATAGTATTCAGAAACAATTCCAATGTTCCTTATAGAAGCAATATACTGGTCATGGAAAACTTGTTCTACAACAGGAAAGTTTCGCAAAAATTCGACTTGAAGGGGTCAATGCGAAACAGGCTAGTCGTACCAGATAATCAGGAAGGAGAAATCGTTTTGTTAGACGAGAATCTGCTGAAGAGTTAGTTCAGCTAGGTTTTATGAAGTAATTGTTTTGTTAAATATGATTATTTTCAGTGACGTGCGATTCTCCTTTGTATATTTTGCCACATTCCAAGTCAGTTTTGATAGCTGCCATTCAAAATGATACTGAGTTCCTTTCTACGCAATCAGTAATGGATTATTCTTTACTTGTTGGACTGGATTCCGAAAATAAGGAATTAGTACTAGGAATTATAGGTAAGAAATAAATTAGAATATCTTGTATTTAATTTGTGTTATTTGCCAAAAATATTTGATTTGTATTATTTTGAAGGCTATTTCATATATGTTTTTATGACTTTGTGGATGAGATAAAAATCTGATGAAGTATATTTTTATTGATTGATGTAATATCGAGAATCAGAGGCAGAGGGAAGAATATAAAAACTATATGAAAACAAGACTGGTCCAAAAATGTGTCAAATCTTGAATTTTAAAACCTGGAAAAAGTAATGTAATGGCTTATTTTAAATTTATGATAAATAAAAAGGCAACACTCTGAGATCAACAACCTGTACAAAGTTTTTAGGAACAATGATTGATTCCCTTTTCACATGGCGAGAACTCATAGAGTTTACATCTGAGAAAACTGAACCAAGCATATTACCTAATAAAATCACAAACAAGTAAACTAGATACCAAATCTCTACTAACGGTATACTATGCAAAATTTCATTTCATAGTATGTTGCAACATTGCTGTCTGGGGATTAGTCACTGAAATTGGCTGAATATTCGTAAAGCAATGTTGAAGTTAATTTTCAACTTTGATTTCAGAACGTCATGTAGAGGAATATTTCAAGGTAATAAAATATTTACTATGGCAAACATATTCATCTTAAAACTTTTCACATATATTCATGAGAATATAAGACACCTTGACCTATGATCGGAAGTACATAATTATAATACTAGGAAAAACATCTCATGGAACATTCACCAGTTAGCAAGATCAGTGGTATTGTTTCCTGTGTAAAAAATATAAATACTGGTGGCCCCAAGGGCAGTGTTCTAGGATCCCTTTCACTCATTCTTTATCTAAATGGTATTGGCTTTATTGAACACTGCCAGTTGAATAATATTTTCGTTGATGACAGTCAATAAGGAAAACCTTCACATTGCAATTCAAAAATTGAAAATATTTCTGAATTGCAATTAACCCAAATTGGAGATTTTCAGAACTATGGTAAACTTGATAACTTCGGAATATACATATGAACATATATATTATTATTAATAACATAAATATCTCTACATATAATGAAATAATAGAAATAGTTAAAGAGTACAAATATATTCACTATAAACTTGCAAAAGAATATTTTCCTTCTAGAAAATTTGCCCTCAGTTATCTTTTTCAACTTCACTTTCAGTCTATAGAACAATTATCGAGCTACACTTCGTTTACTGTGCAAGTCTACTTTCACTACTGGAACTTGGTAGCATCAAGTTTTACAATGCAAAATCGAGTCATTCGCGTTAAAATCAAGATTGCACTACTTTTCAATTAATTTCGTTTGAAAAATAATGATATGAGAATTTCCTTGTTAATTAAGACATTTCATTACAATAATGTATAACACGATTAACACAATTGCAGAAATACTGAACTTCATGTGATTTCTACAACTAGAGGAAAACTATGAATTCTTTGTTTAATTAATAATTACCTTCAAATATTAGGCATTGTGTAATTATACATTCATTTAAATTAAAGCCACCTCACTGTTCTGTATACGCGGGTTCTAATTTGACTGGTTCCTTTTTTTTTAATTTTATAAATTCTTTTATGATCTTCCTTTTGGTGATCGAAACACCTGTTGAGCTTTTAAAAATAACGGTTTGGTGTTGGGATATAACTCCAGTAATATTCATTACTACACCAAAGATTCCAAACAGTACATCACAAGTTCATAAATTGTTTTCTTATTATTTTACGAGATCCGGCTATTAAATAACGAAACTAGTTACAAAAAAGGGTTTCTACATTTTAAAAAATTCTACATTTGGATGCTCCCCTTCAATATACCCCCCACGCCACACACATCTTTCCATACGTTTTTTCCATTGATCGAAGCAGTGCTGGAAGTCTTCTTTGGTGAAGGCCTTCAGGAGCTCTTCCGTTTTTTTGCTTTACCGCTTCCATCAAGTCAAATCGAGTCACTTTCAAAGCAGATTTTTATCTTCGGGAAAAAAAATCGCACGGTGCCAAATCTGGCGAGTACGATGCGTATTCGAGAACTGGAGTGTGTTTATCAGCCAAATACCATTTCACATATAGCATGTTATGGGCAGGTGTGTTGTCCTGGTGCAAAATCCACGAGTTGTTCTTCCACTACTCGGGCCGTTTCTTACGAACTCGTTCTCACAGTGTTGCCAAAACTGACAAATAGTAAGTCTGGTTGACAGTCTGACCCTCTGGAACCCATTCAGTCATCACGATATCGTTAATGTAAAAAAAAAACGATCAACATTGCCTTATATTTTGATTTGGACATCCCTGCTCTCTCGGCCCTCACTGAAGCGCTTACACCACTCAAAAACGCGACACGAAATAGAGAATTGTCCTCATAGGCCTCTTGCAATAATTTATAGCACTCAGTCGGGGTTTTTTTCAATTTGAAATTGATACATTGCTCCTGTTTTTCATCACATGGTTTTCGGCACGAGAAAAAAATTTCAAACCGCTACTGCACAAATACTATAATAGTTACAAAAACGTGTTTTGGTACGTAAATAGAGAAGATTTCCAGATACCTAGTATTTCCCGTGAATCTGTTCAAATGTTTTCAATCTCCTGTATAAACATGTATGATTCTTGGGATTATTAAAGTTATTATTATAATATGATATTTTTATTATTATAGATTATATCAGAACGTTTACATGGGACAAGAGATTGGAAACCATGGTGAAGAAAAGCGGAATTTTAGGTGGGCAAGGAAAACTTCCAACAATCGTATCTCCGGAAGAATACCAAAAAAGATTCATAGAAGCAATGCACAGGTATTTTCTGGAAGTACCAGATCATTGGGCTGGATTGGGAAAAGGGTTAGATTTTTAATTTTTTTGTTGTTTGTTTTATGTATAGTGTTATTTATTGATTTGTTTCATATTTATATATTATTTATAAAATATATATACCAAATGGTTGAAATAATTTCATTTTACCTGCTATAAAGCTTCATTTATATGATAAATAATTTTGCAACATCAGAAAGTTATTCAAGATATTCCAAGTAAGAAGTATGTCTTGTTGGTCAAGTACTCAAAAGCATCAGGATGTATTTGATTGATGAAAATACGATTTGATCTCCACAAACTGTACATAATAATATGTGTAGTACGAAGTATGTAATTCACTATGAAAAAGCTACTGTGTGATGTGATATTTTTTTAAAATAAAATGTTTAAAATGTTTTTTCCGTTAACCAGCTGTCGTACCCCTACGAACAACAACCCTCAGAAGTCGAAACTTGTTCGACCTAAGGACTAACGAGGTCTTACCTTTTAACGTGCGATTCCTAAAAATAAAGTTAGTGGAGATCAGATCATAAGGTGTAGTTTATGAAATTACTATGGATCTTCATCAAGTAACGGCCGAATCAATCAGAAAATTTTAATATGTGCATGTGTGTGTATATACCACTGTCACGTTTCTACTACATAACCAGAAACACATGTCAACTGGTGAGTGCTGACCATAATTGCTTGAGTGAGGCCCTATAAATGAAGTCATGGTTCTCCTGAGGCTTCTAATTGCAATATCAAACGTAACTGTTACAATGAATCTGGAGAATTAATTATTCCATTCATCAATTTATATATGTCTTCAAGTAACCACAGCTCACAAAAACTGTAACACTTGTTTCACTATACAATAGCTTCCTCGGGCATGTTCATACTATGTACTCTAACCTACATTGTATACATATCATCACTCTTCTTATATTCCTTCTGAAATCATCTAGAAGACTCATACCAAATTAAGAAGTTACAAGACGAAGTTTTCTCAAAGCGTAAAAAAATACAAGACGAGAATAATTTTTATAGAAGAGCATCGATTGACAGATAAGTGAGAAAAAACTAATAATTGGAAGACTTACACTCATGTAACAGAAAATTCAATAACATCTGCTCGTTAGTCTTTTTAATTTGTATTAATTTCAATATGGCTTGCAGTTTTGAATTTATGGACCAAAATGAATAAAAAACTCAAAAACTACTGATAATCTTTAATTAAGTATCAAATTATAAGTACTCTAATAACATTGGTAAATATCACTTGGTAAATATTTCAAAACGTATTTTTGGTCCTACCTTGTTATATAAAAAGACAATAACTATACATATTCACAAATGTAATAATTACAATAAAATATTCATCGCACAGGAATGTCTTCAATAATACTGCCAAAGACCTCCTACCAGTTTGGCACAAAAAATTGGAGATCCTTATTTTCGATGTTTAGTAGTTTGTATATTGAGGCATAAACTTTTAATTCAAAGTTGATGCATATTGAGCTCCAGATCACTACAGCAAAGAAGTTACATGATGGGTATTCAAAGGTTAAACTCTACAAGCCAACTAGAGAGGTTACGGCCATGCCATTGACATGACAAAAGCACAGCCGCTCTACAACTACAAAGCATAAACTCGTTAATCATGTTTCTTTCCTTCTCTCTTCTTTAAAATGTGTTTCTTGTTCAGTTATTTCACTTCTCTTCATTACCTCCAACTCCGGGGTCATTAAAACGCTCTTTAAGTACAAAGTACTATTTTAAGTTACTGAATGAAGGAAATGAATCAAACTTCAATAATTTCAGGCTTGAATAGTGGACATTGGTATCGCTTTGAAAGTTATGATGGATTCATCGAGAAGTAAAGGCCTCTTATCTTCCTTCTTTTTGTTTGTTTTCCTCTTTCCTCGCTCTCTGTTAACCACTCCGTCTTCTTCGTCCATCATTCTCAGTATTTGAGTTTGGTCAGAAGAATCTATCGGAGCGACTGATATATCACGGACCGCCCTGAATTTACCGCAGTTATTCAGATGTTCATTTTCCAATCGGAAAAAGTTCCAAACGAACCTTCTGAACACTTCCAAAGGTGATAGGATGGATGTCATTATGTCGCTGCTGACATAACCATACTCAGTAAGATATAAGGATATCGTCCAAGCGAATCGTAGAACAAAATCTTCTATTATTGCAAAGTAGTAGAACTGAAAAAAATATATTAAAATGACTAATGCTGATGTATACTATAGAAATTTTCGAAAATTATTTGCGAGGATATTAAAATAACGAGAATAATATAATAACGTAACCTACTTTTATGGCTGATTCATACACCAAACATCAACTTTCAATTTTTTACTTTAACTTTAAGAAAGTTGACAAAATGTATACCAATGGAAGCAGTCATACACCACTCTTTTATTTTTTTCTTTACTTTAACGAAAGTTCTGTACATGTTCTTTAGGGGTTTCTCAAAATTAAAGAATGCAATAATATTTGTAGCATAACCCTATTCTTTGCTGATATTGTCATTCTCTTATTATATAATAATGATAATTATAATAATAATGAATCAGCTTTTTTGAAAAGTACAAAAAGATGAGAAAAAAAATTTTAAGAGTTTGTGTTACTCATTGGCAAAGTCTAGCTCAGAGCTACGCAAACTCAACCAACAAGCACCACTTCATAGTAAACGCTTACATACAGAGGAGAAAAACAAATAACGGTAACGCTAAAGAGTTAATAAATCAAATTGATCTGCTGATTTATTTATTTTTGATTCATCCAATAAGCAAAAGTTGGCATCACTGACTGTCATAGATATAATTTTCATATTTGTATTTGAACTTCCATTTTCACCTTTGAACGGTCGTCATTCAATTTTTTTTTAATTTTTTCAAGTCAATACCTCAAGCGAACATTTGTTAAATCAAATGCTCTACTTTTTTTCAATAACGGTGTATGAATTACCCAATTGATCAATTATCAATCCTTATTATCAAAGTAAAGGTGGACGTAAAAGTTTGTTTTGTCAGAACCATGTATCGTTTTATTTTATGGAGTGTTTAGAGTAACTCGACCTATATACTTCAATAGATAATGAAACAAAAATAGACAGTATAGTTTCTTCGGAATGTTTTTACAGGAAAACAGGTATACTTTAAGTTTATAAAACACCATTTCCTATTGAGATGAAATGATAGATACTTTCCACATTCTTTTTTTCCTAATTCAGAAATTGAGGAAATTATTATTATTTTCTGGTGTCTGGTAACATAATTTCTTACCGAAGATGGATAGACTATTTCCTCTCTTAAAAACGTGTTTTCTCCAGCAGATTTATCGAAAAGTCCCCAATCCATTTTGATATCCCAAGTGTAGGCATAGGAGGAGCTTATTATTTGAGACGCTATCCATAAAAATACATATGGATTCTCTGATGAATTTGCATAATCATCTGAAAAAGATCATCGGTTATTCAATTTACTTTGAACATTATGAGATTACCTTTGTATACTGATTTCAGTGTGGCAAAAATAACCACTAGGAAAGTTGTAGAGTACTTTCCGGCATTTACTAAATGAGGAAAAGCCTCTTTGGTATCGTAATATCTCCTGAGACATTGCGCAAAACGGATCCATGCTGGTATACAATTCACCAAAGGCCTGATGATGAAATTACTCTCCATGCACTCAGATGTATCTGGAAAAATAAAGTATAAATTTGTAAATACGTCAAGTCTCAAAATATATGTTTAAAATATGTTTTTCCGTTAACCAGCTATCGCACCCCTACGAACGACAACCCTCAACGTGTGATTCCTAACACGGGTTGGACGATAGCAAGTGAAAATCGAACGTTTAGCCTGGGGCTTGAACCACCGACTCACACATCGGCCGATTGACCGAGTGAGAAAAGCACCCACATCGAACCGGCCTGCTACCGACCGTTCTGTGAATTCTGCATGTTAACCAAATTCATACACTACAATCTACTTTGAAAAATAATGCAGTAATAAATGACTTGAAACAAAAGATTCCAATGGTGTGGCAACTCTTTGAAAATCAATAAATAAAAAAGTGTTATTAACAAAATGGTTAAGGCTTCTGCGGCCGAGGTTATCAGTGTCACTATTTTTCAGGTTTGAAGGTCGTCTTTATCAACAACATAGAATAAACAAATGACATTTTAGCAATACTTACTTCCAGCTACATCCCAACTTCCGTTTGTGAAATAAAAACAAGTGAGAAATTGAAAATCTAGAAGAGCATTCACAAGACTATTGAGCTGATCAGCAAGCCAGAAATCAGCAAATCCTACATGAAAAAATGGAGCTCCAAACATCCGACCCTAAAATATAAATATCACCGTAGTGCAGAGAATTGACATCATTTAGCATGTAGAAAGTGATGTGAAACGTCAAGAGATTGGAAATTACTAGGAAGCATGCTTTTATTCAAGCTTTTCAAAAGCATTCATACATTGTGGTCAGATATTCGTTGATTCTAAAGTTACTATTTTTACCAAAATTTTGTAAGAATTTTCCAATGATACAAAATCATTAGGAAGTTCTTAGTTACTTTTACAGCCTTGTAGATAAATTATTTCTATCAAATCTCATAAAATCATATATTTACTCCCTCTGAAATCCCTTTTAATTACAAAATTTTCTTCTTCGGGACTATCATGAAAAACAGCATCTGAAAACTCCAAGCAGATATAGACAGTGCTTTTTTCTTGATTTGAAGATATCTCCCCATTTTTAAGAGATCTCTTTTTTATTAATGAGAGAATTTGTTTATTTCATTTATAGAAGTCGATAAGTAATTTTTAAAAGATTTTGATTGTTTCTATTCACTAGATATATTTGTCAGTTACAGAACAATAAAAGTTATTCAGTTCTGACAATTCCGGCTTGCTTTTAGCAGGATATTTGTTAGGATTTTCTCTTAATTCATTAACAATTTTCTATGTTTCACGCCTTTCAATATTGGTATTTTCCAATCATTGACTAAGATTTCCAATCATTAACTAAAATATTCTCTTAAATTCATAGTTTCGGATATTGCCATTTTCAAGTTATATAAAAACATTATGATTTGTATGCCGAATTTTTGAGAAACTATCATCTTAACAGTAATGCTGATGCAAATAGGATGCTTGGATTCATTTACAAAAATGGCAAAAACTTCCAAAAGTATTGCCACCTTAAAATTGCTATATTTTGCGTATGCCAGATCTAAGTTAGAGTTATGGCTCTGTGTTATAGAATCCAGTTTACAACTACCAAAAAACATCAATTATGAGCGTGCAGAGGTAGTTCCTAAAATACTTATGTCTAAAAGTTGGTAGACAATACCCCACGAGAGGCATCGATCATAACATTTTGTTGACACGATTTAATATGACATCTTTGGAAAATAGGAGAGTTATCCTTGGTATAAAATTCCTATATAAATCATTTAACAACAGTATTGACAGTAAAGTTCTTTTACCCGAGATGAATTTCTTAGTATCAAGAAGTGAAGGTCGACACAATCTGGAATTCTATTGCGAAGCATCGCACAGAAATGTTATGCTACGATCACCATTGAATTTTATGTGCAGTAGCTTCAATAAAATCTGTGAACATTGCGATATTCATTTCGACTCTCTGAACGCCTTGGTTTCATGTATCCACAATTACTTTTAATAATAATGTAAATAAATTGTTCCTTTAGATTATTTAATAGTAATAGTGTGGGCAGAGTTTTTGGTTTTCTATTCAGCAGCTCAGCCAATTATATATCTCAAAATTCTGAATTAATCAAGTACACTCTTGTTTAATAAAATAGTGAAAAATTGAAAATATTCTCAACGTAATACATTGTTTGAATAATTCACTTTTTGAAGTACATCTTTCCTAAAATCAAGGAGTTCATTATTGTACCCTGGTCGATTGAAAAATCATGACCACTTTTGTTTCCAAAATATTATGAATTCAATGCCATTGTATCGTATTGCAATGAAGAACAATTAAAAATGAAATTTGATTCAGCTCTAAATTTTTTCCCTAGTTATTCATATCTAAGAACTCTGAATATTTATTGAATATTTATATTTCAAATGTAAGAAAAAGAAATGTACACTTGGCAATATGTAAAAAGCTGAGACAGACACGAGTTTCTGTCAAAACTCAACATTTCCATGTACAGAAGCAAGAATACAAAACTGAAATTGATTTTAAGCACTAAAACCCAATACTTACACAGATTCTCAAAAACCAAAATCTAGCATCGTGCCTGAATACTTTCAGTGGATTCACCAAAAAAATCAGCATCACTAATACCAAAACGGCGGGACTCACATAGGGCGGTATGCTCAGCCCGGCACTGTACAGATAATTCAGCAAGCTCATCGCCCATACGACTCCAAATATGGCCGCCAGTTCCATAAGATGCTGTTCAGACAGATGATTTCTTGGATCGAGTTCAAATATGAGGACATGATTCACTCCTGAAGATCTCCAACCGTAAACGTTCACCCCAATCAGAAATAAGAACTCGATGATGAGAAGTGGACCTCTGAACAAGCGGAAAGCTATTTTCAAATTGTCGCTGGACCCCTCATGGAATATTGCTGAAAAAAAATTTGCTATTGACCAAAACTGTAGAAACTTGATGGAAACAGACTTGAAATGATTTCTAGTTCTATTTCTTTATTAGTGAAGTCAGAACACCAATTAATCTTAGATCTATTCAAGATTTAATAACATAGAGGAATACATATGGGAATATGCTCGAAATACATATATCTGAAATAAACAGGAATAACTATGGGAATGAAATATATACAAAATATTTTACACAATGTACATGGAACTAAAAAGTTAGTAATATAGAAAGGGTTATATTTTAAAAAAAATCTGTTTTGAATCTGTTTTTCCGTTAACCAGCTGTCGCATCCCTACGAACGACAACCCTCAGAAGTCGAAACTTGTGCGAGCTAAGGATTAACGAGGTCTCACCTTTTAACGTGTGATTCCTAACACGGGTTGAACGCTAGCAAATGAAAATAGATCGTTCAGACTAGGGTTTGAACCACTGACCAACACGGCAGTCAATTCGAGTGAGTGAACAAAGCACCCACGTCGAACCGCCTGGCTACCGACCGACCGAAGAGATTAGTTTTTGGGGACAAAAAACTTCTTGGCTTTCAATTTCTCCATCATTATGTAAAAAATGTGGAACTTTTGAAGAAATCTTATACGAGAAATGTGTGTTTTCATTTTTAAAAGTTCAACAAGGCACTAATGAGATGTTGAAGACACGACCCGAAACTTTGAAAAGAACACCTTAAGGATGACAGATTTCTATGTAAGTTTAAATTTTATATCAATGCTCTTTAATATATTATGTTGTGTAGCATTCCATGTGAATGATATTTGTCTCAATTCTCTAAAAAATGTTTGGAATGCAAACTTAATGGTCAGTCACTCAAATCCGCCGCCGTGTTGGTCGATGGTTCAAGCTCCAGGCTGAACCATCGGTAAAACAGTTAACGGTAAAACATACAGACAGTTAGTTGATTTTCATGTGGTTGTTTCAAAAGAACTTTTTCTTTTCTGTAATTCAATATTCATATGAAAGTAGTTTTTTTCAGTTTGCAGATACTGTTCTACACATTGTCATCTATGTGAATAATTTGTTTTGAACTTAATTACTTTCTTCCTTTCTTCAGAAGTTTTCCCCAGTTTTAGTGTTATAAAATATTCTGCAAATATTTCTTATGATAAACGATATTCAAAAGTAACAAATGAAATAACATAAATATTTTTGTGCGGATAAAATTATGTAAGTGGTAATGTTGTGGAAAGTATAATTGAATGCACCTATTAGAGCCCCACGAAACTAAATTTACCCCTGTATCCCCAGTGGCAATTTAAAAAACTATTGGAGAATCCCAAATTACATCAAATATTAATAAAAAAGTATAATTTTTTTCAAAGTTGATGAATTCCTAATCAAACACTCACATTATATTTTCAGTGATTAAAGAGAAAATGGTGAGTTACGAAAATATGAGTAAAAATGAATGGCGAAAAATTGCAAGAATGCTAATTTGTGCAGGCAATCAATTATTGTGACTTGAAATGAAAATAATTAAATAATAGGTTGAACGTTTGTTTGAAAGTGGCTGACAATGTTTCATGGTGAATTTTACTAGTTCGGACTTCTATTGTCTAATATGATTCTAATATGATTTGAAACCCCCGCTAATATGATTGAAACTCCCGCTAATGTGATTGAAACTCCCGCCCATATGGTTGAAACTCCCGCTATTATGGTTGAAACTCCCGCTAATATGAATGAAACTTCCGCTAAACCGGTGAGGCGGAGAGTGGAAAGAGGGGATAGGTGGAAGCGTTCGAATGACCTATAAATTTCATTAGTTTGGACTTCCATTGTCTAATATTATATAAAATGATTTGAAAATAACCAATATAAATTATCATCACCCGAAGACGATTGTGGATACTAACAATCGAAACGTCGTGAAGTAACTTGGTTTGGAATCACTTAAATTTCATTTTTGGGTTTTGTTTAATTGTTTTATTTCCAACTTGTATTTTATTTCACTGTAATTTCGTTTCAGGGTTTTATTATGCTTAATAACCAGTCATTACCCGAAGACGATTGTGGATACTAACAATAGAAACGTCATGAAGTAACTTGGCTTGGAATCTCCTAATGTTTATGTTTTGTTTAATTGTTCTATTTTTTACTTTCAGGTTTTTTTGCTTAATATAATTGTTATTTTCAGCTATTTTTTTTTTAATTTTTAATTTGTATTTTAGGGATTTCAAATCATTTTATATAATATTAACCAATGGAAGTCGAACTAATGAAATTCATCACGAAAAATTGTCAATCACCTTCAAACTGACCTATAGTCATCTCTCGAAGGAATAGTCCAGTCATCACCCGAAAACGATTGTGGATACTAACAATCAAAACGTCGTGAAGTTACTTCGTTTGGAATCTTTTTTAAATTTTTCAATTTTCTTCAATTGTTCAATTTTTTTTATTATTTTTATTTTATTTTCATTTCTTTTTACTCTGTTATTTCAGAGATTTCAAATTATATTATATCAGAGAATGGAAGTCCGAACTAATAAAATGGATCATTGAGAGAAATGTCAATTATATACAAACAATAAAAAAATAAAATAAGCTGTGAAAAAATGCAGAAAAATGAAAAATAGGAAAAATATTCAAAATGAGTTACTTCACGATATTTCAATTGTTAGCATACTTAATATTCCAGTTTACAGATTTTTGCATTTTTGTTAATCTTGATAATTTTTCATTTTTCTGTTTGCCATCGACAAATCAACATTGTAACAGGCCACAACAATTTGTTTTTTTCACCAATCAGTGTTCTTACAATTTTTTGCTAATTTTTTTTGACATTATTTCAGTTTTAACTAACTCAAAAGAAGATTTCGGTCCGATTTTTTTAGTATTTTCAATTTTTTCAACATATCATCCATTTAAGTTTCATTTGTTGTTTCATAGATTTTCTACTTTCAACAATTTTTTTCATGGATAGAAGGAATACAATATTGATCTTTAAAAATGTTTTGAAATGTCTAATAAGTCATTTCTTTTTTAGTTACTTTTTGATAAAACTTTTTCTAAAATGTTCTTTTTTGCAGAAATGGAGGGTACTCTAGTTATATTTGATCTATATAAAGTACTAACCTGATAGAACAACCGTAATGAGTAAAACAATAAATGAACCTGAAAAAAGACCAACTTTAAATGTAGTCCAAGGTGACTGTTGTTCACCTAGTGGAGGAACACGCAACCTTTTCATAGCCTTTTGCCTATCGCCTGCTTCCAGTTCATTAGTTACTGTGTTTTCCGTATCAGCTATCATTTGATCTATGTCCTTATTGGTGAAAAAATGAGAAGTTTCTACTTGCTCTTGCCTCCATTTCGCACCCACATCAGTAGCCAATAACTGAAATATTGAATATTGATGTTTCATTAATATTCGAAATATGGTAAATTATGAGAGTGATAGTGGTGCCTACCTTATCATGTTTCTTGAGAATTTTCCTGAAACCAACGTGGTTCAAAGTCTGATAATTTTGCAGTAAAATCAAACTCAAATAAAATTCGCTGAAAGCTAGTTTGAGCTCCTGCATTTTTCGAACTGGTATATTCTTCTTCCCAGTTTTCTTCTTTCCCATATTCAATTGTTTGACGGAGTCTATCAATTCGCTGTTCAAATTTGCAAACTTCCTCGTCGCCTCTGCCAATTTCTCCGCGTAAAATGTATTGATTTTCTTCAGTTCTTTGTCACAGTAATGGAAAAACTGCTCATCAAAGTTTGCAAAATGCCTCGCTACGACTTCTGGTTCCACGCTTTCGGCGGACGGCGCTTCTTCTACAGCCATGTAAAGCATGGCTTTCATTTCCTGAAAAACGAAAAATACCATTTCTACTATTTTGCTCTGAAGATACGATACTCTTTTCCAAATGTTTGTATACTTATATCAGGAAAATTGCATAAATATAGTCATAAAATAGAGATGATATATATATACCTACTGAATGATTTATGAAAATATAATAACTTATTTCCCAACAAAATAAAATATTATTTCAACAAGCTATATAGTTTACTATTAGGTATTCGTCCACCATCGTTATTCATAATATTATTATGTTTACTGATTTGTACACTCTCATAAGCATCTAGATGCATGTTGTTGTTAACTTGTCTAACTAATCTTAATGAACTAAAATCTATGGAATGGTTTTGTTGCCAAATATGATGGGCGACTGCTGATTTTTCAGATCTTCCATATTCTAGGTGTACTAAGTGTTCCTTATATCTTATTATAATAGATCTTTTAGTGTGTCCAAAATATTTTACATCGCAGTCCTTACATTTAATTTCGTAAATTCCAGACTGTTCCGAATTCTCGAGTTTGTCTTTTGGACTTCCCAAAAGGCTCTGTAGTGTATGACTTGTTTTAAATACAATCTCATAGGCATCTAGATGCCTATGAGAGTCTATAAATAAGTAAAGATAATAATATTACACTATATAGCTTGTTAAAATAATATTTTATTGTCAGATTTACCTGACTGTAAGATAAGGCAATATTGTAAAATTAATTTTAAGACTAGCTGATAAGGCAACATGTAAAATTAATTTAAGACCATGAGAGGCAGGTACCTAGAGGCATCTATAGTATAATAAGGTGATTGAAACACATGTCAAGTATTAAAAACAAGGGTTTGGTGTTGGGACTAAAACTCCAGTAACATTCATTATTACACCAAAGGTTCCAAACAGTGCATCAGGAGTATACATTGTACTAATTAGTAATATTGTGAATATATTATTTTTGTCAAACAGTAGCCGGTTGGTTGGTTGGCGTGTTTAGTTCGTGTGTTTGGTTCATTGAATATCGAATTGATCCCGACTTTGGGAAGATGAATGTTCATTGATTCGTGATGGGAATCGCACGTTAAAAACTAAGACCATATTAATCTTTAGCTCGCAGAAATTTCGACTTTTGAGGGTTGTCATTCATATCAGTATCACAGCTGATTAACGGCAAAACCAATCAATTCTTGTTCTAGCCCAAAACTTTATATTGTTCAAATGGAGAGAACTTTTTCCCAAAGAATAAAAGAGCATAGAAGACTATGAAGATGAAGACTATATTTGCAAATCATTTGGAAGAGAAAGGATTGAAACTAAAAACTCTGATAACTTTTTTTTATTAAGTGTCCATTCAAATGAGTTTGTAAAATTTCTTTTCATGTTAAAATTTTCAATAAGTTTTACGTAAACCCAGGTAAAATTATTAGTCATTGAATAGGTAGAAAGTAAAGACGGATTCCCAGCAAACGGACTCACTTGCGACTAGTTTCGTTTTCAAAAACAGAAATAAAAACTTGTTTTAGTTTCGAAAACAATCTCGATATTCATCACATACAATTTGCATCTTTCAGTAAGCTTCGAGAAAGGTGTCATTCCACTTATCAACATCAGAATGAATTGTAAATTGAATATCTAAATTTGAAATTACTTTGAAAATTAAAAACCCTTTGTATTGTGCATATTATTTAGATTTGAATCATGATCATACTCTAATCTAACTACTGGGAGTCGCTTCATTGAATCAGATAATTATTAAAATTTTTACAAGACAGTTTAATAAATTTACTGCTAAAATTCATTTGCAATATTCAATATTTACCTTGCTTGAAAGGAAGAAATTATGTTTGAACTAGAAATTATTACCTGTGCAAGTTCAAATAGAGTATGTTTACTTTCAAATATTAGTTATTAATCAAGTTCGCAAGTACGCTTTATATAAAATGAATTGATCGTGAACAGTATCAGCAGAATAAATAAGCCTTCTTGGCTGCACTGCCTCCAGATTCAAATTTTGCACTAAAAAAGTTGACAAGTTTTTGATATCAAGGCCGTAGCGAGGGGAGGTTTTAGGGGTTAAACCGTCCCCAAGGAACCTTGATGGAAAAATTAATAAACTTACTTTGAATATTGAGTAATATGAAACTGTTAAGTCTGTTGAATTGAAGCTTTCCAATCAGTTCTCAATAATTATTTGGTACAATAACTGTGATATGATTTTTTTATTCAAGTTTTTTATGTGTGGTAGGTATCTTATTCAAATAACTGTTGCAATATTTCATAAATCAGTGTGATGTGTGAAAGCTATTTTCCGTTTTTTTACCATGGTCTGCAGGTTTTTTACCTGACGTTTCGTCTACTACTGCGGTATACATCATCAAAGGAGCAGTGGCCGAGTTGGTACAGTTGTGCAGATGAAACGTCTGACATTAAAACCTGCAGACCACGGCCAAAAAATCCGGAAAATAGCTTTCTCATAGTTATCTTCGGCCGTGAAAGTTTACATTTTTTGATTGGTGTAATGGTTTGAATCATTATTTTATATTTGTATAAAAGTGTAATATGTCTTATCTTTTAATTACCTTCTGAACTGTTTTTTTTTAATTTTTTGTAAATCAGTCTTGTGTTGAATGAAGTATTAATGCTAATATTTATATTCGGTATGAACTCAATATGAACACGCCTGAGGAAGCTATTGAAACACGTGTTGCGGTTTTGTAAATTGTTCAGTGAAAATCTCGCAATAAAGAGTTACTTGAATACATTATGGATTTTCGTCAAGTACTGGCCAATTCCATTACATATATGTATGTATGTATGTATGTATGTAATATGTTTGTACTGTAATCATGCGGAAGTTGATTATAGAACTTACAGGCGTTGTACGTGAAAGATCGCTGAAAAATGGAGGTTTTATGTTTGTACATTGCCAGTAACTCCGAGTTACGAGTATTATAATCACTCAGATTTCCTATTTTAATTAGTTTGTCATATAGATATGTTGGTGTTCTACATTTCAGTACTTTATGAGCCATATTTAATAGATGTAATTTTCTCATATCTAACAATTTCAGTTTTCGCATTTCCTGATATTTATGACTTATATGCTCATATTTGCTTATTCCGAAGGAAAGTCTAATACAAGAGTTCTGTATATTTTGAAGTCGACTACTGTCAACACTCCATAGAGCGGGTCCATAAATGTAGTCACAGTAAGCCAGTTTCGATAATATGAGGGATTCACATACACGAATTTTCAGAGCGGAACTCATGAATTGTCTACTTGGATAAAGTTGTTTGAGTGTATTATATGAACCTCGGCAAAGTTGATTGACATGTTTTGTGAACCTCAATTCATTGTCTAACCAGAGTCCGAGATTTTTTGTTTCATATTTTATGGGAATTTTTTTCCCACCCAAAATGATGTCGATTGAGGTACTGGCTAGATTACGTTTGAGCTTCGGTCCGAAAAACAATGCACTGGACTTACTCGCGTTCAACTTCAGATTATGTGCTGCAGATACATTCATCAAAGAATCCAGATAAGAATTTAAAGCAGCGGTAACATTGGGTTTCACTTCATTTATTTATTTATTTGAAAGATAAGTACAGCTGGGTATCGTCCGCGTAATGGTGTATGCGGCAGAATTTGACGAATGAATGAAAATCTGAGATGTACAAAGAAAATAACAGTGGGCCCAATATTGATCCTTGCGGAACGCCATGGCTCAAAGCAAGGGTCTCTGGGGATTCAAGGTCATGAACCACTCTCTGGGTTCTTCCCTTCAGGTAACATTCCAATATAACTTGAACCTTTATTTACCTGCTACAAACACATATAAAAATGTGTAACATAGTTGAATATATTTTTATCTATCCATTACATAACTACTGATATCAAATAAATGTCATAGTTATCTGCAAAATGAATGTCATTCAGTTCAAAAGAGTCTACATGAATGGTAAACTTTTCACTCGCTAATATTCTTACATTTAGCTCATATCAGGAAGGAATTAGTAAAGTTTTTAGGCCTTACAACAGATAAACACCTTACTTGGAAAGACCATTGTGAATCCCTCATGTCTAAATTGTCATGTCTCATATCTATTTTTCAATCTTAGATCAATTTCAAGTCTGAATAAACTAGCTGATTTACATTATGCACAAGTAGAATCTTGCCTTTGTTATGGTATATGTTTATGGGGAAACTCTACATCATCAGTTGATGTGTTCCTTGTGCAAAAATGCATCTTCCTTAGAATTGCTGGAAAACCAAACACATTCATGAAGACAATCATTTGAAGAATTTTACCCAGCCTGTATATACTGGAATCTGTTTCTCACATATACAAGTACAAAAACAAATCTAACAACAATCAGAGATATCATGATGTTATAATATATTCAAAAAGATCATTAAAGTGTTTCTTTTGCTAGATTAAAGTCAATAATTAATTTGCCCTAATATATGGTTGAAGATTTTCTATGCTCTTCCTCCATCAATCATAAATAGTGACAATGAAAGGGTTTTCAGAAAATCAACGAAACATTGCTGCAGTGGTTTCCGGAGACTTGGAAGAAATGGACGGCTCCCCAAGTAGTGAACAATAAAAGTTGCGGACACGTTTTTTCAATTCATTAATCCCAAGAAACATAACATGATGATAGCACGGACAATGTAACGATTATATTTGAGGTGTTCAATTAATTGCCACAGACAATAAGGGTAGATTCATGCACCAATCTCAACACATGCAATTTAATTTGTATGCCTTGAGAATTCATGTTTTTCATTTGTTATTACAGAAAATTTCAATTCCTGCCCATATATATTATGAGTAAGTATATTAAGACAACATCTACGCTTCTGTACGAATTTTTCCACTAAAAATAATTAAAGTTTAATCGTTTATAATTTCTTAAAAACTCAAAACTCAAAAGTGGATGCATAAATCTTAAGGTTAAAATATAGCATAATATAAAGGACCATTGAATATTTAGAACTATACAAAATTCAAAATATACTGAAAATCCAGTTTTTCAAGAAAGTGAAACCTTTTTATCATTTGTGATAATTTTTGACACTTCGAATGTGACAGTTTTAAAAGAGTTCAGATTCACATATAACCTATGAAGTGCACTTTCCAAATAAAAGTAATTAATCAACAAAAATGTGCTTCCCTACTAGCAAAATATTAGTACTCACCTCGTAATTTATATATTGCTTTCTCCATTCTGGCGTGATGTGTGCGGTAAGATGTTCAGCAAATTTCATACTTCAATTCCTTTCCAACAATGTCATTTAACAAATAAATTGGTAATAAAGGCACGGACAGACTATATGAGAGATCAGTAACACAATTATGATAGTTTGAAATTAGTTCAGAGATATTATGAACTTCTTATCTGAATATAAAGGTGATAATCATATGTGTAAACAAAGCATTATTTGATCATTAAATAAATGTCTTTGATTGGAAAAATCATCATGGGCCTGTATATTCAACCGCTTAAGTGGGTTAACTGGAACTGGTAAAATTTAAGATAAATTTCTGTAACAAAAATTATTTTCTCAATACTCATTACTTCTACTCTGACATTTTTGGTCAGATGGAACTATTTCAGGTGGCAGGTATGCCCTCCTCATCTGCTATGCACAGTCACTGTAATAATGTTTATTTTCGTTTCGTCTTTCTTTATCTTCATACTTCCATCGCTATATCCCTTTCTAAGAAGATGATTGTGATCTCAAAAGCTCAGATTATCACATACAACCCTGTGTATAACATAATTATTACTCAGATTATTGGTAGTGGCTAGGAAACCAATATGACGGTTAATTACAGTACAAAAATTTATACTAAAAAGTGTTTATGATTAGGGAAGCACAGAAAGAAGGTCACATCATATTTTTATTTTTTGAATAATTCCAACTTCCAACTTTGGAAGTCAAAATTGAACAGCAAAATATGTTACGAAAAATATAACACTCGGGATTTTCTCTGAATTTCATTTATATTTCATCTTCTAGTTAATGTACCTCACAGGAACTGGTGAGTTTAACGTGGTAACTGTGATTTCACAGTTCTAATGACAATGGTTAATTTTTATAATTTAATGAATATTTTACTTTAGAACATTCCGAAAAAGACTATATTTCACTTTACAAACGGAGGAAATTGGTCTTAACAAGGGTATATTAGACTATCAACGACGTCAATCCACAAATGAGATTTTATTTTATTTTCTCTAAAGGCGAGTTCATATTAGAACGATTGCGATAATATTTTTGCGGTTCCGCAAATTTGCCCCAATTGTCAAAATACCCTGTTCATGTTGAATCGGAAATATCTAGGGAATTTATTGTTGAATTTTAAATTTTATTACATGAACCTGAATGATGACATACGACTCATACGAATTACGACTTTTAAGACCAGACCCCATCATATCAGAAAATAGGAGTAACAATTTACTCAAGTCTTGTTTAATAGGAGCGTGTCTTCAAACCACTTATCTTAACGTTAATGCCAACTTAAGTGCAGGAGGGAAGGGTTATTTTGCAAAATGAGTTTTCTTTAATGAAGGGCCAACCAAATTCAATAATTTATTGAATAATGAGAGAGTCAGCCTGAAATAGTTGAAATATTCCTCTGGATCACTAATTCTCATTTCAGCCACAAGGTTGTGATATTCTCCATATTTTCTTGTTTTTGAAAATATTTCTCAAACTATAAAGACGGGGTGTTTTTAATGAAGCTTTATATATACGGTAAAGTTGATATAATTTGAACAACCTGACACATTCGTCCATTTCGGATTCAATTTCAATGTATGGGCTCAAATAACGAGAGTCAAATAAAATAGCAATATAACCTCATTGTATGTTGACGTATAAAATTTTGCGGAAATCGCAAAAAAGTTGAATTTTTTCAACTTTTTTACGATAAACACGACGCCATTTTATATCGCACTTTTTATGCGATGTTTGTTCCAACATGAACTAGCCTTAAGAGCTAGGAATTAATCGGATGAGGATTTTTTGGAGCATTTTTACCGAGTAAGATACTCTGGTATTTGATATTAATGTCAATTGTCATGAATTTTAAAGTTAGTAATCCTGGTATGGTCCGAAACTAACCAAAATCCTAGTTATGCGTCCCAAAACTAGCCGCTATACTGTCAAATTCATGAAAAAGTGGTGACATTCGGAACATTGAAAATTGGTGAAACCAAATCAGTGGTACGTTATCCAAATGTCCATACTGTTATATTGAGTTTTATTTGAAAGTCGTTTCTGTCAAGTAAACAAAGGTAAGTTTCATACTGTTTTATTTCAGTGTTGCCAACTTATCATAAATACACATTAGTGTCAATACACATTAGCAACTCCTTCACATCTCCCCTATAAGTCAAGTCTTTCAACAGGTTTTACTACTCTACCTGAAGATGTTATTTTAGAAGCGTTCACAAACATTTGTTCTAAATCTTCCAACTTGCATTTCTTTGCCTGTTTCATCAACGTGGTGATAAATTGATCTAGGGTTTGTCCTTGTTTCTGACGTAGAGTTATGTGAAGCTGAATATTTCGAAAACCAAGTTTTCTTTAGGTAGGAAAAAGGCTTCGAACTTATCTAGCAAGACCTGCAGCTTGTCTTTCTCTTCATTCGTGAAAGTAAAGGTTTCCTGAATTTTGAACCCTTCTTCGCCGATGAGATGAAGCATCTGTGCACATTGGATTTGCTCCGTCTTTTTATTTAGTTCCGAAGCTATAATATAATTTTGAAAACGACGCTTCCAGAACCTCCAATTCTCAGCGAGAATTCTCCTCCATATTCATTGGAGCTATTGCAGCGCGTGCTTCACTCATTTTCAATTACTCGACGTTTAGTATGCTCAGTTAACAGCTATGAACTTTTTCCTTCTTGCGTGAGGCTTTATTTATTTTGTTTTTCACCTTTGTCTGCTTTCTTATTTAATTAATTGAAATTTTCTGACTGCGCCATGTCAAGTAAACAAAGGTAAGTTTCATACTGTTTTATTTCAGTGTTGCCAACTTATCATAAATACACATTAGTGTCAATACACATTAGCAACGACTTCACAGTTTCTATTATATTCATGATCTACTTAATTTTCTTAATATTTATTTGATGCGCTGGCAGTTCTTGGCTATAACTGTTTGTTGAAACTTCATTCAGCGACATTTGATACAATTTATAGTCAACCAATGATAATCAAATATCTTTCGTTTTGATATGTTAATTGTCAGTTTTGATGCGTTAATTGTCAGTTCAGGTGCATGAACTGCCAGTTGAAAGTTTCTCAAAAAGTAACTTAATGAGTTAAAACATAGCACGGTATTTTTAAACGTCGACAAGTTACATTTTATTAGTAAAGTAACACCAGGAACAACACTGGTTTCTTGGCTAATGTTACAAGTTTGGACTTCAATTGTCTACAATGGTGAAAGAACAAATGAAATTGAATGAAACGTTAGACACATTGATGATAATTCTATATTTACATACACTTGTTGTTTCATAGAACCTATTAACGCCGTTTTGGACAATGGAAGTCCGAACAAACATTCATATTTACTTGAAATTCTCAAAACTGTCAAAAAACATATCACAATAAAATGCATGACTGTCTCTAGATTCTAGTACGAGATCGTGATCGCTCGTGATTTTTGCCGATCTCTAACGTTGCTTTACTTTTAATAATTTCGTTTACGTAATTAGGTAGTTGCAGGTTCATTTTAGACAAAAATATTCTCAATTTTCAAATATGTCTGCATGGAGACAAGCTGGATTGAAGTGAGTATAAAACTAATGGAGAAAATTTGAGATTAGCCCAATACAACTATACTGGACTTCTGGAACTTCTAGTTTCATCAAATATTTCACCCCCTAATCTAACAGATCATACTGTTCTCCTTAAATCACTAAATCTAAGTAATTATTCCTTGGACAAAATTTCAATTTATAACCATATTTTGAATCTAAGGAATGTTTTTCTCACACTCCAGGATTGTGAAAACACCAAATTTTGTCAACCAAGTAGACATCATTAGAAGGTGATTTTTTAACGAACTTCCCAAACTAACATAGCATCAATTTGTCTCGCTCTCAGTCGTTATGGCACTCAAGAAGTTGAGTCAAGATGCCGGACGAAGAGAAATTAGTCAAAAACCGTAGGTTGAAGTCTTTATATTGGAGTGGGGAAAACTTTGCTTAGATTCAGTCTACGTTAGATTTCATTCCCTATTATTTTCAATATTTAACCACTTTATTTATTAATAGCTACATAAATTACTCCAACATTGCCGCTAAGTTGTTGAGGCAGGCATTGAAACCTGAATTAAGGGCAGATGCTATGAAGAGGGCCGACACACATTTAAAAGTCACAAAATGGGAAAACGGAAAACCTATCAGTAAGTATTCTTTTGCAACTGTAATAAAGGAAAAATTATCTCATAAAAAAATATGTTTTAAATTTTGTAATTGTTTTGTTATTATATCATTTGATTTTTTTTCATCTATAAAATCTGAATATTTCAATCAATAAAATTTACTTCTACTCCTACAGATGCTCGAGAATGAAAAAGTATTGTAAGTTCTTGAGGGTGATTTGTTGATATGTTACCAACAATAATGATACGTTTACAACCTGTTTTGACCCGAAATAACCATTTTATCAATTCCAATAAAACTTTTTTGAGTTCAGCTCTAACAATGTTAAGTTTAGCTCATAAGGAGTGATTATTTCTGTGATCTTGAATTTATAACCCAATATACATTTGAGTTGCATGGTGAATGTGTTTTGGAGTTTCTGTGATTTCAACTCCCTTAATATTCCGTTACTTTTTACTTGTGCTCTAATATATTTTCTCTTTTTGCAGAAGAATCTACGTACTGAATGACCTAGTACAGAATAAGCTTCAAATATTTGTTAAATAGTGAAATACAAGTGAATATGTATGATTGTCAATAAATAATTGTAAGTCGTGTATGCTGTCCACTTTATATTTGCAAGTCATCAAATTGAACTAGACATCCTGTAAAAATTTCAATTACTTGATTAAAATTTGACATATGATCAAATCAAATATTTAATAAAAGGAAATTTTACGTTTTATGTGAATATATAACATGTGACAATAATTATGAGATTTTTTGTTTTCGTGGCAAATGTGAAGTAAAAATAAATAAATAAAAAAATTTAAAGATGAAATGTCACATTTGATAATTTTATACAGGGTATTTAAGAATTCCTTGAGCAAACTTTCAGTGTTATACTTACACATAAGTGAAAATAAAAAAATAAGGCTCCCTTAAAGTGGTAAGACAAGAATTTCAAGGATTCAAATTATTTAAGAAATACAAAAATTGTTATAAATAACAAAATGAAAATGCTCAAATCAAAAAATAACTGAACTACTAAAGGGTTTGGGAATGAAAGGTTTGGGCTTTCCATTTCTCCATCTGTATACAAAAAATGTTAAAATCTTCCAAGGAAAGAATGAAAGCAATTTTAATATAATCTACAAAAATGTGTAGCTCATGCAACGGAGTCACTTTCAGACACAAACTAGAAGAGAAAACCCTCCCGAAACTTTGAATTATACAAAAAACACCTTTCTCTATTCAGTTTGTATTTCAACCATTCGCAATGGAATATAATCAGATATCATTCACAGGATTCCTACACAATATAATGAATGAATTAAAATTTCACTTACATAAATTACTGTCATTCTCAATGGCGGATATTAGTGTTTTGGAATGATACACTTGTCCTATTACCTCTTCAGCACCAATCTAGATATTATTGCAAGATAAAGCACTGAATCCATTTATAAAACTACGACCTTATGTCACGAATGAGTTGAATTTACTCATGTCATCGATAACAGTAAGTACAGCTTATCAAATTTAGGGCTTTCTGGCCCAATACCAGACAGCAATGTTTCGAACTGCGATAGATATCATCAGTAGAGGCTTCGGACAAATGTATAGTTTGAACTCGACAGTTCTAAGCAAAAACATTCCTAAGTAAGAATTGAGAATGACGATTTTCTCTATGAAAATTTAATCTTTTGCATCAACATAAACCTTCTACCTCATTCAACTAAGAGGATTGAGGGTCATTTTAAAATTTGATATTCTGTAGGGATGAAAATAATTAGAAATCAGGTTTTTCAAAGAGGATACAGAAACTGCTCACCTCTTATAATCTGTCCTGATGACCAGGTTTACATTTCTAGGAAAGGAATCTCGAAAAATCCATTACTTGGGAAGGGTAATGATGCTAAGGATTGAAATAAAACACCTTCAACAGAAACTCTAGTATTTATAAAAGTATCAAATATTTTGTGTTAACCAAATAACAATGAAATCAATTTTTTGTCATAAAAAAAGTAAAAGCTGCGATAGATGAAACTGTCATAGAATAACCTGTAGTCATTCATGAACACACATATTTCGGCAAGATCTCATTTGTCATCACTTAAAAGTTTCAAGTTGAGCTACCAAGCAGAGTAGTAGATAAACTGAGAACTCGCTTTCTGTATTTGTCGAGCTTGCACAGAACTCTAAAAGCATTGTATTCATGGCCTAATACCAGACAGCAATTTTTCGAACTGAGTTTTCAGTTCAGCTACGAAGCTTTATAAATATTCTCGATAAAGACAGTCTTTCTGGGCCATTGACCTTGAAAATCTTTCCTATAGAGATTTCAAAATATATAAACCCACTTTTCACAAGAATATACTACTACAAACAATTTTTTTGTCATAATATATAAAGGAAAATTCAAAAAATGTATATCATAAGACACAGATTCATTATTTCATCCACAGCACTTCCACCTTTCCATATGGTGAGATTTAATTCTGTGATATATATTAGTTAAAATATTCACAACATAAATAATAATGATAATACGTCTTTATTCACCATAAAAGTACAATTAAAACAGATAACAAAAGGAAAAAGAAAACAACTTTCAGTATAAAGGCGTATAGGCGGAGTATCAGCCAAAACTGTTTTTCAACTCAACCTGGAAATAGTAATAATGAAACAATAACAAAGAAGTAGAGTTAACAGTGATACTGTCATGACAAGATCAGAAAATGTATGCAACCACTGTAGAAAATTTCTTTTTGTAATGCCAAGGTCGGAAACGTACAAGAGACTAGACAGTTATGTAGATCTTTAGTCTTTTTTTTAAGTTTTTTATTGCATAAGATCTGAACTCACGAGAGAGTTGATTGTAATGTTTAGGTGCATTATACGAGAAGCAGCGGGTGAAGATGGAAGATTTGTGTTTGGGGATGACTAACACTGAACGGTTCCTTGTAGTAAAACTATTCATTGTTGAGAATGTTCTAAGCCTTTTCAGTTAGTGGTCTAATTGAGGAGATATCAAAATTTAATGTGTGTTGATGAGTAGATGCAGTGTTCTAAGTTTCTCAACTTTTAACCATCCTGATTCTTGCATGGCTGAAGATATATGGTCATATTTCCAGATACCAAGCGAAAAATCTAGACAGCTATTCTGAATACCTTGTAGTCGAAGAGCATCCGATTGTTTTAAAGCAAGTCCATAAACACTGTCGCAATAGAATTTTTTTGACATGATCAGTGACTCGCATAGTCTCATCAAGTTTGTGTTGGGCAAATCACGATTTGCCCAACAGCTGGAAACAGCTGCCTGGGGACGTAATAAGAAGTTTGGTTAAATCTCAAACAGTGAAAGAAATTTCTCCAATTCTTTTATTTTTCAAATTATTAGTACAATTCAGAGTTTATTCGACCTAGAATTTAGATAAAATTCCCCAAACGTCACCACCACTAGTCATTGTTTTATGAACTTTCAGAAAAACGTGACTACCGTAAATAAATTGTTATAACGAATTGTCACTTATAATATAAACATTACTTATAACTTCTATCAACTATAAAAACAATACTTGGAAAGTACTGCTTACTTCATTTTTGACAACTGACAAACCCCCTCTGTCAATGATTGGAACTGAGGAAAGTTACAATCCATTTATCCTCTGAAGGAATTTTCAATTTTGTATTTTGAAGAAATTGAAGTTTCAATTGTTACTCCAAGCATTTTTCACAACTTTGTTGTTTTGAAATCAAAATATTTGTTCCCTGTTGCTCAGGGAAAGTTGGAGAAGGATAAATATTCAAGAAAATAGTTTATCAAGCTTGACCAGAATACTATCTTACATGATGGATTTCCGGGAAACTTTTTTTACAGCAACATGCTGCTACAGGTTTTCCCAAATTTTTCTTGCTTTGATCGAACCCTTCAATTATTATTTTGATAAATAAAGTTTTACTACGTGCATATTCTAAACACCAGAGCGTTAATCATCGTATGATCTCTTTGGTAAACCATTCAAATTTAGTAAATGATCATCTGGATTGTTCAAAGTCTTAGGACCATCTCCTATGGTCGTATGTATCAGATATCTGAGTGCTCCATATTTATCCAACACGTTATGCTCAAATACTGATTTCAACTCCTATAAAATAAGTACAATCAATGATATGTTCCGTATCACACTTGAACGAATCTTACCTCTGAAATTGGTTCCCGAGTTATGGGTATTCCGGTAATATAATCTGCCTGATGAGAAGTCACTGGGGGAAAAACGTAGTTGATCACAGAAAAAATTTCATCTACTACAGAGTCAAGCAAATACAAACATGCATTCGGACCAGCATCAAATGTATAAGCTACCTGAAAATTCAAATCAAATTATGAGTTGTTTTTTTGTCGGAGTATAAAAATTGTACAAAGAAATTAATTTTGAAAAACCCACTCTTGAGAACAATGTTTTCTTGATTTTTTCAAATGGAATACCTCACCTTAGACGAGTTTTTGAATTTGTTGTAAGTGTGAACCATATTAACGATTGCATGAGAAGTGTCGTTCATGTATACACAAGGTGGAAACGTATCTAGACAAACAGCATGAAACTGATTAGAATCCTCCATCGTAATTCGAGCAAATTTTTCAAAATCTTTCATCAGTATTGCTTCCTTCATAGCCTCGATTTTCTTGGGTACAATTTCGGTAGCTCTATACTCCAGAAGCTTTGATGTTTCTACGCTTCGCTGCATACCGGTCGTTGAACTGTATTTTTTTTTCTGGTCGTCTACTACTAGAATCAGAACCCTCATTTCGGGCCAATGCGACGCTGGAGCTATCGGCCTTGCTATGGAATCTTCGCCTGTTGGGCTGGATCCCATACACCACTGAACCTGAAATATAATGAAAATAATAATTGTTTTTCATTGAAAAGTGATGCCTGTGTTTTCATGACATAAATTCTACTTGATTATTGTATTTTATTAAACGAGAATTTGTGGTTGGATGGGAAATTGACTATATAAGAAAGGCTACAGAGCAGAAAAAAAATTGTCATCCAGAAAAAGTGCAGAAATGATTTTGAAGATTTCATTACCTGATTTCTAGTGTAAAAATTTGTCTGATTTGATTGATAGTCGAACTATATCAATTAAGTTGAAAACCAGAGCCCAAACACATCAGTGGTACTAGGCTGAACCATAAATGCGTTGTTGGACTCTACTGTCCTTAACGAACATGTCTGAATAAGGTCGATGACTTCTCCCCCTACGAAGACCCCATCTATGGGATCGACAGGACTCAATCCTCAAATATTAAAGATAAACAAGCCTCCCATAGATGGCGTCTTTGTAGGAGATGTCGTCAACCTTACTTATCTCAATGGCGATGAAGTAGAGTTCCAGAATGGTAATTAAGTCTGGATCTTAGTCAAGAATTCATGATGACAGTTCAAAGTTGTCCCTTGATATAAAAGTAACAGGTCAGTCCATTCATAATTTGCAACATATGAGATTTAAATATTCCTCTTATTTGTTTATAGTACTTTTTTGAAAGCTGTCAAAATGTTGTGTTAAGTCTATGATTCCAAAATGTTATTCTGTAAATTGGCCTTCTACAGGTTTGGAAACTGAGAAGTTATTATTACAGAACCTGTACAATCATCCCTAATATGCCTTCTGCAACCCATAATATAAGGAGCACAAGGATAACTTTTCCACTTGAATTCTATGTCTTGTCTATTTCTGCCTGGTGTGTCCAGGCAAATAAATCTGATATAATTCATCAGGTTCAACCTGAACAGTGAACGTGTGCAATTGAATGGTATGGAAGAGAAACAGCAAAGACAGTCTGCCTGCATATCTCTATCTTTCTTCGCCTAGAGAGCATCTCAACAACCAGACTAGACCTGACAGACAGTAAATACAGTAACTCACCCATCCTCCAAAAATACTCCTACATGCACTGCCAGACCCCCTTCTCGCAATAGCAGAAATGTCACCTTCGATTTGAAAGAGAGCTGCTAGAGCATGTACAAGACAGGCATAACCTGCTGCAGAAGATGCTAATCCAGCTGCCGTTGGAAAATTATTTTCCGAACATATGCTGAGGTTCCAGTTCAGCTGAGGTAACCCTGGATTTGCCCTACTTCGGACTGGAAACCAATAGAAACGTTTTATTATTCCTTACATTGTTAATATCGTACAAGTGGCAAATATCTTGAAAAAGTGTTTAGTTTTAGTTATTTTTGGAAAAGGTAATCTAATGTCAGTTCTATCTCTGTGCAAAAGCTAATAAATTAAACTCGGCAATAAGTAATTACCAATTTTATTTCATTACAAAAAATCTTGAGAATTCATTTACATAAATTATTCTATATAGAGGTCCCAGAAGAGTTTTGTGACATTTTTTTTTGGTACATAATATTTTTTCATTAAAACTGTGTTTTTTTGTTACTATTCTGTAGATACAGTACTGCCAGTAAGCTTATTCATTCATTCTTTTTTCATGTTTTTTCAATGTTTATATAACAAAGTACCCATCTGATATTTTACATCAACTCATTAAGTCAAATTTAAATAACCTAATCAATAATTCATGAAGGATCTGAAAAATGTTAAATACCACTCACTTTCTTGTAAACAATTCAGCAACCTTGGGTTTTCAAAGGATTGCTTTTTCCCGTTTAACAAAAATATGTTCTCTTTCAATGTAGAGCTAGCTAAAATCGTAGTTTTGGTACACATCTGAAATAAAATGATTTAAGGGAGGTTTGCTTTATAACTGTCATTATTATTTCTACTTACTGCATCTACACTGAGTGTACCGCTCAGAGAATCATTAATGGGTAGAATCAGATCTTCATCTCTTTTTCCCCCTAGAAAAAAGAGGTGTCTCAAATGAGTAAGCAATAATGGATACAATTTTTTTTTGTTTATATTGACAGCTTCGATCTTCTTGAAAATTGAAATGAAACAATTTCTGTCATCTTTTAATTAAAACTTTAAAAGAAGACAGATATACCTTTAATGTTTTCGAAATAATTAAAGCTGTCTCATTCATTAACATCTGAAAAACAAAAAAAAAACAGTGAACCTTGTCCAAATAAATATTTCCCCTATTAGTTGAATCTGTCAAAATACCAAATTTTTTTGTCCTGATTGGTGACAAAAACATTGAACTAATTTCAGGATATACTTCAGTATATGCCTTCATTTTATTCATTGAATATACATAAAACATTTACTGAATGAAAACTAAGCAGCAATGAAAATAGAGTCAAACTAAAAAATAAGAATTTTTGTATTTATGAGATCAAGAAGATCAATACTCCGGTTGAATATTCACAATCAATATATATTGATGATTGAATTGAGTATATTAGCATGTACTCACTCACTGCACAATGTGTTTTAATTTTTTTATATGTTTCATCATTTATATGTACTTTACATATAGTTCAATATTCGATTTCATAAAATTTATATTTTATATTATAGTACTCAAAAGCTAAACTTTTGTTGTCAGAAATGTAATTGAAATAAGTCTGTTCATCTATCTATTATATACTGAAAGAAAGAAGAAGTACTCAAGACTTAATATTTATACAAAAAAATAATCTATCTTAGAAATATATGTCCTTCATATTAAATAAAAATCTGATCCCAAAATCTGAGGAAATTGGATAATACAGAAGGATAGTAAAAGATAACTAAAGAAACAAAGTTAAATCCCTGTGGTTCGGAAATGGAAATGACATATTGTGTAAGAAAAAATTCATTCTTGAAAAAAAAAGACATAAAAAATTGAATTTTACAAAAAGGTTGTGAGAACATTAATGGCATAGAAGAACACACTTGCTTAATATAAGATTCCTGAGGAGAATCAATAAATATCCAAGAACAAATAATTGTACTCTTCTTTTGAGAAGAAACAAGGACACTATAAAAGTTGATGATTATGCCATACTGAAGGGTAGAAGTATCACTGTGGCAATATTGTAAGAAATGGAACAAAAGAAAAGCAATAAAATGACCACGACAAAAAATTTGTAATAATATAATTATTTTCTTACTTATAACTGCATTTATTCCTCAATTACTGAAAAAAAAATTGGATACTGTAACTTGAAAAAATAAATGACTGAGAACACTAGAGCATCAATAAGCAACTCTACAACACTTCTCTGTGTTTATAGAAAAATGTTGGGGCTCATCTACTTCTATACTCACAATATTTAATAACAGCTATATTAACTGGAGCAACACTTGTGACCATCATCTTGATTGATACAGCTGACTACAGTCCAGAATCCTATAACAAAACCAACTCATTAATTATTACTTGATTTATTACCCAGATTACAGTGTGACTATCTCATGAGACTGTCGAAAAAGAAATGAATAAGCATGTGAAAATTAGGTGAAGTTATTTTTAGTAATTTTTTGTATTTTAAATCACAGTAATTGAATTTAATAGGCAAGCACTTTCTGCCTTATAATTAAAAATAAAAACTACTCATCACCAGGGTGAATAATATTTTTGAATATACAGGTTGTAAGTTCTTATATTCGAAAGGATGATTTTCTTATATAATTGAAGATTTTTCAAGACCTTTTAAGATATAGTATAGATAATTCAAATGAAATGATATACTCAAAAGTGTATAGGCAGTTAACATGGTGAATTAAAAAGTTGGTTATTGAGGATTTTTTAATGTCATTTATTTGGGACTCATTCGAAACTATCCACGGTCAAAATTCAGAAAAACGACAAATGCAAGTAGTGGTAGGTTCTAATTCTAAGAGTTCCTCTGAATAGAAACGTTTTATAACATTTATATGGATTTTTTTTTAGTTAAATATTAACATGCATTTGGGGCAACCATGTAGGTATTATCATAGAATGTAGGAAGGAATATCACCTTTCTCACATTTGATCCCTATTTTATATTGTTTTTTATTATTGATATGGAACATTAATATTTCACAGCTCTCAAAATAAGTGGCAGTTGCAGGTCATCAATTTCAATAATTACCTAGTGTGAAAATTCACTGAACGGCTTGTAACACATAAGACTGATGACAAACTACTGAATTTTAAATTTATGCCACATATACACTCCTCAAACTATTTTCTTCAACAGAAATAACAGTATTTACATATTATATAGGTAAAGAAAAGTTTACCTTTGTGGACCGCTGTACTACAAGCATATACATTGAGAAGCAATAATTTTACTCCTGAATACATAATATTTTGATGGTTGATTCAAGATTCATTATTATAAAGTAAAATGAGGTTAGGATTTCTTGTGGTTAAATATCTTATGTTGGGAGGGTTATATGTATGTGTTTATTATTTAGTTTTCCAATTTTAAATTCTATGTTGCGACATATCTCTTGATTATCCCTTGAGTTTATTTTTATATGACTTCATATTAACTTCCATACTGTGATATTATTAACTTTTCGTATCAAAGTGGCTATACCACCGTACCCGTCATGTCGATCTTGTCTAATGATATCACAATTTTTTTATATTAATTTTTTAATGTTGCTTCAATCCATGTCTCATTTGAAAGAATAACATGTGGATTACTTTTATGTATTATATCAAACAGATAATGATAATTCATATTAATACTTCTTATATTCCACTGAATAATTTTTATGTATTTAGGGTTCCCCTGTCTATCAAATGTTTAATAACATTCGGGTAAATCTACGTCTCTGTATCGACTGGTTTTTTCGTACGTTTGTACTAGTTCAATTATTTTTGTTATTGTATGTATTGGTAGTTTTGTAAAGTAGGTATTCGTAAAAATTCTTTATCAAAGTTTGTTCGTCCTTGTCGTTAGATTCAATCAGTCGATTTTTTCATTATTTTTCCATATTGTATTATTTGTCTCATTTACTGAACTTTTCGGTATAACTCTTGCGTTTATTTGTTTTTGACTGATAATATGGTTTAAAACTATTCCATTTTCCGGGTGAAATATTCTACCTACCGTATTCATGAGAATGTCATTCATTTCTTATCTATTATATATCTTGTCTACCTTTTTTTTCCTCATATTTATTCCTATACTTTGAGCATATGTACGATTATGATTCTGTGAGTTTTTTTGCGGCATCAACTGCTAGGTTATCAGCCGCGGTGAGTTTAATTATAGAGCATTATGTTTGTGACTGAACTGAATTCGCTTAGAAGTATCCGTGATACGTCATGAGTAATATGTGTTGCATACTTAGGGGTCTTTATTCATATATACAGGGTTTTTAATAATTTAATGATGATCCTGAGGAAGCATAATCCTCAGATGATTTTCAGAAAAATACTTTTATTGAACATAGGTACGCAACCGCTCTATTTCGGAGATATAGAATGCTAAAATTTAATGAAAAAAAAAATGATTATAATATCTCTGAAACCGTTTTGGCTTTTTTTTCAAGTACGCAAAAAATACGTGTTTTCATGACAAATTCTTCCTCAATGCTCATCAGTGGCGTCCCTGTTAACATGATCTGCAATATTTTTATCAAAATCATGATACGCCACTGTCCTTTTTCCAAATTTTTGTAATTGCCCTCTTTCTTCTCATAAAAATAGTAACCTGTCTTTTTTTCATCCGGCGAAGTAGAAAATAAAATACTTGTCTGTGTGCGAAATCTGCGGTTGAAGTGTCGTAATACGATTATTTTGTGGGCTAGACACATCTTCGTTGTCAGTATAAACAATTTTGACACTTCTCTAGCTACATAGGTGATATTATTAACGTTCATTAAAAAAACCTGGTAAATTTTACAACTACGGAATTAACAGACATACATTTAATACTTGTATAGGCTTGTTGACGGGAACACATACGAAGCCAGGCAGGGCCGTAGCGAAAAGAAAAACCAGGGGGGGAGGGAATCCAAATTTTTTCAACCCCACCAGCAAAATTTCCCAACTTTCTAAAAAATGAAAGCCGAGGGATCAGTTACTACTATAATATATTAATTTTCTTACTTAGCTATCCAATGATTGGCTGAATGCTTATGCCGGTTAGGGTATACACAAACAAAAGTACATTTTGGTAATTATAAAAATAATAATAGGAATCATCCTACTTTGGACCAAGGTCCTTGGTCTTCCACCATATCCACCGTGTATATGAATGTTCAATACAGATGAAAGGAAACAACACTTAATATTGTGCTTATTGTTTTCTACTAAAAGCGAAAAGCGAAAAGAAGTTATGCATGTTGGGAAATCCCGACCTTCTCCTGGTTCCTTTATGTTTCTTATTACCTCTTTCTTTCTTTTCTCTCATTTTCATTTTTTTAATTTTTATTTATTTTTTTACCATTATTTTTTTCAATCTTCACGGCCCAAAATTTCCCAACTTTTTCCCTAGTCGAAAAAGCAGGGGGAGACTCCCCCCATCCCCCCCATGGCGACGGCCATGAAGCCAGGGGATTGTATCAAGAGCGTTTCCCAAGTATAATTATTCCTGATGCTTGAACGATTTCAAGCACCCACAATATTATTTGTGTTTAAATAAACAATTATTAATTTTAGTATTTTTCAATAAATATACAAACGCACGCCACTGCAGGTGATAAAACGAGAACGGTGATAAAACCTATTGTTTGCGACCCTTTTACACAAAAATAGGGTGGACCTGGTAAAGTATTATAAACCGGCCTACACCTGTTGTGGCAAATCATAATGAAATCACACAATTCTGTATGAGCACCCTGTCAGCGTTTTGCATTTATAATAAGCATTTATGACTTCTTGTTATTAGGGAACAGAGTGCAGCTCGCCCAAATTTCGATTTTTTGGGGTTACACTTCACAGGGCGACAACAGTTGATTAACGGATTTTTTTGTCAAACCCTTATCGCATATATACCATCATCCCGTACTTTAAACTCGTAACAAGGGAAAGTTTAATGACGATAGCCACATCGTGACGCATTTTAACATGTCGAGGATGATGTTTGGGGACTCTGGTATTTCCTATTTCCTACCAATTATCGTGGACAAGGTTCGCGAGCACATGTCACACTGGTTGATTTGCCAGAATGAAAAATGAAACAATGGTCATTGGAGGTGAACTGTCTGAAACGGAAGAGACCATTTGAGTTTCCCCTTCCAAGAGAGAAACCCATTCAGCTGATTCTTCCCACTCCTCCTACAGGTGGTACAAATCACCGTGGTATACCTGTATGACGCGACAGTAGATACCTATCAACCCACTGACATTGAATACTTTAAGTGGTTTGAATTCCTCAATCCGTTTAGACCCGTTTCCTACAAATTACTATGTGAAATACCATTGAGTGATTTTATTGACGTCCAAAACTGGTTCCGAATGTCCAAAACAGTGTGAAATTGGTGTATAATTCATTTGGTTGCGCTAAATTACCTATGTAAGTAAAAAATAGATGAATTAGTAAACAAAAACCCTAACATTTTTTATGGTTTAGTTGAATTTATACCAGAAAAACTTTTGTTTTATTTCCTCGAATTTTGCGACAGCAAAATATTCAAATAGGATCCATGTAGGTATACTTATTCTTATTCGTATGTATTCGAAATTTATTTTTTTATTTTAATTTGGAAATTACTGAAATTAAGGAGTTTCAACTAATGTTCTGCAAAAAATGTATCGAAAGTTTTTGGGAAGTTACATGGACATAGTTGAAGCCTGCAAAATAATTAGGCATAGTTTTGGTTGAATAATTCGTTGCATGTGCAGGAAATCATCTAATACAGGCAGTAGACTAATACGAATTGAATTATAAAATAACACTAATTATTTTCGATTAGCATTGATTTTTATTCTCAATCACGAAAATATCGGTACTTTCTCTGCATTCCAACAATGTCGTATAATAACAATCAGTTGGTTAAAGAATTAGATGGGTTTATGAAAGTGCGTTAGAAAATGTCGTTATGTAATTTGAAAACAGTCATCATTCTTGTAAAAAAGCAGAACGACCAAGGACAAAATTCATGCAATTATAAAATAGTTTGATATTCCGGAATTGCGATCTCCGTTCACTAAGATGGAAAAACAGTTGTAATTTTTTTGAAGAAACAGTCAATAATGATCTACTTCAAATTTATTTTCAAGTCTTCGCCAAATTTTGATAATGTCACTGCCAAAAAACAGAAGTTTAAAGAACAATTTCTTTAAAGTTGATCCAGTTTTAGTTTTTTTAGCTACAGGTAACTCAAAAACAAAGCAGTCTTAGTAAAAGAATTTTTTGAAAGAAATTAGGTAATATCAAAATGATGGATAAGTGAAAAGTGTTTCACTGCCGTTCAAATTCATTTGGCTATTTTTTATTTCAAAAGTTTTCTTTCCGTAGCATTTTTATTTTCCCTTGAACCTAGTATAAGAATGCCATGATTATGAATGTCAAATGCTATACACATGTAATAAAAGTGTAACTGTACATGGAAGATATTTGAGAGAAACTTTTAGGGGTTGAAGACCCCCAATAGAAAGTAAAACAATAATTATTTATAGGGTTTTTGTTTGTGTGGTTTTGTGACTTAACCGATTTGGGTACGGTTTTCATTTATATTTTGTGGTAAACTCCACTTGGAATTTATTTCACTCGGCACACAAATAAAGAAAGTTATGTCAAGAACAAAACACGGTTATTCGGCTGATACTTTGGTTAACTATATTTGATGTTTGAAAAACGATTTTCTGGCAAAGATATTTAGGTATATCTGAGGAAACCCAAAACTGAAGAAAATGCAAACGAAGTCGCGAGCAACAGCTAGTCGTTTTTCAAAACATTTTTGTTTGAACAAAATTGAAATATTACTAGCGCATTCGATATAAAAGTAAATAAAACTCGTTTAATATGCAAGAATATAGCATTCATTATATTAGCAAACCCTCTGCGTTTGTACGCCAAAATCACATGCAATAATTTCTACATTAACTATTAACGAATGAACTAGGTAATTATTTTCTGATAATTGTGAAAATAATAGTAGACATTTTTTGGGGAAAAAATTTTTGGCTTTCTACTACTCCATCTTGACACAAAAAAAAGGATGAGGGAATCTTCCAAAGAAAGGAAGGAATTAATCAATTTGAAAATAAGTAACTCTATACATGGATGTGTAGATCATGCAAAGAAGTAACTTTCAGACACAAACTGAAAGAAAGTCCTCCTGAAAGAGCTACTTTCATATAAACATTGAATTACACGAAAGAAAATAATTCTTTTGAAATAAATACTTCTATATGAACACTGAATTATACAGAAGATACTTTTCTCTACTCAGTTTGTATTTCAAACATTCGTTGTGGAATAAAAATCAGATATCATTCACATGAGTTCTACTTTAAATGAATGGTAACAAATTGCACTTACATGGAACACTGTCATCCTCACTGGTATACATCGATTTTTCGCCTTAAGACACTTGCCCCAAAGCAAGTATCAAGATGGAGTAGTAGAAAGCCAAAAACTTTCTTTCCTAAAAAATTAATCACTCCTAAAAATATAACCCCTTCAATTCAGTAGTAGATATGTTCATTGAAAATTATATTTTTCACTAGCATGAGTACTGGGATTCAAAGAATAATCGAGAACTCTTGGGGTGATACTCGTACAAGGGCCCTATCGGAGATTAGTTCGGAGTTCGGACAATTGCCAAAGCTACAAGCGTCAGTGAATAAATGAAATAGATGCGATAATTATGAAGTGTAGTGTTCAATTATAATTTTGAATTATTAAATAAGTAAAGTTATCAAATTTGAAACTTGCCACACATTTATTAAAGATCCACACATAGACATAAGATTGGTAACATTAATAGTAAAAGAAATAATATTGATATTATTTGATGATGAAGTGCGAGTTGAGTGGTAGTTGGAAACAATGGAAATTTGCTACTATATGTTCAAACGTTTTTAAATTCAATTTTCATTTCATAAGGAAATCACTTCGATTGAAAATTTCAGTTTTCGGCATAAAACGTTTTCTTTAAAATCGCTTGATTTTTTGAGTTACAGTTGAAAAACCAAAATGCAGATAAATGTAAACGCGTTTCAAGAATCAAATAGCGAATATAACAGCACTTCCAAGCATTATTATATCTTTCAGTGTGAATCTAATTAAATTTGGGTTCTTGGATTTAAATTTGTGGACAAGTATTTTACTTTATTGGGTTGTAATTTGTTCTTCTTCTCTCAATACACTGTTTTATTTCTTCCAGAAATAGGTATCTATTTCAAACTTTCATTTTTCGATGCCTACTTACTTGTTTCTGTTAGGATTTTGCATTTAAGCACAGCGGCATGACCTTGTTAATTCTGCATAAGCGATTACAAACATAACACAGGATCTCTTAAGAATTTTATTATAAACTTAACCAGAAAAAATAATAGTACATAATGCTTTTTTTATATACAGAACAGAACAGACTACAACTTCTTTTTTTTTATATTACAGATAATTGACAGGTTGTGTCTAATAAACCGTCAGATGGTAAAATACATAAAATCGTAACAGTTTCTATTCATATATTTTTTGTTTATTTATTTTGTTTATAGTAAATAAATTATCTAATTATGATTTTGTCACTATACATCTTCTTTTCTATTATGAATTGATTCCAAATGACGCAGATATTTCAAAAATTAATTTAATATTATAGAACTTCTAATATGTTCGAAATGGATGGATGTAGGTACGTTTTGTCGAAGTTTAAAATAATCTCTTAGGTATGTTAGTCAAGTGTAACAATACAATTCATTTCGTTACAATCCTACATTGTTTTCACTTTATACCTATACTTTTATTTTATCTCTTCTAGACCGCCATGTTTTATAATAATAGACCCGACCGGTGGACTTTGTCACCCCAATTAAAATACTGAATTGACGCCTATGTAAAAACCCATAGGCGTAACATTTTCTTCTTCTAAGGGAAATATACTTCAAAAACTTGTAATTTTCTAAATTTTCTAAATGAGAGAACGCTGACTGATCATTTAAGAAAAAAGAAATAAATTGAGAAAAAAGTTTTGAAAAAATTATTGTATCTTCCTCAACAAAGGGAAAATATGAAAATTCCTGCAAATGGCCGTCGATGAATATCTCTCAAATACTTTCACCAACAACGCTGGTGTTCCCCAGGGATCCATATTGTCTCCAACCCTCTTTTTACTGTATATCAACGACTTATTTTCACCGGCAGCAGGAGGTTGCATATCTTAATGAGGATCTAGAAGTGATTTCGGTTTTCTCCAAGAAGTTTAATTTTTCTGAACTGGATATAATAATGCCAGGTCAGACAATTCCGCTTTACGCTTCGATGCGTTTGTTGGGGGGTTAAAATGGACACCAGTATGTCTTGGCACAATCATATCTCTGGAATTGCATAGGCTGCCTCTTAAAAACATGGAACACTGTTCCGAACCAGAAAACTGTACACACCCAAGCAACTTTTGATACTTTATAAAGCTCAGATCAGACCTTCTTTGGAGTATTGTTCTCATGTATGGAGCTTCGCCCCCAAACTTACTCTGAAGCTGCTGGATTCCATCCAGAAAAGATCCATCCGTCTGATCGGAGACGCAAACATCACTTGCAACTTGGTAGTCTGGAACATCGAAGAAAGGTGGGAGATTTGTCTCTCTTCTACAAATACTTTCACGGGAAGTGTTCGAGTGACTTGGCACATTTGATTCCATCAAGAGCGTTATATATAAGAAATACGCGACAGATTGTGGCCGCTCATCGTTTTGATGTTCAACTCAGTACACCTCGAACTCTACTGTCTAAGAACTCTTTCATTTGGAGAACGGCGTTTATGTGGGATAATAAACTTCATCAGAACGTTTTTCCAAATTGATTTAATCTCCAGCGATTCAAATCCAATGTGAATCACTACTTCCGCACAGGTACCGCTTTAAGGGAGCGCCTTATGTATTTTCCTGTAGTGCATGCGTTTTGTCCTTAAAAAAAGTGAAACACACTGTTCATGATTGTAATCCAGAATATTTCCTCATTTGTGAAAATCCCCGCAACTTACCAATTTATCTTATTTCAGGAATATTCGTTATGGACGTTTCGGATGGAGATCTCTCAACTTCAGTCGTCAATCTGAAGCACCACAAAGAAGATAACTCACATCGACCGTTGAGTCACTATGACAATAATCATCTAACGGAAAAGAAAAACTTGCTGTCTTCGAACAACAATGCAAGCATTCAACAAATTCACCAGATTCATCCCGTTGACTCTACTCAGAATTTGGCTCTGAACACTACCGTTCCACAAAATATCGCAGAGCAAAATATAGTTGGAAAACATATGCCAACGAGGAATAGTCTGAAACACAGCCGAATGGTCGTTCTCAACAAAACTTGTCAAACGGGTAAGTTATTTTTATCCAGATGTATACTTCTTCCAATCAGCTGTAACAATCAAATCAAATATATTTACGCTATTGAATTGTGTGCGGAGAGATTGGGAGAATCCAACCTCATACACAAGTCAATAAAAATATTCTCGGACAGTCAAACGGCTTCGCAAGTGCTTGACTCCTACCGAGCAACGTCTAAATTGGTAGCAAATTGCCAAAAACGACTCTCCTCGATAGAAAAACTTTACATATTGTTTCTGGTCTGGATTCCTGGCCATACTGGCCTGAAAGATAATTAAGCTGCTGACTCCTTTGCAAAGGAGGGTGCTGCAAGCAGCTTCATAGGACCAGAACCTGTCATTGGCATCGCTTTAGGCGTTGCCAAACAAAAATTGAACACCTGGCTGGCATGAGGATTCATGGACTTCTGGCAGAATCTTCCAGGATTGGCTCACTCCTTCGAAGCTTGATACCAAACAGTTGTTGGACTACAGTAGGGATGAACTTTGATGTCTATCAGGCCTTCTTACATGTCACTGTCATTTGAATCATCATATGCAGAGACTCGGACTGTGGGAAGACAGTGTGTGTCGCCTCTGTTTGGTAAATGATGAAACAGCAGAGCACATACTTTGTGGCTGCCCCGCTCGGGGACCGAATCACATTTTTAGAGTTTGGTTAAGCCGTACTTTTACCATCTGACCTGAAAGACCACTCACCATACAAACTAATCGGCTTCGTTGAGAAGCTGGGTTTATTTGGTATAGTGTGAAGAGTGTGTCGAATAAACCCACTCACTTTGGACCTAACCTGACCTAACAATCAAATATTTTCTTCGATCCGTGAGAATTTTGTATTCCGGGCATACATGCATATTTTCTGCTTCGAAATGGAAAAAAAAATCAGTACTTACCTTCACAAAAAAAACAGTTGAATGCGGCTATAATTTGAGTTCAAGATCAAAGCACATACCTATTTTGATCAATATGTCATATTCATGAGTACTAAAAGTTTTGTCTGTTTTTATGAGTCTACTTTAAAGTGTAACATCTCAGAGAATACTTATTCAATTCAATCGAAATCAGTGCCATTTGAAACAGTTCACTTTTGCCAACGTAACATAAGTCGATTAATTTCGTCAGTAATAAAAATTGGTTGCTCGTGATTTGATGAAGTCAACGAAGGCCGATTTTGCCTGGTCCAGATTGGCAAAGGTTCTACTGGTGAGATCAAAGTGATTGAAAAGATGGTAGTCGGTTGGCGGAAGGTCTGGAGAGTACCGGTGGACGAGGAAGAACTTCAACGCTCGATTCGTTCAATTTTCGGACGGTGATTTGTGAATCGTGCGGACGGGCGTTGTCGTGGAGCAGGATCGGACCTCTTCTGTTGACCAGTGCCGGCTGCTGCTGATAGTTTGGCCCGGTTGCAGAAAGTTATAATGAATCACACCAGCCGCTGATCATTATACAGTAACCACGTTGTCTTTTTTTGGTGGGTTTTTGCCTTTGGGAAGTGCCTGGATGGCTCATCGATGTCCAACCACTGTTCTGAACGTCTCCTGTGTTGTCGTAGAGGATCCAGTTTTAATCACACGTGACAATCCGATCCAAAATAGGATCGTTTCAGTTGCGCAGTAACAAAGAGTAATAGACCTCCCCAATACGTTTTAAACCGTCAAAAACCCATGGGAGCTGACGCCCAGTTCTTCCGCCATCCCACACACCGTTTGTGATGGGTCAGTCCCCAACACGGTCCTCAAATCCTCGTCCTGGATTATTGTAGGTCGACCACTTCGGGTCGACCCGTTCATTAACGCGTTCATTAACGCTATGTATATTTTGTTAGTATATCTTGGTTCATACGAAAAGACAATGAACTCTGAATCTATGTTTCTTTGAAAAGCCAAAGATTTACATAGATTCCCCCTAAATCTACTTATCTAAATGATGGAATCAAATCAAATATTTTTCAGTGATCATAGCTCCTTAAGACATTTTTTTTTTGATAAAACGATACTAGGAGAAACCAAAAATGGCTTGAATTGGTTCAGTCCCGGTAAACCTATCATTGAAACTTATAAATAAATATTGATAAACGTTGTTATGTGGTACTGAGCAAATGTTTCTCTACATGACTCAAAATAATCAAGATCGTCCCCTGTTACTGTGACTTACAATGAATCAAGGCACAATTATTTTTCGAAAGATACTCTCTACGGAAGTTGTTTTTGGCTCTAAAAGCATAGTATTGAACACACCTAAATAAATTGTACCTGAAGAACTTGTGATGCACTGTTTGGAATTTTTGGTGTAGTAATGAATATTACTGGAGTTTTATCCCAACACCAAACCGTTATTTTCAATACCTGGACACGTGTTTCGATCACCAAATGATCATCTTCAAGAGGAAGTCCGTGTTTCGATCACCAAGTGGTTTGGTGTTGGGATAAAACTCCAGTAATATTCATACCTGAAGAAGTTATTGGGACACGTGTTGCGGTTTTAGTAAACTGTTGAATGAAAATGTCACGATATTTAATACACCTAATGAAAGCATATTCCTAGCCTTTTGCATATTGCATCATTAGATACGGTTTATAAGTTAGGTTGAAAACTATTTTTCATTTAATTGGACTATATCCTGAAGGAAATTAATGATTATAAACCAAAAATGAAAAAGCTGTAGTACGGCGGTCGAGGGAAATATAATTTAAATTTGAATATTTTGACAGTTCATATTTGAATGATCGCCCTCTTATGAACAGAATTGTCACTTCATTTTACGTTGAAGTGTAACTTTCTGTAAAGGAGAGTAGTGTTGTAAATCATGCCCTAAAGAAAACGCCGGCCGCCACTGGTAGCTATGAACCAGTGACGTGGCTAAGAGCGCACTCAGTTCGACCGACTTTTTGCGGCTGTTCGCACCGTTTCGAAGGAATTCCGAGGAATGTTCCAGCGCCTTCGATTACCAAATGTAAGCGCCATCCACTCGCCCATCGACATAGCCAGAAAAGTGAGAATCTCTGGAAGGGAGATTGACTGGCAAGCGCGGGTAAAGTACCTCGGCCTTCTAATAGACCGTAGGCTCACTTGGAACCCGCACATTGTGTACGTCAAATCTAGGATCGAGGGTCGGATTGCAATTCTGTACCCTCTGATCAACAAAAAATAAAAAATGAGCTTGAAAACCAAACAAGATTACCATCTACAACACAATGTTCAAGCCTGTCATCATGTATGCTTCAGGCGTCTGGGGACAAGCGTTGAATTATAATATATCCATTCTGGAGGTATTGCAAAATAAACTAATGAGGATGATTGTGAATGCACCTAGGTTCGTGCGGAATGAAGTCATCCGCAGAGATTTGCAGCTGCTTTCCATTCGGCCGTTCATTCAGTCGAGGAATCAGCGAGTTTTTGAAGGTGCGGAAACTCACGAAAATCCGTTAGTTAGGGAAGCTATAGATTATGCTGTAGACGACCCCTCCCGATATAGAAGGCCTCGACACTCTATCGAATGAGGCCCTCATGTCCCCCGTTAACGGACGAATAGCTTTTTCATCCATCCCACCCCAGTCAGGTAGGGGTATCCCGTGAAGGACGGTACTGATGTCTGAGGACCTCATACCGCCATCCCCTCAGTCATGAACCCATTTGTCCTTCTTCGACAAAAATCAGGAGAAAGGGTAAGGGAGCTGGGTTCCATCCCGATTGAACTGAAGACGTTGGTCAGGCCATCGACATAGTCAAGTGGAAGTGACAGTGCAACATACATTTGAATAATAGTTGAAGTTAGTGTTTTGTTATATTAATAGTGAAATAAAGTTGAGTTTGATTATTGTTCGATGTAGTAAATTATTAGGAAACCCACAGGGAAAAACATAACACTAGGTTCTGGGAAGTAACCTCAGTAGAACTCTTTCCACTGAAAAACATCAACACAATCTTTGACATATGCAAGGCCGGATTTAGTTGGTGAAATTATTTTATTTGCTTACAATAAATTTTTGAAAGGCGACAGAAAAAACTTTTTCTTTCATTTGGAAAATAATTAATAATTAGGGAACCCCACTCCTTCGATGCCTCAAGCCTCCAGACTTCCAAATCCGGCCCTGGACATATAACATATCTGATCAACAGTCATGAAGAATAAAGTTATTGAAAGAGTATACTTTCCGTTATTCTTTTGGAGCAGTGAAGCGGTTAGATAAGATGAGATGCAGTAAGTGCACATGAAGATTCGAATAACTACGCATTTCCATATGCCGTTGCATCCTAAATCTTTCGTTCCGCGGTTCTACCTTCGCAAACAACAGAATTGCAACGGACTTTAGAGTAGTGCGAGAAATATGTTTCTGGCTGGAGTTAACAGTACAGATTCCCTTCTCTACATGGACCCAGGAATAGAAGCAGCACACAGACGTTAATGATATACAAAATCCATTGTACGCTTTCCTAGTTTTCTATATTATTGTTGCAATCCAGTTTGTATGCGATCACAAATGCAATTTTTTATTCTCTTTGCAGTACCTACAACTACCGTGTCGAGTAATTTGAAATACAAGAGTTTAGGAAAGCTACTTCTCATTGGAATTTCCGTACTGAGCGGATTGCAGATAGCTATTTCACTTTGGTTGTTATTATGGTCACCAAATCTCAGAGCAAGGGATAATCCATACTGGAGTGCAATACCGGTAAGTAATAATAACAATTTATTGCATAAACAATACATGTTCTACATGTGTGAGTGGACACACATTACGATGGACCTTGAATTATATCCGACAGACAATTGTGCAAGTTTTGTTGCAGTAAAAAATTCTTGCAGATAAGTACTTCTCGTTCGCCCAGCAGAAGGACATTGCTGAAATCAAGCGAGTGATCGCTTACAAATGACTAGATTTGGAGTACTACTTCTCGTCGATGCAGGACAGATCCAATTAAAACGGCAGGGTGTCGGAGAGTCACCGTTGCTTCACCTTATATCTGAAACCTTCTTTCGAGATAGAAACTGTTTGACGCAGTAACGGTTTCATCTCGTAAACAAAGTCTAAGCGCAGAATAAGCATCTCATATATCAAAAGTCAACAAAACTCAAAATATTTTTTTTATATTATCGCAAGTTATATTTCAGATATTGAAAATTTAGATCTTTTATTTTCTCTCACAGTTCAATACTAAAAATTATATTTTTTTAAGTAAAAAGTGGTTGAATTAAAGTAGACTTCATAATACCCAAGTACCTACTTGTTTTCAAATTCACCATCCTAAGATTTTATTTTGATTACTTCATCTACTCGTATATCCTTCTGTAGACCACGGAAGCAATTGTGGATACTAATTTTACTTGCTCACTTCATTATTTACTTTTCATTGTGGATCGATTTTTTCGAAATAATTTTCTTTCTGTGTGTATCCAACAAACACATTCGTTACGTGTTATGAATCACACGTTAAAAAGTAAGACCTCGTTAGTCCTTAGCTCGACAAGTTTCTCAACTTCTGAGAGTTGTCGTTCGTATGGGGGCACAGCTGATTAACGGAAAAACAGATTTTTAAACAACTATGTAAAATGTGACTATCTTATGATTTCTTTTGACCATTTATTTGTTCAACCCTCGTTCCTGGTAGTATTAAGGTCAAAGTAAACATAACTTGTTAGTTATGGTTACGAGAAAAATATCACTATTCGAAGGTTATATTTTATAATGTCCATTAAAAAATTATTGTCGCTGTAACTGAAGTAATTAACTTTTTCATTAATATCATGTAACATTTGCCAAGTTTTCATTCATTTTTTATTTCAAATATGTTATTTTTTTTCTAGAATGTAATGATATCGTCTTTGTGAAATGATTGATGGTTTGTTTAATTGACTTTGAACAACTTGAATTTTTTTCATTTGTAGAAATGCTAAAAATACTTTTATGATCATGAACTTGGAATGACACGTTGCAAGGTTATATCTTTATTTTTTTTCAACACGTCCTAGGATTCTTAATTAAAATCTTATTATTACGCCAATATACAGAGCTGATCCCACTAATTCTAACTCGGAAATGATAAGCCTGATGAGGGTTGAATCAGACAAAACGTGTCTGATTAGGGGAGGAATTAAAAATGTATGAAAGAGAAGGACCGACATGATGTTCAAAAATTTATAGAAGCACCCCAAAATTTTTTATGTAAACGACTTGTTCGAAATAAATCCCTTGTTGGTTGAGCGGATGATATTACAGTATTTTTTTGAGGATACTGACAAATAAAACAAAATTAAAAGATTGCTTGAAGTGCAGGGCCAAATAAACCAAATATTTAGCGATATACATACTTGATTACTTCAATAGATTTGTTGCATTAAATATACTTATTAACATACTGTGACAAATTGAATAATTAACTCTCTCAAACAAATCTATTTCTAACAATATTTCACTAAATTACAAACTATTTTATATTCAACACTTATCAACTAACGCTTAATTTATTTCCACCATTTGAATTTCTTGTTTAGTGGCCCGATTCACTTTCTGAACTCAACTGCCCTCTTGGGAGAAGAAGCCGGGCATATATAGTATAACGGTTCTTTCCAGACATCTGTAGTCGTTTCGGTATTCAACTAGAGTTTTATACCGGCGGTTGCCGATTGCATTCCTTTTGCGATGATGTCATGTGTTTTTTCGCTGGCCGGCATATCGGTCAGGTGCGGCTTCAGATTCGTTGCAATACAAAATTCTTTCCATATAAAACATGTCTGCTGTTCGATAATCCAAAAAGGCATAGGTTTCAAATAAACGTCTTTGTCTCTTGTAAGGAGTATGAGAAAAAGTATAACCAGCAAACAAATAATTGAAGATTCATAACTTGAACATTTATAACCTGAACTATAGTTTTTCCTTTATTTTCCAGGGCATTATTTCCGGATTCCTAGGAATAACCTACCTCACCTGCTGTTTCAAAGAATGCTCTCGAAACAGTAAACTTATTTATTGGCTGAAATTCTTGAAGGTAACTTTGCATGCTCACTTATTTTTAAACAATAAGTAGAAAGAGGGAGAGGAAGCGTAAAAAATAGTCAAGGTTTGGTCTAAGGGAGGAAGGGGAACAAGGTGTGGAGCATCCAGAGTTCCACCAAATGTTCCCCAGGTCGTTTCACCCTCATCAAACTTTTAGTTTTCTCTTAATATTGGATATCATATATTTATTCAACTAAATGTAGTAGTTCGATAGGTTTACATAGAAGTACGAAGTCTGTTAAAAAATAAGGTAAATATTCAAATATCGCACATTCGATTAATGATTTTTTATTTTCATGTTGGTACACTTGTCTCGAACATATACTCACAGTTTCAGCTGTTTAGCATGTTGGTGAGAGACATAAAAGTTAAAAGTATTTTGCGTGTTCGACGATTTACCTAGTTATCGAAAAAAAAAGATCATAGAGTTTGCATCAAATTTTGTGTAAAAAACGGATTTGAGAAAACACTTTAGAGTCAGAAGAATGTTCACAAGTTGTTCAAGCTTTTCACAGAAGTTCGAGAAGATGTGAATGACGATGCTCGCCCTGAACGCCCCAGCAGCACATCAAAAACCGATGAAAATGTTGAGAAAATTGTTAGAGAAGTTGCTGAGAAACATCGGTCGACTCATGCCACGGAATTTTTTCGTGTTGCGTGTGGCTGCAAATTCATTTCAAAATTGCTGAATTCTGATAAAAAACCCATCGCATGAGCGAAATTGTTGAACATCGAAACCAAAATCCAATCGACCCTATGGAAGAGTCAAGAGAACGGGCCAAGACAAAAAAAAAGCTCGCCAGGGTACCGCATTCACTAGATTTGGCCTCTTGCGACTTTTTCCTGTTTCCAAGATTGAAGAGATCGATTGAGGATATGAAAAATGAATCGCAGTTCTGGTGTGATATATAGCATATCATATCATATCACACCAGAACTGCTTCGAAGTTTGGAAAAACTCTGGCATAAGTGTATTATATCTGAGAGGACTATTTTGGAAGGGGACAATATAGAAATCAATGAATAAATAAATATTTGAGAAATATCAAAATTCACCTTATTTTTTTACCAGACCTCGTATGCATATTATAATTATAAAACAACATATCCATCTAAATCTACATTTTTATAAACACTCAAAAGTGCAACACTGAATAAATATTAGATTTGAGAAACAATTACTTGAAATACACAACAGACTTCAAATTAAAAATGTTGAATTGATACAGGATATGATATAACAATTTACAACAGAGACAAAAATTAACTTTGAAATGAATAAAAGTTGTGCAGTCATACCCATTCAGAAAGTATTAAGAAAATCTTCAACACTGTAAAAACAGTGTTGCAAGTTTTCTTGAATATTTTACGTTTCCCCCATGCGTTCAACAATAACTGACTATACTGTACAGTTAAACTCAATTTTATTTCACTACTACACTGCCAGTACAACACAAGAAATTCAACTGAACTTCAGACTAATTCTCAAATGTCTATCGCCTTCTATAAAAGTCAAAGTTCAATAGACTTGCCTCATCTTCTATTGGTAGTGTTTATGTATCCTAATGGAAGTCTCGCGAAGCTGATAGGAATCTTTTCGAAGCGACGCGACATCGAAAAACGCGACCTTGGCCAATTCGCAGTCGATTGACAAAGAACAGCGTAGGCCGGCGTTAATTTTGTCACGGGATAATTTACAACAAGTAGATTACCTTTATAAAGGTAAAAGATATTGATTACTTTCAAAGGTACTGGTAAAGATATTGATATACAAATAATTTTGTTTGCTAACAGCTAACCTACATTTGATCAACGTTAGGTTGATAATACTGAGACTGAGTCATTTCTAACTTGGTTAGCAAAACGCGCGTCGAAAGGCAGTAATTTTGTTCTGGTGAGGGAAAAGCACAGTGTTTTCAATAGATATATTTCTTCATTTGTCAACATCAATTCAACAGTTTCAAAATTTCTTAGTTTTCAATTATCCCAGTTGAATTCAAGTGATTACACTAAACTGTGTTAAATAATATTCATGTACTATAAGTAGAACACAACTCCATACAGGCACTAAAATTATCAGAAACATTATTACATTAAAACGAAAAAATTGTGGTCAAGGTTGTGATTCTATATATTTGATCATCATTTTTCCTCATCTGTTTATTATAATTTCCGTACGCCACTGCGAGAGACAGATTAAGGCAAAAACGTCAGTCATTTCTGAGAATTTGGTGCCTACTATTTTGGAATTATTATTTAACTTATTATATAACTTCTCAGTGTTTATATACTTTATTTACTGAATATATTATAAGTCGGTTAATACATGTTTTGAATAATTTGTTTCTACAAGCCTCTATTTAATTTTTTTTTCAGTATATTTCGATAACCGTCAGCGTTATAGCTGTGCTAGCTTCTTTCATCATATTCTTCTTCTCTTTGATGCACCTCATCACTCTGGAATCGGCAGTGTGTTCCCCTCCAGGAAAGCTAGAAACCACTTGCTTATGCCGGTCTAACTCAACAGAGGAAAGTCTTCAGACGGACAGTTACCACTACGTAGACCTCAGCTGTTCAGAGGTGAACAACATTTTGTGGACATTAGTTTTAGTAACGTGTGTTACAAACGCAGTAATTCTGCTGTTCGAAATGGTTTATTTGTACTTACACTGGATAAGTAAGGACATTCACGAGTACTCCAGAGTCCCTACGAAAATAACTGAGCTGAAACTTTACAAATCAAACAGGTAGCAGCTGATCCTAAAACAAAACGTTTTTCGTTTTTTTCAATTGATTTTGAACTGAATTTTTACTATTCGGGTTGAGAGATTCATAAAAAACAAACCTTTCTCCGAAAAAGCAGCTCTCTAAGGTGCAATCTAGTTGATATAATTGTCTCTCCAAAGATTAGACAATAAATTATTTTGAATACAGGGTGTTAACTAACAAATAATGTCACGAATTCTATTATGTTGAATGACAGTGAAAATGTTCATGAATGAAGAGTGAGGAATATTTAATCACATAATATAGAAACCGCTCTCACCTCAGCATTCATTTATTAATTTTTCAGTTCTATTTCAAACCCTCAAAGTTACAACTTATGAATGTCCATAAAAGTTGAACACTGGTAACTTCACTTGACAGTGGAGAAACCTTAGCAGAATAACAGACTTGAATTTGAGAAAATTGTGACACATTTTTCAGTGGTATCAACAATAGCAAGGGTTTTATACTCCAATAAATCACAGCTGAACTAGTCATTTACTGGCACGTTTTATTGATAATTATTATAGAAGTGTAAATATATAATTAATAAAGATATATTTTATTTAAAAAATGTTTGATTTTAACAAGAGTGTCCCGTGAATTAGATTGGTAGCTGAATAGTTTGTCAGCCATAGCATTCTACCATTCGAAGAAATTGTTAGAAAGGTCTTTTATCGATCAATCAGAAAATTTATCGTTTTTTAGAAAAACAAATTAAAAGTAATCAGTAAAAAATTCACTGTATTTCAGGATTATTACACGTCTGACACTTTCTGCCTGTCTGAAGTTCTTACTGTACCATCATTTTATTGTGGAGAAAAACTGTTAATCTGAAAGAAGAGATGAAAATTATCCCCAAAGCAAACTACTATGAAATTTAAAAACAAAATAGAGATTATATAGACATTTGATAGATTTACTAGGAATATGATTATTTATTGATATCTAGTTAGCCTAGACCAGTCCTGGAGATTTTAAACTCTATTACCAACAGTTTTGCTCATTTACACACTTTTACGGAAACATAAGGTAGATTCACCAATGAAGCAAATAACTTGCGACAATGAAAAATATAATAGATTGGTGAACTAATCAGACCTTCAATGTATTCCATGGCTGCATGAAATTTGTTTATCATGTGCACATTGTTTTGAAGGTGATTGACAATGTTTCATGATGAATTTCACTAGTTCGGACTTCCATTGTCTACTATAAAATGATTTGAAATCCCTGAAACAACTGAAAAAGAATAATTAAAAATAAATAGCTGAAAATAACAATTATATTAAACAAAATGAACCTGAAATGGAATAATAGTGAAATAAACTACAAGTAAAAATAGAACAATTGAATAAATCAAAATTAAGGAATGAATGAATGAATGAATGAAAATAAAAAGTGGAGAGATTCCAAGTCACATTAGTTCACGACGTTTCGATTATTAGTATCTACAATCGTCTTCGGGTGATGACTGGACTGATTCCTCCGAGAGATGACTATTTATAGGTCGTTATTTCACAATGGAGAAGGAAATCCACAATAATTGCCATTCTTAGACGTTTTGGTGAAGAGGACCGACACTAAGTGGGAAACATCTGTAAACCGAAAACTCACTCATACGGGACAGTAGCTGAATCATGAATCCAACCACTGTCAATCCACCAAAAGAGGAATTATCAAGACTCAGTGGATCGTGCTTTCGGGCTCTGTAATACGAAGGAAGGTCTCGAGAAGGAACTAGACATCATCAAAAATGATCTACAACGAAATGGATACTCCAAAACGATGGTAGAAAAGACTTTGGCTAGAAGACAGCAGGAGCCTCGCAAGGAGGAGAAGCCGTCACAACCAGTGCTTGCACTTCCCTACATCAGAGGATTATCGGAGAGGATAAGAAGAATTGGTTCCAAGTACAACATCAGAACCTGCTTCAAATCCGGTAACACTATCCGTAGCAGCCTCACGAAAACCATGCCACCAAACGCGGACTGCGATTCCAAAAATTGCATTTACCGGATACCCTGTGGGAAAATGCTATATTGGTGAAACTAAGAGGCCATTGAATGTTCGCATTGCCGAGCACAAAAAACACAGCGAGGGGAAACCAGCAAATCAGGAATAGCAGACCATGTTTGGACCCATCAATACAACATCGAGTGGTCCCAAGCTGAGATCTTGCACAGTGAGGAACATTGGTTTAGGAGAAAATTCAAGGAAGCCGCATACATGTTGTCCAACAACGTATTCAGCCAAGCCAGCGTAGAAATACACAACATATGGAAACCTATCATCAAGCGAAAAATGGCCAACTCCCGCCAAAACGGTCATCTCTCACGGAACCAGTGAAGCGGAAAATGGAAAGCGGGGATAAGTGAAAGTACTCGAACGACCTATAAATAGTCATCTCTCGGAGGAATCAGTCCAGTCATCACCCGAAGACGATTGTAGATACAAAAATCGAAACGTCGTGAACTAACGTGACTTGAAATCTCTCCACTTTTTATTTTTATTTTCTTTTTTCATTCCTTTATTTTCGTTTATTCAATTGTTCTATTTTTACTTGTAGTTTATTTCACTATTATTTCATTTCAGGTTTATTTTGGTTAATATAATTGTTATTTTCAGCTATTCATTTTCAATTCTTCTTTTTTAGTTGTTTCAGGGATTTCAAATCATTTTATAGTAGACAATGAAAGTCCGAACTAGTGAAATTGCACATTGTTTGACGAACAAATTGATTTTACATATGCATTGACAAAAATGGTCCAAAAAACTGTTCATTCAATACATTATCATTCAATAGCAACTGAATAAGTGAAAAAAAATGTTTTTGTGGCAAGTCTTTTATAACAACTACCTATTATGTTGAGACAAAATAAATATTATAGAATTGTATCTACATTTGAATATACTTCACACAAGAAAAAAAAGGTATTTATTGATAACTCTTTGGAATTGTCATGTTGCTTTCAACCACCTCTTTCCTTTATTATATTCGCATGGCAAGAGTTTTTAGTAGTTGATTGTATTGTTCCAAACGTGAATTAGGTTAATCTTCAAGAATTCAATGGAGAAGGAACATTTCACTTGAAAAATCAAACAAGTTATTCATGTGTTATTCATCTTTGTATATTTCAGTTTATTAATAATCAATTACAAAATATAAAATACCATTATGGTGAATTATTTGCCCCGAAATGAGCATCTGTATAAATAAAAATTCACAACAAAATAATCAAATGCAAAAATGCAATTATCTCACTATTTCCTATCATGGTATATATGGAAGCTCATGGAACAAGTGTCCCTCAAAAATACTGAGTATAAAAATACAATTTTTCAATTAATATAATAACTGTAAATTACAGACACATTTTGTACGTTCTTTTGAAAAAAATGTGACCCTTCAGCTATCTTTTTCGAATTAAAATGTCACCTTTACATTCAGAGCAGGCAAACAAGGTGTCAACTCTGAAATTCATTTCAAAAAATTTTTAAAACTCTCCAATAATTCTAAAAATATCTCTCACTATCAAATACACAAAGGCACTAACAATATATGTGAAGATAAATTTTCAAAATGGCAACAGATTTGGCGGAGGTGCCAAGTTATTCGGATACCTCGATTTCAACATTGCACTGAGCCAGTTTGCCCTCTGAGTAGCATCGGACCATACGATGACGTAACCAAAGTAAGGGCAACTTTTGTTTCTGGTGGGATGGCTTTTGGTTTCTATGAAGGTTATTGTCCATCTGGATTGCGGATTCCTTTTCGATTCGTGCCCAAAGTACCAAATGATATCTTCAATATTCCACGAATGCAAAGTTATTTCTCCCTAAAAGATAATTATCAATTGATTCCTTTTTAATTCAAAACTCGATTTGTAACACAAGAGAAAGAAAATCGGAATGCACTGTTCAAATCTTCAAATGTTTGAAAATATCACTTCAAGAATGATCAGATGAAATTCTAGTAATATATTCAAGATTGAGATATAAAAAATAAAAACATTTTGAGGATATCTTTTCAACAAGTTCACGCCTGTAACAGTGAAACTGTGTATTTATCATTATTGATAGAATTGGTGGAATCTTTCTATCTCAAAAATCGTTTCAATCTCTCTCGAAAAAAGTTTAGTCGGATGAGAAAAAGTTAAAATATTCAAAGAATGTGTATGTAAATCAGTTTTAAAATCTCTTGACGTAAAATTTCACTTACAGTCTTGTCTTTGAAGCAAGTTAATTTTCCTTGAGTGAATTGGAATGTCAATAACTTGAACAGTCTCGATTTACTGTCAGCGAACCTCATTTCTCCAGAAATCGGGATCGGTTTTTCCAAGATGAACTCCCAATATTTGGACAGCGCTGCCAAAGTTAGGTAGTTATTTTTCCTGTCTTGCTCGTCCCAGTAACCCCATTTCAAGACAACGTCCAAAACCTACAAAAATTAATAAACGAAGTGAGATTGATAAAAGTTTTCAATAAATTATTCGAACCTTCTCTTCATGGTGTATAGGCCTTATCAATTTGTCGTTCAAAACTATTTCTTCAAGCACCAGCTCGTGTATCGGCAGATTAATGTGTTGATTCAATTCCATACAAACTTCGTAAGCGGTTTTATTTGGACCAACGGATACATTGAAAGACTTTCCCTCTTTGTTATGAAGGTAAATCCAGATTCTCAAGTCTCCGGCACTTTTTTTAGTAGGTTGTCCTTGAGGGGACTGGGAATATTTTTCCAGAACTCTCAACATATGCTTCTCTCTTTCCAGTTCGCCCGGATCTTCAGGGAAAATGTATCGATAAAATTTTATCAGGTGTCCCACAACTTCAGTATCCCGTTGATGGTTTCGGCTTGAATTTGACATCCCGTCTCTATCCTGCAGGTTGTAAAAATATATATTTGTTATTCAGTTATTTATAATTGAATTAAATTATTATTTTTACCTCAAAATGCATTAAAGTTGGTCCCCATATAGAACACAAATTATCAATAGTCATCAAATTTTTTGAGCTTTGGGAACTAATAAAATGCAAATGTCCCAGCAATTTTCTAGCTGTGTTATATGATACTTGGGGTAGTTGTTCTAGAGCTGCCCTGTACATCCTGATCCTTTCATCTTTATCATTGTGCTCTGCAAAAAAATGATACTTGAAAAATTGTATGATGTAACTGAAAAATATCATATTGAAAGATTGGTCAAGGTTTTGTTTGTTGAACAAAATTTCTATAGTCCATACAGATCTGTTCACCTCATACTTCCAACAGAAAACAATCTCTATAGAGATTGAGGTGGAGAAAGTGACAAAATGGTATGACCCAAGGTTAAATCTTGGGGGTCTCTGTTGTTGTTTCCTTCATCTGTCAATAATTTTCGTGATTAAGCTAAACCATGTAAAAATGTATAGTGTTTTGCAAATGCAGATAAAGTATAGTAATCAATAACTGATTTGAGTACAATGTACTCGACTTGAAGCAAAATAAAGTTTGGTCTTCATTTACCTATTTCAATTATAAAATAATCTGCTGTGAAATTGCCCGAAAAATCATTATGATAAACTATTATTTTATAAATCATATGCGAATGTGAGGCACCCAGCAAGTGACCTGATTGTTGGAATGGATACCATAAAAAAGCTGAGAGAAAAACGCAATAAGTCCATGAGGCTGCAGCGTTTTCCGACGACTTGGGAGAAAAAGACAAGTCGTATGGCTCCCAAGGAATAGAAAACATAAATAAATAAAATAATAAATATATTCCACTTACTTGAAACTTCATAAAGATACTGACGTTGGTTACTACCCAAAAGAGGTTCTGGTAAATCTCTGAAGAACCGTTTTATAGCCATTGCGACATCATGTTCGGTGAACTGATCACTCGTTAATTGCACTGCAAATGCATCTTTCGCAAATTTTGACAGCAGTTCGGACACAGATGACCCAGAACCAGAACGCCTGTAAATGCCCTCAGTCATACTTCCTGAAAAGTATTGATGATGTAGAAAATAACATAATGTATATTTTATATTACACCAAACATTAATATTGAAAATTTTTGAACTTTTATAAAGCGACCTTATCAAGTACACCGATAAAAAAAGCCCCACGAATCGAAAACTGTTTTGGAAAATTTTCGAAAACATTTTATGCAGTCTTCAATGAAGATACAAGTCAAGTAAAATATTGTTAATTAGTAATTATCTAGATATTACAGTGATTCACTTGAAGATTTTTTCCTATGGTAATCAATTTTTTATAGTATTCAGAATACACCCTAATTCTATAAATTTTTAAATTAAAATTATAAATTATAGAAATGGAGTTTTGGGGGACGGACTTTTCTTGGAAATATCCTCCTTTTTAAGGATCTTCCTAAATTCCCTTTTTTTTAATCTTAATTTTTTTATAACTTTTGCAATTTTTCATGTTCTAAAAAACGGTTTTAGCACATTTTTCTAGATATCATTCCAGATCGAATGAGGCATTGCATGTATTATTCCGACCTTTATCTCTACTTTTCACCATTTACAACTTGTGAACTAGACTACCTTTTCTTCATTCATACAATTTTAGTTTAAGTAAAAGTAAATGTGAAGTTTGGTGTATGAGGCAGCCAGAAATGTGTTATTTCAGAAATTACAAACAGGACGAGCAAAATATAATCATAGTGATGCAAAATTCTTTTTGGCCCAAGATGAGGAAACTTCATAAAATATCCATTTTTGAAAAGGTGTTTTGTGTCTAAAACTAATACACATTAATGTTAAGAAAATCATCCATATGAAAAGAGACAAGTTTTCTAATAAAACTAGATAAACTTTTCATTGAGTTAAACTCCATTCTTAGATTTTCATTAAAATTAAATTCGTTATCCATTGAATGCAGACTTTACTGATGTATCTGTAAACTTCTTTGTCTCAACTATAACATGTTTTGCTTTTAAATAGAAACGTACCTTTCAAAAATTATATTTTATGAAAATACCTTGTACAGAGTCGAAAACAAATAAACTTTTTATGAGACCAAATTTGAATAATTCCATATGGATTCTGTAGAAAAAACACATTAAATATAGCACTACTTGAATAATGAAAATGTATCTGGAATCAGGCATTGCCAAAACTACAAAAAATTCAAATTTGACAGATATTGAGAATATCTTGACTCCGATTTCATTGATATTTTTCATCTTGATCAAATCCCAAATTGATACCAAAGTTGAATTTCATTTGAATCCATTAATAAAAAACATCCCATATGATGCAGGCTTTACTAGTCATACTGTATACTTGAGTAGAATCGGAGAGAACATTCTTATGCCTATCAATTCTTCTAATATCACCCAGTATATGACTGGTAAACATAATGATTATTCCATATGTGGACAGGGTCATATTTGTCTCACCACAAAGTTCATAATCAAATAAATACTTCTTCAAAATTAACTGTCAAAAACGTTGTGCCCACCATTCCTGGATTCAGCATTGCAAGATTGCAGAAAAACAAGATACATACCATGTGTGTAAACAAAATTGATACATTTTTCCACAATAACGGGAACGTCATTTTTGGTGAGCTGTTGCTGATCTAAATTGGCACCATTATTATGAGCTTCTAACTTAACTATGTGACACCAGACCTGCAATGAAGTATTCTCAACTTAAAATTTAACACATACAAAAATTCAGCACGTCAAAATAATGATTAATTGTCAAAAATCATTTATGAATAAAAGTAATTGGATGTAGGTTATCCATGATAATAAAATAATTTTCACACTAATAACTTTACAAGAGATGCGTTTCGCTACACAGTAGCTTCCTCAGTCAAACTGGTACATTGAATTATTCTACAATGCATTTTATAGAACATTAGTTACAGAACTCAACTGAATAATATGGGAGTTCTAGATTAATAGGTAGACATTCAAAGACAGTAGACAGTTGGGTTGGCGTGAGTGGATTGTACATTCATTCAGTCTATCGCTAGATGAAACGGTGGTTTGAGCTCAGAAGCCGGATGATAGATTTTTCCCTACCTACCGTCCAACCCGCGCTAGGAATCGCACGTTAAAAGCTAAGACCTCGTTTATCCTTAGCTCACACAAGTTTCTACTTTTAAGGGTTGTTGTTCGATAAAACAGAGAACAGATTCCAACAATATTAATTCTAGGTACGCAGATGAAATTTAAAAAATTAATGATTGATGACCATCAATTCTCACAATTTTGGTCTCTCTCCTAAAAGATGTGGTGCTAATGGCACCAGATATAGTCAGGCAAGCATGTCTCTGTACACCAGAGACCTCTGCCTCAGCCGTTTGCCGTAAGGCATTCTGCCACTAGGCAATTGCTTTATTTGATCATTGGTTTGATAATCATCACATATATTCCATGGAATTGTTTTCCAAAAATCTTTTGATATGTTTACGGTACAGCCTGGCTTTGTGTGAAATTTTTCCAAGTAAGCATTCCAGAGGGCTTTTTTATCAATGATGATAATATCTAGACATTTCACCTCCGTCGGAAATGGATTAACCTCACCATTGAGGGAAAATGGAGTCGAATCGTTTAGATTTCCCTTCCTGGTGAGGTTTCCACACTTCCTCTGGCACCAGCAACCTTTCCCAACGTGTTTCTTGCCAATATGATAAGATCATCTGCAAAAGCCTAGAGATCTACTTCTGTTAAGTTTGATGTGTACATAAATATTAGTTCACATTTTTTTAGGTGAATTTTACTGTAAGGGGTTTTTCCTGTGAATGAATAAAAAAATAAATCAAGTAGACTATCCATCAGGAGTGACCATAGAAAGAGAGGATATAACCCAGCCCTGATGGCAGCTCCTGTTGACCCTGAACCTAATGACCTCATCATGCCCTTTTGGGGCATGGCACAGTCAGCCAGTTATGACAGATTCTATGCCTTCTTTTGCCGAAGCTGATCGTTTAGTTTTCATGTAGAGGCATACAAGATGAAGAAAAATATTATAGTGTTGCCTCTGGTTTGACTACAAACTTTTTAATACTCACCTTCGTCTCTCTAGATGTCCACATTCGCAAATATAATACTAGATCTGGACAGTCAATCAGCATATTAGGCCCCCTGTCATTCGTTCTAGGATTATTGTCGTTTTCTACATAAGGCTGGAGAAGAATACATCTTGCTTTCCTTAAATCTTTCTTTTTGACTGACTGCCCGTCTATTGCATATCGAAATTCTCTATGAGTCAGAATGATCCAAGCTCCCACCCATTTTCCACTGACACCTGAAAGATTTTGAAAGTTATTCCAAGAACTTCAAAGCAAGGCACAATCTATTTAATATATTATATAACTTCTAAAAAGTGATTTCAATAATTTTAAGGTTTGCTTTACATTCAAGTAATAAAATATGTTGTGGGAAAAAGGCTCATTTTGAAGTAAATTACCATTTCGATGGCTGAAGGACTTCGGTCGATGGCTCTTTGGTATTCACCAATAAATGACATTTATTATTATTATTATTTAACCATTTGGAAAATGAAATGGGAAAGGGCTGCATGAAATATATCGCACAATAAATGAACTATTTACAGTGTTTAATTGTGTAGTTGTCATTTATTACCAATTTAACAAATGTTTGACAAGAAGTATGGTATTTACTACATGTTTATGAGCTATGTTGATTTTCAATTTGTTTTAGAGGAAATTATTTTCTTTTAAATTGGAAAGAAAATAATTATAGAACAGAAAACAACTCTTTGGCTTTCTACATTTCTACCATTGAACAAAAAATGGGGAAAACTTTCAAAGGAAGATAAAGAAACATCAGGATAATCACTTTTTGTCATGAATTCTTCATCTTGTCAAGTTATCCAAAATGGTGATGATGAGAAAGTAAGACAAGTGTCTTATCCCAAAACTTCGAAGTACACCAGAAATTTGATAACTTTCCGTGTAAGTAACATTTTATACCAACATTTTTTCATACATTACTGTTTCATTTATATTACAAATGTTTGGAGTACTAACTGAATAATAAAAAGTGATTTCCATGTAATTTGATGTACATATTATTAAAATATTTTTTCTTCTAGTAAATCTTCTGTGCATGATTTACACATCTTTGGAATGAGCTCTTATTGTAGTTATTTTCTTTCTTTCTTCCTTTCTTTGGTTTTTTGTTTGATGATAGAGAAGTGAATTTTTTCATTTTACACATTCAAATGCCTAACAAAGTGTGTTATATGGTCTCTCATCATTGGAACCGCTAGATCAACTGATATACAGAAAAAGAAATATTGGCTTGTCATTTTCACGCGGTAGCCATTATTATAGAACTATAAATTATAATGAAATGAACGATAATAACCTAACTTCTGTTAAAAGTTCATATCTAATAAATTGTGGAATACTATCACTAAAGATCATTAAAAAATTACTAAATTGCAGATGTAATACATTAATATTCAAAGAAGATTCTATTTGCTTGTAATGGTCTGAAAATTGCGTAATCTAATCATTTCCTTGCATTCAAACTTATACAGACTTAAAATCGCACTTTATGAAGAAAACTACCTATATCTGAAACAGCTACGAGGCAATATACTTCATATTTATTATATAAATATTCAGAAAGGTAATACCTTCTCGGACATACGCCCATCCCATTCGTGAAAAGTTTGTGGTCACTTTGCTGGAAAACCGGTTGGTCAAAGATTCGGCAATCAGCTGGGCCCATACTCTTCTCTCAGAAATATTCCTAGTGCCATAGACATGGCCACCGCGGCTTTTCCCTGTTGTGTTCAACTCAAAACAATAAAGGTCATCATTGTCATACCTAAAATAGGAAACTTCATAGAATTGAGAGACAAATATGTATTACGAATTTATGATACTGAAAAAAAAATGAATGCAGAAACAATCCTTGGTATATTATATGGCAAAAATGTATTTGCACCAACTATAATTGACAAGTCTCATCACACAATGTATTTTTGTAATAAACAGCTGGGTATTTATTTATTTATGTATATACACAGGCAAGTCTAATTCAGATATAAGAAGTACATGTAGTACTTAATGCAATACAGTGCAGTGAAAGTAAATTATAAGAATAATACAATTTCAAAGTAGATTATTTAAGAAATTTGAAATGTATAACAACACTAGACACAATACAATAACACAAGCAGATAATATTAGATGGTTAGGTGAAGAATATGGTTTTTAAAGCGGGAAACTGATATATTAAAGATTTGAAAGTTATTTTTAAAGAGTTAGGCAATCAAACAGTTCTGGGAATAAAGCTGTTGTATGAATAATTGAATTGAATTGATGAAATTTAAAAGCATGTCTTATGTTAGACAAAAATCTGGGGAAACACACAACTATTTTGGGTGGACTAAATTGGAGCTGAAAGATCGTATTCATTGGATATCATAAAAAGAACAGATTAGAAGATAGCTGAAAATAATGAGGATCTTTATTATATCTTATAGTGAGGATTCATCGATATGATATATCGCATGTTTTTTCAATTTTGAATTATAGTGAGAGTAGAGATAAAATATTTGTTTTCCATCACAACTGATCAGTTATCACATTACGAAATATGTCTGAAATAAAATTTAAGTAAATATAGGAGATCATCTTGATCCAGATAATAACAATAACATAACAAATAAATGACATATTTATTAATTACTAACACTTTACTATGAGATTTCAATAAAAAAAATTACAAAACTGCAAAAAGTGTTTTTCTATACAATAATTTCTATGGATGTGTTTAATATGTACCGTATTGAACAGACTCAAACACAAAAATATATATTCTATAAAGCAGGCAGATAGCATGAAAAACTCTGAAACTCTTGAATTGAAAGAGTGGAAATCAAATTCTGAATTTTCCATTATGATATATATAATAGGGGTGCCCAAGTGGGGATTTTGGGATTTACTAAAGCGCAGCAGATTAATATACAGGAGGATACCTTGTACCTGGTTAAGTACCTCCACCAAATATGAGTCCCATATATAAGGCCGCCTGTGAGGGATAAAGGATCAGATTAGTAAAAAAAATTGATCATCAGAAATTCTCGAGCGCGTCAGATTAAGTTAGGGTGAGTTAATTACCTGCTAAAAATTATATATTCCAGTAATCTGACAATTTGAGAGTGACGTAAAGAAAGGGGAGGGCAGCAAAGTTGTAAAAAAATAACGTCATTTCGACATTCTCGAGCGTAGCTAATTTTTTTTTTATTTTGAAGGAAATAATTCAAAGGTAACGAGAAATTTATAATCTGACGATTTCCGCAAGCCAAAATAACAAAAATTCGTCGTTAAAGTTTAATGTGTGCAGCTGTGTGATACCTATATTTCCCTCTCTCAGTTTCTATTTCTCTATTATCTATTCACTTTTTCCCATCTATTACCCTCCCACTCCATCCCCACTCTGTTGCCATGACGCCATCACAGCTGATCACAGAGATTATGATGATTAATTAATCAATTAATTGATGGATTTAGCCGTTACTACGTGGTGGGAAATCATAATGAAGAAAAGAGAAATTAAACTTTCTATGTTTTTTACCACTTTTATTTGTAACTAACATTACTGCAGTTTCGTCCTATAAGGACATTTTCAAACTTATATATTGTATAAGTTTGAAAATGTCCTTATGGAGGAAAGTTTCAATTCTCTTTTCTTCAATAATTAATCAATTCATTATAAAAAATTAAATTTTTTTGAGCATTTTTTAAAAATTATTTTCTTTTAAATACAAGTATTCTACTCAAAAAACATACACTTATTTATTTGCATGCTATTTCCTGAGTTTTTCAATTAATTAAGTTGAATAAATTGAAAATAAAAAAAAATTTGTCAGTTTAAGCGAATCCTTCTAGTTAATCGTCAGATTATGAGACAGCATGTCTAAAACATAAAGATGAACCATATATATCTTAATCTGATGCGCTTGAGTAAATGGCGAATTTTTTTTGCACAATATAATAATGGTCGCAGTTTGCGTCAGATCAAAATCGTCAGATTATTGAATGAGAGCTTTTTTTGTTGCACTTAACACCCCCTTAGAAAATCTGACACACTCAATTGAATTTTTTTTTTCACTTTTAAGCCTTATGTACAACCATCCACATCAGTCAAACGATCAGATTAACATACCAACATTATTAAAAATACGTAGGACATTGATGCTATCAATATCTGACGCGCTCGAGTATGTCCATGCAACAGTATTTTTTTAAATATTTAAAAATCTATAGCAACTTCCCCCACCGATGAAAAAGTATATATTATATAACATTTTTTTCTTCTTATCATCTAAGCTTTGCAACCTAATATGTCTCAATGACGCTCCAGTAAATCCCCATTTTGCATCGTGGGCTCCCCTGTTAAAACATTCCCAGAACTGTTTTTGATTATTTATCTAATCTAATATTACTTTCAAAATGATACAATACTATAAACGAGATTTTAAACTGAGGTACAGCATCGAAAATCTTATGAATATCAAGGAAAACTTAAATAAACATCACAATCACACAGATATGCATAATTACAATACAAAAAAAAGACAGAGAAGCATCCAAAACATATTTTTGAACAGAAAGTCTGTCTACTAGGTAGTTTCAGAAGTTTTGTTCGTTTTAACCTCTTGTATTCTTGTAGCTCCATATCTCAATAAATATTTATTCTACTGCGTCATAGTTTGTTTGAATTGATTGCCTGATGTAAAAATTTCAAAGTAGTAGTACTTTATATTATTCAGTTAGATGTGGATATATTTGCTATTGCTTATTCCATTTTAAGCTTTCAACTTATGAAATGATTATTTTAAATTGTGAACTGATTTCAGATATTCTCCAATAACATATCTACGAGGTCCGGCTATTAAATAACGAGACTGCGCACCTTGAGGAGTGGGGGAAAGAAAGAGTAGTGCGTTGAGTATCTGGAAATTTTCTTTTTTCTTTCTCGTGTTGAAAACCATGTGTGAAAAAAAAACAGGAGCAACGTATCAATCTCAAATTTCTCCTTAAATTGAAAAAACTCCGACTGAGTGCTATGAATTGTTGTAAGAGGCATATGGGGACAATTCTCTATCTCGTGCGCGTGTTTCTGAGTGGCTTAAGCGCTTCAGCGAGGGCCGAGAGAGCATTGAAGATGACCAGCGCCCAGGTCGCCCTGTCAGAGTTTCAACTCCGGAAACAGTGACCAAAATCAACCAAATTGTACATGCAGATCGTCGAATGAGCATCCAGATGATTGCTGAGGCTGTAAACGCCGATAAAGAAAAGGTTATAAAAATTTTATACAAGGAATTACACATGACAAAAGTCTGTGAAGTTGGTACCAAAAATCCTGACCCCTGATCAAAAGCTCTTGCGTCAACAGGTCTTCTCAGATTTCCTTGAAAGGTTAGAAGAAGATCCCGGACTGATGAAAAACATTGTTACTTGCGACGAAACGAGGATTTTTCAATACGACATTGAAAAAAAAGCGGCAATTGATGCTTTGGAATTTGCCTGAATCGCCCAGAATAAAATAAGCAAGGATGTCCAAATCAAAATTCAAGGCAAAGTTGATCGTTTTTTCGACATTAACGGTAACGTGATGACTGAATGGGTTCCAGAGGATCAGACTGTCAACCAGACTTACTATTTGTTAGTTTTGACAACACTGCGAGAACGAGTTCGTAAGAAACGGCCCGAGGTGTGGAAGAACAACTCGTGGATTTTGCACCAGGACAACGCACCTGCTCTTAATTCGCTATCTGTGAAGAGGTATTTGGCCGATAAACGCACTCCAGTGCTCGAACAGGCGCCGTACTCGCCAGATTTGGCACTGTGCGACTTTCTTTGTTTCCGAATATAAAATCTGCTTGGAAACGGCCCCGATTTTTGAGTCGATGGAAGCGGTAAAGCAAAAAACGGTAGAGCTCCTAAAGACCCTCACCAAAGAAGACTTCTAGCACAGCTTCGATCAATGGTAAAAACGTATGGAAAGGTTTGTGGCAAGGGAAGGGGAGTATATTGAAGGGGAGCATTCGAATGTAGAATAATTTTTATAATAAAACCCTTTTTCGTAACCAGTCTTGTTATTTAATAGCTGGACCTCGTATAAACTTTGTGTTTATGAAAATTAATAATAATAATTCTGGATTTTTCATTTCATTTTGATTAGTTGGATAAATTTTGTGTAGCTAATGCAAAATTTCACCAAAATTGGGATTCTCTTCTAAAACTTAACCCCTTTCAATCTGATTACATACCTGTAATTGTACTTTTTATCTTGAAGAATCTGAATGCTCAGAATATTCTGAGACGGAAAGTTTTCCTTCAAATTTTGGCAAGAATTATCGGAGTAGCACATCAGACTCGAGTTCTCCAAAACGCACCATCTACCACTATATTCGCCGAACAAGTCTTCCACTGGTCCGTTCTGTACTTTATACAACATACCTTTTTTCTGAACGCACTTATTCAGACCGATCGCCGGCCTTTCGAGGATGTTATCCTTATTTTTTACACCCCTAACGACATCTGGAGCTTTCTCTATGGCCTCCTTGACATGCTTGAACCAACTCAATTTTTTGTTTTCGACAGGAGCTTCCTTCACTACTGTATCTTCTGTAAACCAGTTGGATCTGGACTTCGGCGTGGATTTTTCCGGTTCGGGGTCTTCCTCCGGAAGGGAGTCGGATCTCATGGGTGGCGTGGGTGGACTGAGAACATCTTCACTCTCAGATTCATTGGAAATACTCCACTCGTCGAAGGTGTGGGCATTGGAGATGTTTCCGTAAAGGTCGCCCTGGAGAAGTTCTTCCAGTAACTTCAGGTCGCTATTGAATGTATAAGGAGCTGAAAGAAATCGGACTATTGGTATTTTTCAATAAAAGATATACCGAGTGATAATGAAGTCATTGTACACTGCGCCATTCAGTTGTTTGAATTCGGAATGAATGTAATATAATAATAATAACATTTATTTGGTAAATAGGATACCACTTTTATTTGAAACTAACGTTACTGCAGTTTTGTCCTATACGGACATTTTCAAACTTATACAATAAACTTTTTGTTGCAGTAACGTTAGTTACAAATAAAAGTTGTAAGAAACAAGAAAGTTTCATTTCTCTTTTCTTCAGTAAAAAATAATTAATATTCCAAAAATCATGCCTCATCATTTCATTAGTAATAAATTCAGTTACATTCCTCTATTTTGTAGTTGTGCCTGTTTGTTGAAGTTGAAGGAGAATTAAAGTAATTAAAGCACAATAATCAAAGTGTGGTTGTATTATAATTGTTTCATAAACTAATATCTTTGTGTTTAATGACAGATGCCTTGAAATTCTAAAGTAAAAATATAGTTTTTTTGTTCAATTCTCTAGTGTATGTATTGAAATTGTTCTTCAAATGTGAGACTGCAGTCCAATTGGAACCCTAGGCATCTTACAGTATTATCCATTTTTATATTTTCTTAATTAATAGAAATATTTATCCGGTTTATATCGATTTTTTATATTTGTATTTTAAAATGAGGATCATGGCAGTAGTTTAACTCACATTCAGTTTCAATTTGTCAATTTTATTATTTCTGTCAACTTTTTGCAATATCACATTCATTTTCTGTACAGCAACGTCTAGGCTAACATCACTACAAACTAATAGAGTATCGTCTGCAAATAAATTGATAAATTCACAATCACCATGTATATTAATATCATTTAAATATATAATGAATAATAAGGGGCCTAAAACACTACCCTGGAGTACTCCTTTATCGTTTAAGATTTCATTTGAAATTGAGCTATCAATTCCTATTCTTTGTTTTCTGCCTTCAAGTATAATATAGTTTATTTGAACCGATATTTTTAATTATAAAAACAAACGAAAACCTTTTCTGGTTTATCCATAAATGAACCCAATTCGAAGAGAAGAGGATAAAAGTTACAGAACCTTAACCTACTTAGGCCAACGCACTACAAATATTTCAGATTTTCTGCACAACAAAGATGTAAATATTGCTTTCAAAACCAACAACTTAGGCATGCACATTAAGAAAAACGAAGATAAAAGTTCAGTTTCAGAAAAATCAGGAGTGTATAAATTATCATGTGGGTCATGTCAGATGTTTTATATAGGTCAAACTAGAAGAACGTTCAAACCCCGCATAAAGGAACACAACAATAGTTTCCAGAAGAGAAAAATAAATTCCACATATGCAACTCATTTAATCACAGAGGGACATGAGTTCAACCATGAATCTATATATTTCTAGGTAGGAATAGTTATGTATATTTACAGTACTTTCGAAAAATGTAATTTATTCATATAGTTAATGAATCCATACCCGACCTTTTCATGTAGATTCATTAATTAGAAAGTAGGTAAGCATACAAGTAGGTTAATATGTTAGAGTATAAAATATTTGTAATTTACAAGTAACTTTTGGTTTACACTTGAGAAAGCTATTGTATAACGAAACACATGTCTCGGTTTTTGTAAAACCCTTTATAGTGAAAATCATACAATGAACTGTATCAAGTATCGGCCAGTTCTATTCAATTAAGTTGACTTCAGTTTAGCAGTTTTTGTTATATAAAAACTCTATTTCAAGTTAGAACAAAAACATACAATAAACCTTTGCCACACTGTTAGGAGGACACACAAAAAGCATAACATAGCCTAGCTAACTTCACACATAATGAATTTATATGGCCATTCCATTTCAGGTTATTTTCAATAACAAGTCCAAGTATGTTAGTGTTTTGTGTACAACCAATTAAGGTGATATTTAAGGTGATATGATAAAGATGTTGAGTGTTAGACTGGCTTGTTGCAAACTTTGTTATATCTTTTTTGTCAACATAGACTTTCACAGATTCCAATAAGATTTTTGATATCGATGCAACATGGTTTCTGATTAAAAAAATTAACTGAAACTACGTTACTAAGTGTACATGAACAAATGTTCTGCTGCAATTCTGTGTTATTTAAGTAGAGTGATCGACTAATACAAAATTGTTAGATATTCTGGACCCCAAACTACAGCCATCATATATTTTTTGTTATTTGAAATGTAAAATTATTATTTGCATTTTACAAGAGTTTATTCAATTTACTTTTAGTGAAATATTTTTTCATTGAGTTGAATTGAGTTAAAAATTTCCTTGTTGTTGATTAAATGAATTGAGTGTGATTGGGGAGGAAGTGGGCAGTTTGCAATTTACAACCCCGTTCCAGTAGAAATGCTCTCACCTATAACTAACTTTATTTGTTCCAATCATTTGAAGTCGGAATAATCACTAGCTATCAGTGAAAAAACATTCTAAGGATAAGTTATGACTTTGAAAGTAACTTCCTTTGAAGTTTCAACAGCTTTCGATGTGTGCCTGAATCAGAGCTACCTACAGTTCAACAACAAATTCTATAAACAGGATTCAGGTTTACCAATGGGCTCACCCCTTAGTCCACTTTTAGCAGACATATTTATGAACAACTTGGAGACCACGATAGTAAACTCCGACCTGGGTAAAAAACATATTCATTTTTGGTACAGATATGTAGACGATATTCTTGCCTGTTTCAGAGGTACTACACGACAGCTGAACCAATTTATGACATTCGTGAACAATCTCAATAGCAACATTCGGTTCACACTCGAAACAGAGATAGAGAAACAAATAAATTCCTTAGACCTGGCCATTACACACAATCAGAATAAATTCGAGTTCAATGTTTTCAGAAAACCTAGCTATACAAACATCACCATCCCAAGCGATTCTTTCCATCGAGACAGTCATAAATTAGCAGCCTACAATTCAATGCTGCACAGAGCATTCTCACTGCCTTTGTCTGCAGACAATCTAGCTAGAAAAATTAATACAATTACACAGATAGGTCATAATAACGGTTTCAACGCAGATACTATCCAGAAATTAGTCAGGAAACAAAGCCGGAAATTCACTTTCAGACTAATATATCCTCAGGTCAAACAACCAGAAATCAAGAAATAGGTAACGCTAACATATTTTGGAAAAAGAACAGAAATGATCGCAGGTTTTTTCAGAAAAAAAAATGTGGAAGTAGCATTCAGATCACATGCCAGGTTATCTCATTTCCATGCTAAAGATAAGGTCGACAAGTTGGAAAAATCTAGAGTTTATAAGCTTAAGTGTCCGGAGTGTAATAGTGTTTATGTGGGACAATCCGGACGAAATTTCTAAAAACGGTATGCTGAACATGAAAGGTCCTTCAGACTAGGAAAAAATGATTCGATGTTTTCAAACCATTCCTTGGCATGCAACCACAAGTTTCCGAATCTAAACGATACGGAAATTCTGCACTATGCAAGGAAGGGTTGCAAACTCAATAATTTAGAATCCTTGGAAATTCACAAGCATAAACATTGCGGGTGCGACCTGTTAAATGACCAAATCGATTTAATTTACTCTCCGGTTTTTAAATTGGCACATGCGCATTGTGAACTGTAAATTCAGGTACTCAATCAAGTACCTGAATGGTATATATTAGCGAAAGTAATGAATCATTGTTAGTTTATTGTTTAAGTTTGAGAATGTTCATATAGGACGAAACTGCAGTAACGTTAGTTACAAATAAAAGTAGTAAAAAACATAGAAATTTTCATTTCTCTTTTCACTTTGTAAGTAGTAAATTTAAAGCAAATGGTTCTTATACCGTCTTTACTTTCCGAATTCCTACTTTCCGGTAGTCAGGGAGAGAGATCTCAGAAATCCTATTATACTGCAGCTTCTATTGAATATCTGATAAGCTTTTATTGATTTCATATAACGGTTCATGTAATCCATGTTCTGATAATGATTAATATTTACTTGTTGTCACTCTGTTTCCAACACTGGGAAATTATGATGCAGTCACATATAACGGCTGGTAATGTTTTTTTAATGATAATACTGCTTGATATTCAAACAGAAACAAGTACATATATAAATATGGAGGACTAGTTCAGATCTGATGATATGAATATAATTGGTATATCAATATATTTTTGGTGTCATGCATAGTTAACTATCATATAATTTCCTCCGCTCTATGAAAAAAAAATCATTTTCATCATTTCACAGGTTTGAATTTTAATTTACAGTTAAAATAGATTTGAAAAAATATAATCTGGTAGGTTCCATCCAATCTCAAATAGTTCCACATTAAATTCTTATTTCATTATTTCCAAGAAAATGGCAGACAACAACAATAATAAAGTTATTTTGTTCAATCAGTCAATCAGAAAAAATCAAATATCAATTCTTTCCTGCACGCCATTCTTATACTCTTAAACCTATTTAAAACAATTATGCATCAAATGTCATAAACATCCAATTCGAATTTAATTGAAGAATGCACAATTGAGGAAGATCAAAGTTTCATCCAAAAATAAAATACACAGAATTTCCTTAGAGAATGGTGGTTAGAAATGATTCATATCCAATGTGAGGAATGACGTCTTAATTCGTTATTTCTGTGAGTCACATTATTCAATATGTCACTTCCCAGTACCTTCGAAAATAACTTAAATGAAGACTCGATAACATAAAGACTATATTGTATAAAAAAATCATAAAAATTAATAGAAACCCCAAAGGGAAATCTACAGATTTTACATTGTCTACTAGGTTTATTCACGATAGATAGTACCCAATAATTTCGAGTTGAGGTTAGCAATTTACAATTATGTTACAATATGGAATCTATGAAATAACGTTCCTTTTTGAAAAAATAGGATAAAAGAATGTTTTGAAACTTTGAATCCCCAGTATCTCAATAAAATTACAGTGAACAGTGAAAAACGTTATTATTCAAAATCTTCAGAGAAAAATAACTTTTTTTGAAAAAACTGTTTTTAAAATTTGTTTTATAATTTTTTTGTGGCATAACTCACTCAAATCGCTTCATATACAGGCTGATTCACGGTGGATGGCACATTAGACGTTTCTGGTGAACCAGACAACGGATCACTTTGAAAATTTAATGGAGGGCATATTCGAACATTCTCTAGCCAACTAAAATATTTTCGACAATGCGGTGTTGCCGCTTCTATTAGAAAGCAGTAGCAACTTTGATTTTTCAAATGGAACACTCTGTATATAATATTATTTTTGGAATCTCCAACAATTGCCCGACAACTTTTCTTGATATTTCCCTATACCTATCTGTTACCGTTTTCGAAATAAAAATTAATTTCAATTTTTTTCTTCGAAAATCATGACTTCTAAAAATGCCGATATCTTTTAGTTAAGAAGTACTATGATATCGAAATTTGGTTTGGAGTTAGGTGATACTTGGACACTTCCCACACGTCAGCCTAATCTCCGTTACTTCAATACAGGGTGGTAAAAAAATACAGTTTTTTCGTTTGCTTGAAAAAGTTGCTGAAATTTGATTATTTCAAATGGAACACCCTGTATATTATTGAAAATTCGGAAAGCTGCTGAAATTTGCTTTCTTTCTATGTACGCTACTTTCTATGACGCTACTGTCAAATAGTAATCATGGCCTGCTTACCAAATACCGAATGGAAATACCATTCTGAAGGGACATTTTCACAAATAAATGTTCATTAAGTCCGAAACTTGACTAGTTAGGTATAGGTATGATATACAAAGAAAGAAAGCAAATTTCCGCAGCTTTCCGAATTTTCAATAATATACAGGGTGTTCCATTTAAAATAATCAAATTTCAGCAACTTTTTCAAGCAAACGAAAAAACTGTATTTTTTTACCACCCTGTATTGAAGTAACGGAGATTAGGCTGACGTGTGGGAAGTGTCTAAGTATCACCTAACTCCAAACCAAATTTCGATATCATAGTACTTCTTAACTAAAAGATATCGGCATTTTTAGAAGTCATGATTTTCTAAGAAAAAAATTGAAATTAATTTTTATTTCGAAAACGGTAACAGATAGGTATAGGGAAATATCAAGAAAAGTTGTCGGGCAATTGTTGGAGATTCCAAAAATAATATTATATACAGAGTGTTCCATTTGAAAAATCAAAGTTGCTACTGCTTTCTAATAGAAGCGGCAACACCGCATTGTCGAAAATATTTTAGTTGGCTAGAGAATGTCCGAATATGCCCTCCATTAAATTTTCAAAGTGATCCGTTGTCTGGTTCACCAGAAACGTCTAATGTGCCATCCACCGTGAATCAGCCTGTATAAATTACTATGGTGTTTTAGCGAATCGGGATTGGAATTATAAAGATGAAAAATCGAATACGAAAAACTTCTCTGGAAAATTGCGGTCTTGTGTTGTGGACCAGAAACGTCTAATGTGCCATCCACCGTGAATCAGCCTGTATTTATGGAGAGATTTTCAGGGAAAATCGAGTGTAAAATAAAATATGTGTGTTCCATTTAAAAAATCGAGAAATTTTTGTGTTATGGCATACCAGTATTATAAACCAAATTTTTGATGAAATTGAAATTTTTCATTGAAAATTTTTGGAATAACTTCAGAACGGTTCAGTATATAATCATACAATTATACATTTCTCGAAGTACTTTTCTGACGAAATCTGATTAAAGAAAACAGAATACGTCATTCCATAAAAAAAACTGATTTCGATACATAAAACTTCTATTCGGTGTGTGGTATATTAGAGAATATTTCAAAATAGACTGATGGAAATAATATCTAGAACTTTTACATGAAACAAGTAGCAAAGAACTTCCTATATAAAAAAGTACTAAACTTTTCTGGATCTAGACTCAAGTTGATCTAGTTTCATTTGTAATTTATATGGGTCTTTAAATGATGAAATCTCTCATATCAGCAAACAATAAACAATCACTTGCACCATATTATTCAGAAATAAAAACAATATAGATCTAACAAAAATATTCACTTTGGTTGTAGAAGGAAACAACTTTTTTTAATGGACTACCTGTAAATTTTTGTACAATGTATGAAGAGTAGGGTACAATGGAATAAAATAGAAATGTTCAAAACTCGCAGCTGTCAACATTGTATTGCGAATCTATATAAGTGTTTTATGGAACATTACGTTTATTTATTTTTATTCAAAGAGCATACAAGAATTTGGATATAGTCTATACGAAGTAAATCCAAACAACTAACAGGGTCTGATAAAAAATTTACTAGGTAATCTAATATATAAAAATGGATGTTTGTTGGTTGGTTGGTTGGTTGGTAAGTGATAAACTTCTACATCGCTCAACCGATCGTGATGAAACTTGACATGCATAAGTAATTTTTCATAGAGAAGGTTTTTAGGCTATCAATTTTTTTCTAACTCGCCACTAGATGGCGCTGTAGAACAATATTTTGAAAGCACTGTTTTATAACACTGCGCACGCTTAAGTTCGTTGATTCTGATTCTGTCAAAACATTGGAACAGCAGCGATACAGCAACATAGTACTAGTACCATATAAAATCTCCCACATAAAAATAATTATTACACCTCATATGAGGGCCAGGCCGCCCATGCCGTACAAAGAATTGACTTCGTATATACTAAAATTGATTATTCAAATATGCAGGATACTGCTGTTTCACCCAAAACTGACCAAAATTAAGATTATGTGCGATTAGCTACCTGAATGTGTATCCAAGGAGGATTGGCAGAAGTCAAAAGTCCATAATCTGTCATTTGAAAGATTCTTCACCACCGTTTGTATTGAGTGCGTTTCTCAACGCTTCTTCACTGACATAAGTTCGCCAACGCAAGTGGATGGCATCTTCAGGACTACAAATATTCTTTGCACTCTTCAAAAGTACAAAAAGTCTGTGTACCATAATTAATGATAAATTGCGTGAGATGATTTGAAAATAATATCAGTTTTATTTTTCTATTTATTCACAGATATTTCTACGTAATACGAGACATGTTCAGAATATACCGAAAATTTTCTTTAAAGAAAGGCCAGTCCCCATTAGATATTATCCGCTTCAGCCAGGGCTTTTGATCCTCAAAACACTTCTCAAACTCAATCTTTGGGATAACTTTAGCTCTTTCTGCGATATGCTTTTAGCTCTTTCTGCGATACGATTTGAATATCATATATGCTTGTAAAGTAATGGACCTTTAAAGTTTTTTCATTTTTAGACATAGGAAAAAAATCACATGGAACCATGTTTGGCATAAATGAACGAAGGGGCACTGTTACCGAATTGTTTTTTGACAAAAGTTGACAAACAAGCAATGAAGTGTGAGCAGGTGCATTATAGTGGTGCATAAGCTATGAATTATTTTTTCTCAAATCCGGGCGTTTTTTCGGATTGCTTCACGCAAATGGCGATGAACTTGTAGGTGTACTCCTTATTGACCGTTTGATCACGTGGCAAGAATTCATGATGCTCTATGCCATTGATGACAAATAATACACTGAGCCTAACCGTCAGGTGTGACGGTAGTAAAGTAAAGTACTTTATTACGAAATTAAATGGTAAAATGAAAGAGAGCAGAAGTAATATTATGAATATTTTTGATGAAAAGCGGTTAATTTCTCTCAATAAATAAAAACTTGAGACTTATGTCTAAAAGACCTGTACTATTTCTGATGTTCTGGTCATCTGCTTTTTTGGTAAGGTACAAATTTGATACTTTCATATAAAAATAGACACATCAAGTATTTTTTTCTGTATGAAATATAGTTTGAGGCTAGTTTTGATTGGTAAACTAAAGATTTTACGCAGACACCATTTTTGAAAGAAGAAAATGTCATTCGTATCAATGGGCATTTCCCAGAATAAAATACCATACCTTAAACGAATTTGAACATTTGCTTCATAAACAGGAATTGCTGCCTCTTCAGATATGTTTTGAAACAATATTCCAAAAATAACAAAGCCTGTCACATCTAAAGCAGCCAATACTTGAAAAACTTTTTATACAGATCAATCTCCCCGCAACAGATTATCCACAAATGATGCAATATTGTAACCCAGTATTATACAATGACAAATACTACCATAGAATAAATACCATACATAAACGATGATTAAATAACTAAATGATAAGAACAATAAAATGAATGTGGAATCAAAATAAAATTGTGGAAAATACATCTAAATCAATAGGACAATTTAACACTGTACCTGTGAGTAATTAAAAAAGTCAAAACAAAAAATTGCTTGAATCCGCTAGCTTTCAGAAGTTAATGATGATTTATTGTTAAATGTGGTAGATGGTAATTGCGAACATAGAACGCTAAACATCTAAATGTGGCGTAAAAATACTTCTTGAAACACTTAAATTTTATCCGGTGGCTGGATTTAGGGAACGTGTGTATAAAGTTGCATCAAGAGCTCTTGACAAATCAAAGGTGAATGGGTTAAAACATTATGTACCTATTAATAATCACAGACTATATAGTCCATAGGCATATATCTATAAAATTAACTGAAAAAATTGTATGAGATCTACAAATTTTCTTTTCTGCACAAACCATAAATCAACTCAAAATTAAAATCTATACTAAGTAACTTACCACTTGTTTCTTCTTTGTTTAATGGGTCGAACTGTAGTATGACACTCTCGGAAGGCCTCGGAGGTCTTCGCGGGGGTCTTTGTGGGATAACTTCATGATTTTCATACAAACTGTTCTGTCTAACCATTGAACTAATAACACTAACATTGGAATTGAGATCAACATTGGTCTTAATATCAGAGTCATTACCATCCGTTTGCGCTATCTCCTCCTCAATATTATTGTAAATATTTGCATTCTGGTTCTCTTTACTGGGAACTGGATCATAGAATTTCCAAGAACCTGACCGAGACAAACATTCCGTCTGCTCGGTAGAATTACTGCCAGATGTAGAATCGCTCTTGTTAGGAAATAATGGGAAAATACTCTCGTAAACATCCGGTCTCGATGTTGTCTTTGCAGAGTGACCAGAAGTGCTGCTGGATGCTAATGATAGGGGAGCATCATAGATCGATTCGTCCGGAAGAGGTGGAGGAGGGTGAGACGGCGGAGGCAACTCGATGGAGTCCTCAGAAGACTCCGAAGAACTATCATCCACATTATTGTATATGTTCTCGGTTCGAGCAAAAGGAGAATTGAATGTGATAGAATTGAATATATTAATGGTGTCTTCTTCATTTTTGGTATCTGTCTCGTCCGGATTATTCTGTTCCTGCGAAGCTGAAATGAAAATATATTATTTCCACATAGACAATACAAATTGTATAAGAATGGTGTATACAAGAATTAAAAACAATAAATAAACCAGATAAAACATAACTGAAAATTTCAATTTTGCGTCTACACAACCGTAAATGTAAGGAAACGATATCTGATAATGCTAACTTGGTTAGGGAACTGGTTGGTTAGGGTACTGAATGGACCCATGTGGCACAAATAAAGGTATTTGTGCCTAAAAGCTTTGAATTTATTCTAGGGATTTCCTTATTTGAGGAAAAATTTAATGTTGATTCCTACCTGAACTAAAACGTCTCGTTATTCTTCGCACACTCTGTCGAGTTCCTTCAATAACTGCCTTTTTTCTGCCATGAACAAGTTGACTAATATCTTCTGCCAGTTGCTTTGAAGCAGAACTCACTCGTTTGGTTAAAGTATTGGTATTTTCTTCTATCTGAGTAGGTGCGTCCTCAGATATCTTCTTCAAATTAGGGTTAATATTTCTTCTAGGAGTTGGAATGGGTTTCTTGGTTTCTTTTGAATTCGATCGTAAACGTGGTACAGGGCTTTCCATTTCTCATATCTCACTCAAGGACTTAGCATCTCAGGGATGAAGTGTAGGTTGTTTCCTCTGAATGTGGCAATCTACTGACAAACACATGAACTATGAACGAATTGAAACGTATACTAAATATAGTGCAACTTTATGAGCACTATCACAGCTTATCGCTTTCATTGTGACTCATCATCACAATCACAATTTTGCATTGTTTATTGTTTTGACTTTTATTGGGAGTGGCTAGTATGACGTTGTACGGGAAAAAAGCTACATTCAACTAACCGGCCTTACTCTTACTATTCTGTGGTGGTCGGTTAACTCACCGACAGATTAGATATCGCTGACTTTTAAGAAAATCAGACAAAAGTAAATAAGCCAGGGCGTTATTTCTTGAATGCAAAAAAACTTTTGGACAAGAGAGTGAGAACAAAATGTGGGCTGGTGGATAGTGGTCAAATGTAATTTTGATTACAACGTTTCGTTTGCTACTGCGGCAGACATAATCAGTGGTACGTGCGTTGACTACGAGGACGAAGGTTATATCTCGAAGTCTCAGCACAACAACAGCCAGTCGTTCTTGCTAATATAATGTATGGTAATATCCAAACATGTCCACTGAGTATTTCATGTTACGTATTATTCTGCATAAAATTTAATTGGATCTTTAGTGTTCAATGTTTTCAACCTGTGAGAGTGTTTGAACACAATTTGATATATTTATTCAGTATTGTTTCATAGCCATGTGGAATATTTGTTATAACATATTCTCAATCTATAAAAAAGATGTAAAACAATTCGAATGCTACCTGAACATTCACCTCAATATACATTCTGAATATTGTTTTTTTTTGTTACTTTTAGCTTTCGTACTAAATATTTATATTGGTTCACTTGATATCCAGGATGGAATAATTACTATCAAACTGTTCTATGCCACTATGTATACAACTATGAATTACTAGAAATACTGCGTGTTTCTTATTTCACCAGATAAATTTCACCAAATTATCGCAAAAGCTGACAAATCGATCTCTGAAGTTTTGGATGAATCTGTTCATTATTTTCAGTAAAAAAGGAACAGTGACCAGATTTGCTTTAGGGTTTTAAAAAACAAAGAATATCTTTGAACAAAATTTCGAAAAGAACAAAAGAAAACTATTGTAAAATAACTATATTTGTACAGGTATATTTCTTTTTTTTACTTTATCACACAAAATATTTAATTTATCTTTTGATGATCTGACTCTTATAGATTCATTATATAAGTTCATCAGATGTTGTCAATGTATTTTGAACAGGTGCCAATAATTGTTCAAGTATATCACACTCTTCATTTGTTGTTATGCTTTCCAAAATTGATTTCATACTTTTCAATATGGCTTCTTTACGATCTTCAACACTAGGAGACGTCAAAAAACTGTGTTCACCTTCCTTTTGATTACCTCCAAATTCTTCATAAATAACTAAACTCTGGGATTCAGCAACTGGCCATTTTTCAAATTCAGTAGCCTGTTCTTCCGTGTTGATCTCATCAGTAGCCTGTTCTTCCGTGTTGATCTCTTCAGTAGCTTGTTCTTCGGTCCTGATCTCTTCACTCGCCCTCAAATGCTGACATAACAGATGGATGTGTTTGCACATGTTCCATTTTATAGAAGAATCTATACATGAACAAATGTATTTATGTATGCAAGTTTCGCAGTCGTGGCACTTGTAATCACAAGAACAGCTCTTTCTAGAAAGTTCAATCCGGTATAATTCCACACCATCCGACGAAACTACAGACCAATGAGTAGCATCTCTTTGCATAATCTGAATTTTTTTAGCAACGAGTTCTTCTATGTTTTTGTGTCTTTTTTGTAAATCTTTCAGCTTGCTACATACTTTTCCTGAAAATGAAAAAACTATACCAAAGTAATTTAATTGCAAAAAACATTTTTGTGACTCGAGTTCTCAATCAAAATATTAGAAATTTACAAGAAAAAAATTAGGTACGAGAGAAACAGACCCTCTGAAACAATACAGGCATGACAAAAGGCCTAACAAAATTTTATCCCCAAAATTAAAAATTAGATTCATCTTCACAACTGATTATGATAGAAGCCACTAAAGCAAAGAAGAAGCTGACCGAAGCACTCTTCTTGGAACACTGAAAGTCCTCCAACGTTATTTTTTGTTTCAGATAAACTGTCCTATATCCATAATATTAACACTTAGAGATCTGTTAACAAATCAACTATTGAAAGTCAAAGTTGCTAATGCCAATAATGGCCAAACACATCTAAAATATCACTGCAACAGCACAGCTGCATCTTTGAATTTTGCCTCATCTCACTCCTAAACTATAAAAATGAACTTCAATTACCGGACACCAATTCTATCACTGTTTATATGTTTATAAAGAAACAGTTCTTTAAAAACCCATGTACTTATTTAGGAGTAATGTTATGTATGTAATAAAATAGCTAGGAACATCATGTATGTGCAAATATTCACATTGAAAATAGGCATGTTCACACCTAAAAAAAATAAAATACATACTTTAAAATGTATCTGGGTTATCACTCAGTAGGTTTTTGCTTCAGCAACAAAGCACAAGATTGTATAGCAACTGGCAAAAAATCTAGAACAGCCCAGAAAACATGGAAATCTTATTGAAAGATATTAGGTACCTCTTTACATTTCCTGGCACATTGACAAATAATTTATAATCACCTTTATTTGAAATCAAGAGTTGCTCAAACAGTTTCTCCCGCATTAATCTCATAATAGCGTGGATTACTTTATCAGGTCGCTTCGCAGTGTGGCCTTTCATATAAATATACTCAAGAGTCATATGCATCCTCTCCAGGTGCATGTTAGTGTTCAACCCAACCCGGAGACGAAAACAATTTGCCCAACACTTTCGAGTAGGGGCATAGAATACTTTGAACCATTCTCCAAATTCCTTTAGTTCAGGGTCACAAAGATCATTCATCCATTTTTCCAGCATGTCTTCGAAAATGATTGGGTCTTGCTCTTCCATTAAAATTTTCAATGTCTTTGTGGCATAATCTTGACTTTGAGGGTCTGATATTTTGTTTTGAATATTTTTATTCCAATCTTCGGTAACATGCCACGTGCAGAAGAACCTTGAATTCACAGGACCCATAACTGCTTTCCAACCATCATAATAACTGTCGCCCATCTCAGACATGAAGACAGTTGGGGTTACTTGTGAATCCCCCAAATCACTCTTCAAAATTTCAAAAATCAATCTGCAAATTGCGGTATCACTTCTGTTTGTAAATGCAAATAAACAAGGAAAACCTTCACCCCCTTCATACGGAACCATCACTGTTATCAATTCAAAATCAAGCGGATTCAATCTGCGAGTGCTATCAACACAGACACAATAGTTTCCATATTTTTTGAACACATTCAGCTGGGCTTCGTTCATAATTATCAGAAGGAAATCTTGAGGTTCTATCACGTCACTGTATATATCACTTTCTTCTCCTTGTCCCTTATAAAATCTAACAACAGAATAATATGACTTCTGTCTGGCTTTTTCAACCCACGCTGCAACACTACTGCAATTATTTGAGTGTCTAACGCAGTCTTTGCTCAAATTATATTTACGTTCAATGTTGAATAAATCTTGTCTAGTTAATAAATGAAGTCTATCTAAGTTTTCAACAACAACATTATCTCTAACATCATTCAAGACTTCGTCAAATGGGATTTTTTGTTTCAGTTTCTCTGCTAAATTATCTTGTGTTTTTTTAGAGAGCGGTATTTTTTCCAATTCCATTTTGTGACCTAAATGTTGCCTCACAAATTTCACAGATACCTCCCCAGTAACCTTAGAAATTATAATATTCATTTTTGAGGGACAGTGGGTATTTATCTTGATACTTCCTGTGAGTTTCAATCGCCTTATGTTATTTCCACTTTTTTTGTAGAATCCATCACGATGACAGTGGTAGTACTGGAGGATGTTAGTATCAGTTTGTTTACGGGACTGCTGCAAAACATACTTGGAAACATCAGATTTTTCTATACCTTCCTTCCAAGATTCAAATTCTTCAGTATTTTTGAATTTCAGTTTCTCCACAGACAATTCTATTCCATGGCAACTATTATAATGTTCCAATAAGATAGTTTTGAGCGGACTGGTGTAACTACACATACAACAATGTATAGGTTGTGTTGTATTAGAAGTAGTATTATTATTTTTCCTATGAAAGGAAATGTGACGATTTAAATTGAACTTTTTTGAAAATTTCCTTGAGCATATGTCACATGCATATTCTTTTTGATTTATATTTTTCTTTTGTTCATGAACACTGAGAATGTGTCTTTGGAGATTTGACTTCCATGTAAAACTCTTCCCACAACATTCACATACTACTTTTTCAGGTACCCGTCTATTTTTAATCATTCTGAAAATGAAAGAATTATGGATGAATTTTCACTTGTATAAACGCAATTTTATCAAAATTACATTTCATCACTGAAATGGAAAATATAAATATTTCTCTACTATTGTGCTACTAATAGAAGAAGGATTGATCCCATTTCTTATTGACATTTTACAAATATCTGAAACGCTGTTGTTTATGCTCAAAAAATAATTTTAACAAATGAGCCTTTTTCCTGAGAATAGTACAGCAAACGTGTCACGAGAGGCAGCACTAGTAGTAGGGACAAACATAAATTATTCACATGTAAAATAGTGTTATTTACGTAATATTAATTTATTATTTACAAATATAAATAAGATATAAAAAATTATTTTGTGCTAGTATGTCAACAAAGCATTGCTGTTTTGCGAATTGTACGTTGGATAATCAATACCCGGAAGAAAACGTTGTTTTATATACCATTTATAAAACCTCATATTAATGAGGTTAGATGTTAGAAATGGATACATGCTTCGAGGAGAATGAATTTAACAGTTCAGAAAATGAATAAATATTCATATGTATGCTCTAAACATGAAATGAACAGTACATTTTTCATCGTTAATTACCATTGATTAGAATGAGATATAACATCAATCGTTTATTAAATCATATTCATTATTGACTGGAGCCTCAGCTATACTTGTTTCCTTATAACAGTCAGTTAGTTTGGCGCATGTTTGACAATACAGTCGATCATCACCTGTTAAAAATTCCATTTTCAGATGATTTAACAATAAGCTTTGCACGGACTGGTTATTATTCGTATTAGGAAAAGCTAGATGAATAATTGTACTTTACCATATGTTTATATGAGGATTAGGCAGTGTTTTTCCCTACCGAACTACTAGCGCTGCTAGTGAGTGATTTTTCGTGCTTCAGGAAAAAGGTTCATTGTGTCTAAAAAGATTGTGCAATTGACAGAAAATTGTGACTTTTGAATGAGTCGCACACAAAGCTACGCACCGAGAGGTTGGCAACAATAGTTAATCTTAAAAGTGATAGTTGACCACGGAACGAATACTAGATTTAGTTCTGTGTATTGGCACGTGCAGGCCTGTATATGCAATTCAAACACGAAACAAATTATTTAATTCTTATATTTTTGAAAACAGGATATCTCTAATAACACAGAATATAGCTCAAGTGAGTTATATTAGCGCAAAAAAAGGGCTCTAGCTCTTAAAAATTGCTCGAGAGCTTGCAGGTCCTGAATAACGGGTATATGAGTTTGCGACCGTTTCTAGATTGTTCTTCAGATTTAAGAACCTAAAAACCTTAAAGTATGCATCCTACGGAAAATATTCTCCCTAATATAACATTATTTGCAGAACATTAAGTTCTGCGTCGAATGGCATTTGAAACATGGTTATCGGTTTAGCCGCCAGTCAAAAATAGATGCGTACTTTTCGTCAAAAACATTTCGAGATTTTTAGACTCTTAAATCTGAAGCACAATCTAAAACCGCCGCTAACTCATATACCCGTTTTTACGAATCCCCAGGACGGATCAAAACAATTTCTAGCTCTCGAGTAATTTTTAGGGACTAGAGCTCTAATTTGCATGAAATACTAATTCAGACACGCATATTAATAAGTTAAATGGAATGTATCTGTTGAAATCTGTTTTTTCGTTAACCAGCTGTCGCCCCCCTACGAACGAAAACTCTCCAAAAGTCGAAACTTGTGCGAGTTAAGGACTAACTAGGTCTTTGTTTTTAACGTGTGATTCCTAACACAGGTTGGACGATAGGAAGTGAAAATCGATCGTTCGGCCTTGCGGTTCGAACCACCGGTTCACACAGCGGTTGATTGAGTTAATGAAGCAAATCACCCACGTCAACCCACCAGGCTACCGTCCCATATGTATATGTGAGGCTTTTGTGAAATGTACAAATATCTGTGGTATTTACATAAAACTAACTTTTTATAAGAAAATTTAACCACGTTGCTTCAGTTACTAATGTTATACATCGTTCTGAACAATTTTTTCGTAGAGTTCATTGAAGTCACATTTATTTATTATTGTAGGTATTTTTGAAATCCAAAAGAGGGATCTGTTGTGTGCTCACAATATGAACATTTCATCTAACTGTACACTTTAGAATTTGGTAAATTCCAAATTTATCTGAAGAAATTACCGAAATCCCTTATCATGATGTTGATATAGGTATCTTGGTGTGTTATTTATTTAACACAAAATTGAATTGGATCTTTTTTGCAACATTCGCAAACATTTTGTGCGTTCGAATAAGCATGGTCGTGTCTGAAGTCCAAATGAAGCGAAAGTGTTTTCAGATTACAAAAATACTTCATAACATCTTTTACTCTCGATATGGGAAGACGTTGCGTTGATACGATATGAAATATAAAGTTTACGCTGGCTTTAATTATCTCGACAAATCACCTATCCTTTTTATATATTCTTCACAATGATTTACTGAGCCCTCGACAGTTTATTCAAGGGTACATCCGTGCAGGGTATTTATTTTATGAAATACCATAGGCTCTAGTAATCCACACGGTATACTCCAAGGAAGTTTATTGAAATTGGACACTGCTTTATAAGGAGGTGACTTTCACAGACAAGTTTTGTCTTTCTTCAAAATGCCGTTCATCTAGCCTGTAAGAATATTCTGTTCTCCTAAAAGTTGTGGAAAAGTTTTTTATTGTTCAACTGTGTCATCAAACATTTTTGGCCTGCAAAAGACTAGAAGACAAACATCATATTCGCCAGAAATCTCATCCTGGGAGTCAAATATATTAAAATATGTACTCAAGTTCAAATACTGGAAAGCAGGAAAGTATGAGACATCAAGTATAAATAAGACCTACACTTGCAGTTAAAAAAAAGATAGTTGCTACCCACCCATCACTGTTTTCTGAGAAAATGTTGAAAAAAATGTTAAAAGAAAATTTCTGATAGAGGGACCAAAAAAAATAATGCATCTTCATTCAAGCAGATTTTTTTTCCAATATTTTATTTTTTATCAAATCAATTACTTCCATATCTGTCAAAACATTGAATATTTCTATAACATTTTCATCAGATGAACTAAGACTTACTGCTTCTTTCTGAATTATGCTTTCCCTAAATCTATTTTTTTGGCTTTCCATGAATGCATAAAAATCTTCCTTTGGAAGTTCTTGTATCACTTCTATGAAAGGACTGTATTTCTGAATAATTTCTGGAAGGCTTGGTGTATCTGCTTTTCCCGCAGCTTCGGTGTTAAATTTTGCTTTTTTTGCTTGCAACTCTTTTCTTTGGCAAGAACTTTTGCAACTATTTATCATATCTAAGAAAACAGAGCTTCCATTAGCCTGTAGGATTATATCTTCCATGTTTGGATTCAGTAATAGGTTATTAACAGTTGAATTAGACGATTCGCTGATTTGTTTAACGAAAAATTGTACTACAGCCTCTTTTAATCTCTCCTCATCATCTTGGGGCAATGGTAACCAAACGTTGATGGAAATGCTGGTTTCTAAGTTTTCAACATAGTGCCACCATTTATTTGGTACTAACAGGACATCTCCAGGAGTCAATACAACTTTTTTACATTTACCACTTATGCTTCTGAAATTTTCGAGGTTAGGACTGAAAAAATTCAGTTTGGAATACACACTTGATTCCTCATAGGGAATTCTCGAAGGCCTGAGATTTTCTTCTGGAGAAAAAAGCATCCACAACTTCTTACCATATATCTGGTAGACTAAATTGCAACCATAACTATCATAATGACACGGAGTATGTGCCCCCTTAGACCCTATCCATATTGTACAATCCTCTGACTTTATTTCAGGAAAACCAAGCGGATCCCAATGTATTTCATTTCTTAGATCATTTACTTCTTTCAAACAATCATTCAAATATTTATAGTCAAAGTAAAACCATTCTGTACTATTCGTCAAACTCTGCTCTATAAAGAAATCAAAAGTTTCGTTGAACAACTTTGATTTTCGTTCCCACTGGGGTTCCACCGTGCTTTGATACAACCCCGAACGGAAGGTCATTTTTTCATTACCAATATTTTTTTTCCAATCTTCTAGAGACCAATTTAGTAAGGCCCATTTCATATAATTTTTGAAGACTAGTGGATGTTTTGAATTCAATATGAGATATTTTATATCACTTTTAAATTTATCGCTCATTGGATCTATTTAATATCTTGAAAATAGTTTCTGACTCTCACTCCTCCAAATATTTCCTAAAAAATAACTTAATCGGCCAATGAAAGAAAGAAATATGAAGCACTTTCTTTTGGATAATGACTGATTGATAACATGAAAAACTGATTATTGATATCAGCAATTGTCACTGTCACGAAATTTAATTATTGAACAAAACACCCTGTTTACGAATTATGTTTTCGAATTATGTTAACTAATTGACGATGGGGGGACTTCTCCACATTGTCGCCAATATTGATTTTTCATTATGAAACTGGGGAAAACTTATTATTTAAGTTGTAGCCTTATTAGGTAGTAATACACCCTATTATTGATGTTCTTCAATGGAAATATTTCTTGACCCCAATAATATTTGAAATATATTGTTTTCGAACAGGGAATAGATCGTTTTCACTTGAAAGAGAGGAGGGATTTTATATTATAATGTTGGCTACTATTTCTGTCTCTCAGATATAATGTCAAATTGTTATACATTTAATTATTCTAACGTTCAACCAAATAGTAACAGTTATGTCGTTCCAAAACTACGAATGGAAATTTGAAAATGGAACTCAGATTTTTCTTTTACATTTGTTATTAAAAATATTACCAGTAATACAATATCAAATGCTTCCTTTTTTTGTCAAGTAAAATAGGGTCTATTTAATTTCATTTTATTTTTTTTATTTCCTGTCAACTGCATTGACTGCTTGGCCGTGAGCCTCGTGTCCTGGGTAGGCAATGTTAAAACTCCCCGAGCCACCCAAAGATATTTACTATACTAAGATATATACTATATATACTTACTCGCCACCTAGGAGCTTCATGTCTATTTACAGTCCGTCAGTCATGTAACGTTGCAGAATCATCCCAACTTCTAGTGCATTTATTCTATTGAAGATAATGGCAACCATACTCTTGACTTCAAAAATACTTTCTTGTATCATAAACCTACATTAGTGAATTTACATTGTAATTGACTGAAAATTGTCATTCGTTAAAACAAAAAAGATGGCTGCGTTTACTCCTGAAGATGAATTTCAATTCTGGTTATAGGGAAAAGTACTTGTTTTTGAATAAAATAAAAACAATATTGTTTTGAAACTCTTCAAATATTATTACGCTAGAGAAAAAATTTAATAGAACTATTTAAATCAGTTCATTAGTATATAAGTATAATGTGTCATTAGTTTCTAATGAGGCACAAAAACTCAATATCGGAAACATTTGATGTCCTGTGTTTCAGGTGGAAAAATAAAATATGAAGTGGCAACCCGTGTCTGGAATTCATTCCATAAGAGCTGTATTTGAGTTGACGCCCGATCGAGTAGAAAGTGCCACAAAACACTTCCACTCTCAATGTTTTGTGGACAAAGCTTGTTATGTTGACATAGTGTCTATGAACCTAATAAATCTTGACCATTGTCTAAGGATCCTTAGACAATGTATTGACATATTATTCCTAAAATAACCTGCTTATAAGCGAACAGGCCTTTTAATATGATTGCCAGGATGCCAGTAACAACCATATTTAAAGCAATAAGGTTAATGGAATATTATGACAATGACGTAAGAAGCACTACTCGCCCGATCGGGCGTCAACTCGAAAGTAGCTAAGCTAAAACTTAACCTAAATATGGAATTATATTCAACAAAATATTTAATTATGTATCACAATGTATATTTCTCAAAGATGTAATCTAAATAATGATGACAGGAAAATTGGAAAAAAGAATATCTCTGGAACTGAAAGAATCTTTACTGAAAGTCAATAAACATTATATGAATTTGGGATGTAATTTAGAAGATTTAGAGAAACAATGCACCTTCAAGGGCCTTTTCAGTATAAGCAAAACTACCTTTTTTTTTATACCAATATTTATGTCTTTTCTGTTATATGAATTGGACTACTTTGTTGTTGGTTTCAACTATCTACTAGGAGTAAGATGCATTGTCCCTAACAATTATTTTATATGGGAGGCTACACGTCCCATAACAGACTGTAATTTCTGTTCTAATACACTCGAACCTATTGTATTATCAAATATTACTAAAAATGATTTCCTGCCATATGCATACAGCTCGAAGCCTATTGTTATAAAACGAGCATTCTTACACTGGCCTGCCATACAGATTTTTACCCTTGAATATTTTCAAAACTTGTATAGAAAAACAGAAGACTCGTTCAAGAGTGTAGATGAGGAATGTCAGTTCTTACACTTCAAATCTGATTTTATGTCGTTGAGAGATGTTCTATCTATGAGTAAGGAAAGATCTAAAAATAGCCCATCAGAGAAATCCTGGTATGTTGGTTGGTAGGTATTCCAAAATATACAATCTGTTGAATAATTTTACCGTGGCTGGAGTAATCTGCGCCAAAACTCTTTTACAGGTTTATTGGTCGTAGTATGTAGATTTTTATACCACACATTTTGTCTACTACTCCAATAGACATCTAGTTTACCTTAAAAGTCTAGCATAGTGATAAAGGAAAGGTCAGCCGACCTGGAATTAGTTCAGAAATCTTATGAAGCGTGTAAAACAATAAAAATATTCTTCTATGAAAAATATTCATTAAATTAAGAGATTCCTTTTACATATATATTGAAAAGTGTCGTTATACATTTTCAGGGGAAATTGCCATCCAGTTGTTTTGGAAAAAATGAGAAAACACTACCCTAAACCACATTTTTTACCAGATGACTGCGAAATCCCTTCAAAAGAATATGTATTCATGGGATACGATGATGGTGCTACTATGCATGTAAGTTTATTAAATGTTTGTTTCTATGAATGAAATGATCTCAAGTAATCATGTAATGATGTAATTAATGATGTAATTACAACAAAAACATTTTATACAGAAAATTTGTTAGTTAGTGGCCCCATGAATATTCTAAACAGTCAAGAATTTAAAATTTTTATTTCCAAATTCTCAGCTGGACTTCATAAATCGTCTTATGTGGCAGGCCCAATTGAAGGGATCCAAGGTTTGGAATCTGCATCCACCGCCAGAATGTGAAAGCATTTGTAAACCTTTCTCTTTCATGGTAGAACCTGGAGATGCAGGTTAGTATGCATTTTCAAAATTTTACAATTGAATCAAATTTTAAAGTGTAGCCATCATTGAAACAATAAAACTCACGATGATTGGATCTAACGATAATACTTTTCTCGTAAACAAAACTGTGATACTTGTTTTTCAACGCACGTTGCGCCAATCAAGTTGGCATCATCAGAAGATGATTTAGACCTTTTAGATCATCTGATGAAGCCAATACAAAACAACCCCTGTTCTCAAACACTAGAACTGCTACTCTTTTCGACGCGCGTCGAGGTAGTCTACTTCATCTCCTGAAGACTACAACTTGATACTGTCATTGGTTTCAGGGGAGTGTTGAAAGTCACAGTAAAAATGTACATTTATACAAATTTCTCAAAAAAGATTGAATATTGTTAATTTTATGAAGATTGATGTTAGCAATATGAGGTCAGTAGTTTTAAAATGAGGGTTGGGGAATATAACATTTCAGAAATTTCAATGAGGGATAACTTTTTTGAGGATATTTGAAATTCTTTAGAAAACCTATAAATTTAGAGAATTATAATTTCCGATGATGGTATGTTAAAACATACTCATCGATAAAAATTATTAGAAAATAAATTAGAAAATTTGAAAGTTTAACTCTTCCTTCAGAAAAAAATGCGAATTTTCGCAAAAGATAGTTCTGTACTTTCGAGAATTATAATTCCCGATGATAGTATGTACTACTCAATAATGATGTATATTTATTTAATGAATGGGAATGAGAATGGGCAAATTTTCTTATCTCTTTGTCAAATGAATTGAAAATCAAGGACAATGCAAAGATATTTCACCTCCTTTGCAAATAGAATGATCTCACCATTGAGGAAAAGTGGCGTTAAATTGTTCAGTTTTATCCTCCTGGTGAAGGGGATTATCACAGTTTTGCTTGGGTTAACAGTCATCTGCTCGCTCAGGCACCAACTGTGAACAACGTCCATTGTGCTTTGGAGGATATCACAAGCTACTCTTCCCGTCATGGACCTTGTCAAGATGACAAGGTCATTTGCATAAGCTTGCGTTTTGCTCATCAAGTTAGCATCATCAGGAGATGAATAAAACTCATCTGATGATATATACATTAACGAGTTCATATTGTTAATATATCTGTAAAATTATTGCATAATCTTCAATAATTTTCACAATGATTTTCAATACCCCTATCACTATAATTAGTTTTGAATATAACTTTCCTTCATAAGATATCACAAGGAATTGTCCCTGAAATTAATGATAGCACATGAAAAACACCTGTCAAACATTACTAACACAAAAGTTTTTCACTATCCAATTTACAGTATGCTTGATAGAAAATATGTGCAACCATGTGTATTTATATACGAGTTATTAAAAAAAATATATATATATAACCCCTTCAATTCGAGTTATTAATATTTTCACTCTTCGAATCTAGTTCTTGTGGACACTAGGATTTGGTACCATGGGACCACAATTAATCCAGGAGAATTCAGCCTTTCTGTACAATCAGAATATGGATAAACGAAACATTTTTGCCCCAACTTATGCCATCTGAGACCAAAATGTTGCCAAATATTAGTTTAAGTATTGAAAATGTTACCAATACAAAGTAGAAAATTCATGATAATAACCAAATTTATTTTTACAAATGATTATTTATCACTATCTCATAAACTAAATTAGCTGATATGATGTACCAGTGATGTCGCGATAAATTTAAAAAAATCAGAATACAAGTCAACAGCAATTGTTACAAATCTGTTTCTCTAGTCTTTCTTTCTGGAAAAATCATTGAAATTTTAGAATCTGTTAAGGTGTGGAGTCAAAAACTATTATTATTGGTTTTTCATCTCCATTTGATTACTGGAAGAATGATGATTTCGTGTAGATTATTTTATTTTCAGCTGTATGTTCATAGTGTCCAGCATATCATCTAACTCACTTTATGATTATGAAAACATTACTATTAATCTGCTTGTACTCTTACTATTTACAGACAATAATAAAAAATGAGTATTTTCTAGTCTAGGACAAGGTTTGAAATAAGCTCCTTGAAGTATACATTCATGAACGTATGAACTGCCCGATTGTCATTTTGCAAAATGTGTGCATTCAACTGTATTCACCAATGTTTTCATTGCCTTTTTCACTTTCAACACAGCATATGTCACGAAAGACTTACTATTTTTTCTAAAAGAATTATTAGTATTCAACTTCAGCGAAGAAATGGGCATCGTAAAACGATAAATTCTCTTCAAATTCTCGTTGGTACACCTACTTCCCTTCTCGTGCAAACTTTTTGAGTTGTTTTCAAAGGGAGTAGTAAGAAAGTTCAAAAAAATCCTACGGAAGTCATGATAAAATAATGTTTACCAAACAACGTAGCCAATGACAGCGTTGGTGTTTGTGAACAAGTGTGACGTCACCCTTTTGTCACGTGATTTGAGAGTTGTTCACTTGAATTTGATTTATCAAATCAAAATTAAGTTCCCAATGATAATGAAAAATATTGCGTTTTTTTGGATTTCTGTTATAAAATTGGGGTAATTTTAAAGTCTAATTTCAATGTAGTCATCATCTCTATCACAGATACTCCATAAAATATATTTAATAGTATAGTAACTACTTGATATGTTTTTCAAAGCTAAACATATATTTTTTTTACTCTTGAAACTTTTTCGATTGTTGTCTTGAGTTTGAAAATTGGAGGTGTATTATAATACTTAAAATCTCAAAAAGGTACCAATATCTTTCAGTATATACACCAAATTAATAAATGAATGAGTGCTGAATATGGTCGGTTTATTTTTCAACTGTAAGTTGACTATAGTCTAAGAAGTATCAGTGTTATTGGGAATTATTACATCCAGATAACTGCCAACGGCATTTTTATGAAAAACCGTATTTGTAATTTGAGGATATAGAAGACTTGAAGATCTATCTGTATTTTTTTGAAATATTGCATTATATGATGATGAAAGTCAATAAACGCCACACTTTTAGAAATGTCTTTCCAAATAGTTGCAACAACTTGTTTTTGCTGTGCCATTTTTTTATTCCTATACTATATTCATGAGTTGGATGGGTATCTTCGCTTATTATTTCTCATTTAATTGTAATAGGAACTTTCCTAGGCTTTATATTATTTATTATATATTTACTAATTTATAGCTTTTTTATTAGAACTTTTTTTTCAAGTCAAGATTATAGTTACCATCTTTTATTTATAAAATTAATGCCATGCTGTGCCATTCAAACGTTGTTATGCCTTAAAATTTCGCATTTCATTATGCCTAATAAATGGTTGAAAAATTTGTGTTTTTTAGTTTTGTTTATGAAGCCTTTGATCTGTGAGAAATAACACCGTTTCCAGTTGATGTTTGTTTTGAAGATTTAATGTCCTAAACAACATGACAAAATTTAAGAAATTGTCCGTTAGTAATACACTTATTTAGCTCATCGCTGCACGCCAGTCGATCACATATTCTATTCCATAGTCACTTTACAGTTGTTGTCAAAAAACTACGTACTCCGTTTCCCATCTTCAAGAAAGAATTCCAGGGATATAATTACGTGCGTACGAAGTAAAACTACCTTCTTCGAGACTTTGTGGCTGCACCGCTGGGGACCCAATCAGGTTTTTAGAGTTCGGCAGAGCCGTACTCTTACCATCTGACCTGAAAGACCACTCACCATACACACTAATTGACTTCGTTGAGAAGCTGGGTTTATTTGGTCGAGTGTGAATATGTTTGAGCCACAATAAACCCTTGCGGGTTGCGGTGGAGTGTCGAATAGACCTACTCACTTTGGACCTAACGTAACCTAACATTCTTCGAGATTACTTTCTGAAATTTTGATAGAATCATCAGCATTAGATGAAGTTATTTTGTGGAATTTAGTCTTTTGCTTTTGGTAATGTGAATGGTTTTGTAATTTATCATTTTCAAGTTTTAAGAAATGCTAATGTAATATAATTTACAGCTCAGTGTCACTGTTTTTCGAGTTTGAAAGCCGTGGATTTTTGAAGTTTCTTCCTGACGTTTCGCTTGCGCGAGTGGCTAGCTTCTTCAGAAGCTAGTCATGGTTTGCTGTTCGATGACTAACTTTTACGCTTCGTAAAGCGTATTTATGCCTTGTCAGGTAATCCGTTGTATCTGTACCTGTATTTGTACCTGTACTCGTGCCTGCACTTGAACCTGGAACATTAACAATCTCGCTGCCTGTTGTCCTGTTCGTTATTATCGAATTCCTTAAAATGGAGTTCCATATTTGATTGAAGTTCACCGCTTCTCCTTTTCTGTTGAAATTCTCTATGTGTTTGTGGATCTTTATTGCCTCCCGTACCAGTCGGCTATGGTATCCCTGGTTGGGAGCAATTAGTTCTGCGTTTTCAAACAAAATTCTGTGGTCTCCTTCACTAAGTGCGTGTTCTGCCACAGCTGACTTGTCCGTTTGGCCTAGTCTGCAGTTCCTTTTATGCTATTTTAATCTTGTTCCCATGGATCGTTTGGTGGTTCCGGTATATACCTTCCCACAAGTGCACGGTATAGACCCCTGCTGCTGATAATGGGTGTCTTCTGTCTTTAGCCGACCTGAGGCATTGTTGTATCTTCCTCGTGGGTTTGAAGATTGTTTCGATGTCGTGTTTATCCAATAGTTTTCCAATTCTGTCCGCGATCCTAGGGATTTGCGCGTGCAACCATCTGATCCTTTTTAGCTTTTTAAACCGTGATGCTCTTCGGTTTCATGGCTTTCCTGATCTCGGAGGCACTGCATCCATTCGATCTCAAGGTGACTTCAAGGTATTTCAGTTCCCTCTCCTCAGATGTTCTGGTTCACATATTCTCCGAGTCCGTTCCGTTAGAGTGGAGATGACTTCTCTCTTTTGGCTAGGATAGTGGTTCGATAGTGCGTGCAAGTATCTATCTGTGTGTGGGTTTTCGATACACTTTGTGGATTAGTCTGGTACCACATCGTTCTACTAGTACATCCAGGAAAGCTATCTGTTGGTCCTGCTCAATCTCCATGGTGAATTTTATGCTAGGGTGGTTTAGGAAACGGTTCAGGGCGTCTCATCCATGTTTTCAGACGAAGGTGTCATCCATGTAACGTAGCCACAAGGTCGACTCGCGCCAGCGAAACGTCAGGAAGAAATTCCAAAAATCCACGGCTTTCAAACTTGAAAAACAGTGACACTGAAAACCTCAGCCGCGAAATTTACAGATTTAAAAAAAGAATATTCATTATGAAAGTTTGGTTTTGCAACGAAGCCGTGTGTTTAGTTTTGCGATAGTAAGTAATCTATTTGGTTCTGAAGGAAGAGTAATGCGATTTATAACCAGTACGCCATAATGCATATTATAAATAGTGTATGTTTTGCCGCCATATCTATCTTGAGGTAAGACGAATAGTTGTTACAGTTTTTGATGTGAATATAGCAATTTCGTCTGAATATATTTCCCTTAAGGTTTCAAGAGATGATGGAGAGGAAAACACTACTTCGATAAATATTTTTTATTAGAAAGATAAATGACACAAACTTCAAACTGGTACAAAAAATAAGATTATAATACATATTTATCTACGCTCATTTTTGCAGTTAATAAATATATGTGTAGCGTGTTTGAAGGGCTCACTAATTGATCTAACTTCAAATCGACTACAAGTTTCGAGTGGAATGAAGATTGCAACTTTTCACAGTTTTTTTTTTCGTGTGCGCTTTTTTGTCAGCTATAATTTTTTTTGAATCCCGACAAACTACACAATGTAACATGTAGAAAAATAATACCTTTCCAGGTCATTTTAAAAAAACTGAATTTGTTATTGGTGCGAAGAGATATTTCAAATATCAATGCAACTGTCAACACTTTAACGAGGTTCCATGAGAACAGTCAAATGAAATAATTTTATTCAGTTGTACAGTGTTGAATAATGTGTGTTGTTTACATTTTCAGGTTATTCTAAAAAAATCGCAATTCTCGAAACTTCGAAACTAAGTAGTTGTTTGGAATATATTTTGCAGTTTGCTAACTTTCAAATTTTAACAAACTTGTCAACAATGCCGATAAAAAGCTATAAACTTCTAATCATTAACAATATATATATTGCCGATATATAATAATATTTTAAAACCTACTTTAATAAAACCTGAAAATGAATTACTTCAACTACCAGCGATGGGGAGAGCTGGTATATGGCACCGACTTTAGGAGGGGGACACCACGAAACAAAGAGAAAAAGAAGATCTACCAGCGATCATCGACTTCTTCATTTCTCAGTGAATTCTATCACAATATGCTTATCTATCATAAGCTAACTTGCAATACTCCCGAATACAAATCTTTAACCGATCTCAGTGATTTGAAAAAAATATGAAACAGGTATAACATGTATCTCCATCACACTTCTGAAGCAATTCATTTTCTGTAGATATACAAGATGGTAACTTTTTCAATCCCCATCATCGGAATCGTAATCTGAGATAATTAGTGAAACTTCGGCGGATAATGGAAATTCACAAAACAAACAAAAAACGAACAGTACAAAAACCGAGCCTGACTCGTCAGAAATGCCAATCTGAAAAAAATTAATGACTGTTTCAACTGGTCAATGCCTCCTGGTCATCCTCATATGTTTGAGAGGGATCAAAATGGACGAAGCCTTCTGAAATGAACTTCGTAATGCTGTATTCTATATACACGAGATAATTAACTAACGAAAGAGAGGAGAAATATGCAGGTCCGTATTCGAAATTTGTTATCTGGTGGGGGCCTTGAAACGTCTTGTGAAAATTTTACGCATTGGTGTTCCAGACCATTTTTAATTAAAAACTTGAGTAGGAATTTCTCGTTGATATGATTTCAAGTCAGATTAAAATATCTTCAAGTGACCAATCCTATTAAGAATAAAAAAAAAGATTTCTGTCATGACAGACAATTTCTCCTTGATAACATAAAGACTGATATTGAACACCACCAACTCTCCAGATAGGAGGGAATCTGAATTGAAGCTAATACCGTCAGCTAGGTTTATTTGGCATTCGTAATACTGACGAATTTCGGGTTCAGTGTTAGTTTTTTGGGAAACAACAACGGGAAATTTGTAAAATGACATGAACGTTTCCTTTGAACAAATAAGAAGAGAATTGCTATTTGATAATGAAATAACTTCATCGTTCAAAATATTTTTCTGACTTTTTCAATGAAATTGTGATTGCGATCTTCAACATAAAATCACATCTGGATGTTCTGTTTGAAGAAATCGAGAACATAATTATTTCGAATTTTTTGATGCATCCAGTTTTAGTATCTATATTTTTAAAATATCGTCATAACAAAATAAACTCTTCAACTGAATTTCCTTTTAAAATTGGGACGGTTGAATATATCACTTTTTGATATTATTTTTGTACCGCTTCGGTATTTTGTAAGTTACTATTATAATTTCCATATTTCCATTTGTTTGTATTTTGGAATATCTATTATCCTCGATGAAAGAAATATTGCTTTCTGTGACTTAATTTATGCGATAAGCGATTACCTCAGTTGAAAAAGGTTTGTAATAAGATTCCATCTTGTAGGGATATGTTATTGCTTTTCATTTGTAAATAACGGCCAACATGAATCTATACACACAAATGTTAAAATATAATAAAATATATAAACTAGATACAGATTGAGATGTTTGTCAGAATCACTATAACTTCTCATTCTGTAAACGCATTATTTCTAAAATCCGTGAACTTTGAATTTTCTAAGGGAATATGCAGAAGATAGATAAGTATAACTTTGGATCAAATATCCGCTTCTATATTTACTATGCTAATGTGAATTGTTTAAATACTTAAAAATAAGTATATGTACTTGTGAAGCAAGTTCCAACTCAAAATACCTAGAGGTAAATTCTCTTTTATACATACACTGTTTTTTTTATTTTTTCATGAATAAAATCATATTTGATATGTATGAGATTGTCAATTTGAGTTAGCAAAAATTGAGCAATAGCTTCTATTAGGTATTATGTAATATTCTTCAACTCAATATATTTCGACAGGAACGTAAATTTTAACTGCCAGTGACCTACCAAAGAATTCCGAAAGAAAATTGCCAGTAATTTTTTTTTGCATTGTTAGATCCTAATTCGACTGGGCTATTACTACTATTTCTCAATGGAGACTGACTACTCACACGAACTATCCTTATCTATTTTCTGATATTTCCGGCTCAGAGAAAATTTCATGAACTAAACACTAAAGCAACTCTATTTATGGGGTATAAACTAATTTTAAGCTGTCCCATTGCTTTGTAGTAACGTAGTATTTTTCATGTATCATCATGAATATAAATGTATTCTGTAAATGGCGACGTTGAGCCAGATTAAGCTCCTTTGACTCTATTAACTATTCTACCTACCAGATGGTCCTAACAGAGCTTAGGGAGAGTAACTACCTTGTCCAAGTCACTGAAAACATTATCAGTGTGTTACAATTTCCTCTCAACTTGAGACCATGATATTTTCATATTTGTACCTACTCTAGAACCACTCCTTTCCCGGAGTTTAGTCCAAGGTGTCTACGCAGTGGTTAAGCTATTCTATCACTTACTCGCTATTCGAATAAGGGATGGATTATTGAAGAAGTGTTAAAATTTACGTAAAATCAACTTCATTGCTTTTGTATGCCTCATCACAACCTAACATCACAGAAACCAATTGTTTTTTAATATCATTCAAGTATCAATATCTGAAGTTCATGAAATGATAGTAGCTATATTAAGATAATTTTTGATTGTTTTAATCAGATTAATGAAAGAAACACATCTAATTTTTTAATTGACATATTACGGAGTTTGAAATTTTGAATAATAATATAAAAAAATGTTTAACGCATTCTATACTCTAGCAATAAAAGCAGAATAAATTTCGAAATTGAGGTTGGTTACGAAAGGTCAACATAATGCGACCTATAAATGCACTCTGGTGTTTCACTTCTCCAACCCTTTCATGTATAATTTTGAGCGCCTACAAATTTTTAGGAATTTGAACGATATGGATTTGTTCACAAAAGTTACTCATTTTTATTAATAATATTATGTAGGTGCTTATTTTTCGCGCATTTTCTGTAATGGCGGGTTCTCGCGTACCTACTTCCCGCGTGATTTGGATGATATGAAGAATCGCACCTCAAAACAATAGAATCTCGTTAAATCAAGACCAATATTACCGTGTTCAAAGCCGTCGTAAAAACAATAACCGCTTTCTTGACACACCCTGTATACCCATATTGTTCTCATTCCAAGCTCGACTTTTCGAGCGATAGCGTCGCATATCTTCCAACTTATCATGTTGAATGCGGTCGACTCTCGTTATCAACAACGACGCAACCAACCGAACTCGCAATACCCACATCTACCAACTATTCACGTTCACTTTCAATATCCCTCGCTAGCGACGAGATTATACTCAAATGCTACCACACCAAACGTCCCTACTATGTCTAGTCTGTCTGTCTATACTATGTCTAGTCTATCTGCCTGAACCGACGTAACTTCTAGTAGGAGTTACCCCAGTTCAGGCAGACTGTGACATCATCACACCAGCCAGGTTGCCTCTCAGTTCGCCATACAAGGCAGACAGATCACCCAGTTAACCAGAGTACACCAAATTGCCATGTGGTGTCCTGACACCCAGCGGTGAACAAATCGGAGTGTACCAAATTGTCACGCAGCGTCCTCAAATTGTCACGCAGCTTGCCAGCTAATCAGAGCACACGCTTCTGCATCTCAGAACATCGTGGCGAGAGATTTGAATTTTCTGTGGACATAAAGAATTCAAACAGATGACCAGGCGTATCCCTCAACGAGACAGACCACCCAGTCACGTCGCGCAAGATCGGAGAATTGATCGCTGGTCATCGGCGTGATAGGCTATGTCCTTAGACTCGACACCAACGTGAGATATTGGAAGTAATTGTGAAATAATGATAGTGATAATCTGATGTCATCGGTTTGTACCTCGAGATCTAGAATTGGTCCTCGAATTGGGTTCTCGATTCAGTCATTGAATCGCTCTTCGAATTAGTTTTAGTCCCGATTTGAAGGTACATCAACACATGTGGCGCCTTTCAATGCTGTGTGCCAGATCTTTGGTAGATATGTTCACTCTTCCTTTGTGTTGAAGTTCTCTTGGAGTTTGTGTATTTTTATGGCTTCTAAAATATCCAACAGAAGGGAAGAGAGAACATATCTACCAAAGATTTGGCACACAGCTTTGAAAGGCAGGAAGTAAACATGAACCCAGAAAGTGCGCGAAAAATCAGCACTATAAATGACTTGGCAGAAATGAGAGCGTCAGTTTCAGTTGATACGTCAAGAAGAGTACTTCGACCACGCCACTGAAGATGACTACCGCAGTTGCAGTTGAAACATTTGGCGATTGTAACCAAAGAAGACCACGGCAAAACCCGGAAACAACCAAAACAAAGAAATGAAGAGTTTATAAAAAAAAACTGCCTCAACTTGGTGTTAATCTTTGTCAAATAGTGTTGATTCCATTTCTTCTTTGAACTTTTTTCAAAGAAATTAAATTCTTGGATTTGATAATTTAACAAAAATTGTGACTTAAAAAAGCTATTTCAAAAAATTAAGCTGAATATATTAGGATTGCATGTTGTTTGATGCTATATATTGAATGAAATATTCAAAAATATTCAAATCTGAAGAGAAAAGCAAGATAAGTCAGTGTCCACATTTCATTACAAAAACCACGAGTTGATTTTCAATCAAATAGTAAGAAACGTGGACAAAACACCTTTTGTCAAACTTTATTTTGTCTTTCATAACACTTCGTATAAATTGAAATTATAAATATCAGAATCAATGGGAATTTCAGAATATATTGAATAATTTTTGTTCACAAACGGATATTGCACGTTCATAAACAAAATATTAGTAGTCTTGAAGCAATTAGATAGTTACAATACCAAAATGGGGAATGTTCCTCCTGACGAAAATCAAGTAGTTTTCATAAAAGAGCTCTAAAACAACGCATTTTAAACTTACCATTTCAACCTTTCTCTTTAAAAAATTATTTAAATACCTAAAAAAGAGGAATGAAATAATGCATTCAAAATTTGAAGGGATTCGTTTCTATTTTACCATTTGGCAACATCGGTTATAGCTAATAAAGGACAATGAATCTGTTACCTGTATGAGACAAACAAAGATGACATAATTCAGAGGCGTGCTGTTCGGTTTACTTATGTTCCGAGTTCCGCGAGACATTCTGTGACATATGACATGTTGTGCACCTAAACTATCTTCCCCTATATAAATAAATAACAAAACAACTGTTGTGTATGTGGCTGGTGGAGGTGGTATTGAACTATAATTTATATTTTGCCTTAATTGTTGATTTATAAAGATAATTTTCCTTTTTTAAAGTAGAATATCTAGGTACGTATAAATTATTTCAACTTGATATAGGCGCTGTTGCCAATACGTAAATTAGAAACAAATCCCTTTAAAAATTAAAACCCAACATTTGAAATATCAATTTGAATACTTTTCGAAGAGAATTTGAAAAACTCATGAATTAAACTCAACTTTATTTTGTTCAAACTTGCATATGCTGTAATAACCCATATTGAGGAACATTCCCCATTATAATAAAGGAAACAATCAATGAAATTTAAATAAAAGTAGTCTTAATTTCTTATCGAATATTTTGAATTGCTTATAAAAAGTTTCAACAAAGTCAAATTTGAACATGCGCAATCTCCCCAAGCCTTATTTATCAACTCTTCATTTTTTCAGATTTGGAGGTCAGAAACAAAAAATTCAAAAAACATTGATAATTAAGTAAGATTTCATTGTATTGTATCCCCAACGTTTCTCTTTCTCAGGGGTTACTGCTGAGCATGCAAAAAAACTGGTTATACGAGGGATGTTCATAGAGTAATTATGAGAATGCTCTACAAAAAAATCGAACAAATTCATATGCTTTTTTATAATAATTTGTCATAATTTCTTTTTAATTCGAAAAGGATGATATCCAAAGCAATATGTTCTTTTTCTTTAAGATTTTGGTTGCTTCCGATAAATCTAAGGACTCTGGATGAAGTCTGTCTTGGTTTATTTTTAATTTGGTCGAGTTCAATCACATTTGTTTCTTTTTATTATTTTTCGGAAGTAATGGGAATTTTCCATTTATTGAAGCAAGGTTTTTAATTGTTCCATGCGGGCCCTCTTTTCATGGACAGACAGTATAAGAATATATTTTACTGTATGTAGTTGTTTCATTCAGTTTGTCATTACTTCTTCAGTAATGAATATTACTGGAGTTTTTTCCCAACACCAAACCGTTATTTCAACACCTCCACACGTGTTTCGATAAAAACTCCAGTAATCTTCATTACTACACCAAAGGTTCCAAACAGGTCTTCAGTAGTAGGCGTTTCTCTCGTAAGCCAGCGTTATTTGGGTTTCTTCAAAATGAATTCTGTTAATTTCAAGAAGGTAACATAATTCACTATACCACTATTTAGTATCTTAAATACTTCAGCTACCTGCTTCAATTATGAAAAGCCAGCCTGTTAATTAGCTAGCTAAAGGTACCAAGTACCTGTTTAGAATATAATTTCACGGAGACAAACCACTTTTAGTCACATGTTCAGCAGTGGCATAATTTTGACAAGAAACTTCGGAAAATCATATAGTGCATTCCCAAAAATTGAGGTAATTTTTCATTTGTCTTTCAACAACAGAGAATTAGGAGAAAAATATAAATGCTGTGTTCTTGAAGCGTCTGAGTTTCTTGGTTCAAAAATCTTATGGTTTTATGATTTTAGTGAACATCTATTGAAATTTGAGCCTATATAGTGTCCTAACTTTTGATAGCGTCTATCATAAACATTCCAAGAGCAAGTCTGGTTTCAACTCTTCCAAAAAGACGGTATTTTTCAATCAATACTCACAGTATCTGGTACAAGGTGATAATTTGATACAGTTTTTTCCCCAAATTATCCTCAAGATCCTTCAATATGCTCTCCATATTACACCAAATCAAAGATGAAAACTTACCGCTCGTGCATCACATTTTCACACTCAACTTAGGTTCAAATTTTGATTGCGCTTGTATACTGGAACGGCTATTTTTTTAAATTCTAAACATCAAAAACCAAAATGGAGGCTATGATTCGAAATCGTCTTCTTTCAGTGCGAGAGGTACGGACTTTTCGTAGACAGTACCTCGACGTTTCGGCGAAATTGGAGGGCTTCCTTGAGGGGTGGATGGCGCTGTTAGAGTTCCTGAACTTCCCATAGATGACAAGTCTACGCGTGAACTTGACCTCGAAGGTGGAGCAGATCCTGAAAAATGATCGAACATTTAGAAATACAGTTATTTATAGATTAACTCGAATGCTGCGTGGAAAACTTGCCAAACACCATGTCATTTACATTTGGGTTGGATATGTCGGCCCCCAAAAGTGAAAACTTGTGTGAACTAAGGAGTAAGGAAGTCTTACCTTTTAAGGTTCGATTGCTAGCACTAATCAGACGATACGTATTGAATACTCTTCATCGTCCCAGAGTAAGGATCGATCCCGCATTCACAATAACGATTCATTCAATTAGAAGAACGAACCTCTTACGATAACCAACCAGCTACGTTTGAACTGTGTTCACACAGTATCTCTCGTAGAACCTGTTTTATAATATACTAGCTAGGGTAAAAAAATAATAACTTACTCATTGTAGAACAATAACACAAATAATATTAATCCCCCAATGCTATAGTGTATACAAGATTTTTCGTTAGTCCATGTGGGCAAACTGGATGGTTTGTCCACTCGAGACCATTGTCCGTGTGAAAAACATGGTGTGCTCAAATCCAAGCCACAAACGGATATTATTTCACCTTGGAATTTGCTGGTTTCGATAACGTTTTTCATAAATTTTTCAATTACCAATTGCGTGATGTTGCACAGCCGTGGTTGATTCAAATTACGGAGCGATGCAACCTTCAGTTGTAAATTATGCGGTGACATGCCTAGCAAGTCCAATGGGTTCAAAAACTCTGTTGGATAATTCACAGCTTCTATGGCATCGCAAACTGTCTCGATTGATAAACAATAAAAGTGGCCGTAAACTGTGTAGGGAGTGAGAGAGACAGGAGACCGGCTTTGTTCTCACCCCTACTCTGTGCTGTTTACTGAGTGAGAAGTGACACCGGTTATGCAAAAATTAATTGCCATCTCCAAGGCAAAGTTTCTCGATTATTGGAACTACTTATATTCATAACAATTTTGTCCCTCAGAGCATTTTCTTCTGCACTCATCAGGATCCTGCAATAAATATTTCTTCTGGAGATGCCATTAACGTAAAAAATATTAGAGTTTTGGGCCTTCATATTGACGACTGCCTTACCTGGAACAACCATTGCCGAATGCTGATATCCAAACTCAATTCTTTCTCTAATCAATTTAGAAATCTGAAATCGATCTTCAGTAATGATCAACTGATGAGGTTATGTTATGCTCAGATAAGTTCAACTTAGAACACCTCGAACTTCACCGTTTAAGAACTCTTTCATCTGGAGAACGGCATTTATGTGGAATAAACTTCCTGAGAACGCTTTTCCAAATGTATTTAATCTTCAGCGATTCAAATCCTTAAGGATTTTCCTGTAGTACATATAGTTGAGTTCACTGAAAGTACTATCTATGGTCTACTTCCGGTCGATCACACAGCATTGTTTACCAATAATAGATCAAAATATGTTCCAGATTCAAAACTGGGAATTCTCTTGATTGATTACGTTTGGTCGTGGTATTTACATATAAAACATCACCAGTTTCGAGACTTTCATGCTCTTCAACTTTTCCCTAATGGCTTGTGTGATACTATACCTGTATAGCTACGAAGTCCTGCCGGACCAGATCGAGGCCTGCTGCTGCTTGTGCTTGAGGTGCTATTTGTGCTGGTTGTGCTCGGACTCCTCCTCATTTCGGATTGCGACCTACTGTTTCTTCTCCTCGTGCGCTTCTGTGTACTTCCCGATCTGCACACCCCCGTGGGGCACTGTTCACCTAAGGCACATCTTCCTTCACAAATTGTTCGAGACTGCAACAGTTCCTCGTAGTTATTGAGCATAAGAGCGCACTGTTCCTGATCCTTGTAGATTAAGGCAAGACTCGGGTAGCGTTCCTTTAGACGCCTTCTTTCCTGTAAATATATTTAGATGTGAAGTTTTTAAATGGACGAGGTTTTCAAAACCTTCACCTGCAGACTATGAACATGTTTTCTTAAAGGAATGGAGAGAACAGTGAAACAAGAGGGGTGCCAGTAAGAGGTCTTCTCTTGTGATACTTTCTCAGATTAGTAACTATATGATGGATAAGATGCAAAAATGGTAAACTGATTGAAACATTTGCCGGGATCAGGTGGCATTTATCCAATATTTTTCAAGAGGGACCGGATCTTCAAATTCCACGAACTGCCTGTGAACTTCAGAGAAACCGTCATTCAGAGAACTGTAAATATCGTACAGAATTAGGCAAAAGTATTGAGACTTGGGGACGTATGATTGGCTAATAGACCACTGCATCTAGACTCTAGACCTGGGGTCGGCAAATAGTTTTAGGTGGGGTCCAGATACTGTGGAAAAATTTTAACGAGGTCCAGAAAAAAACAACTGATGATATTTAAGTGCTACCTATGTATTATTTTGGTTTCAAATCAAATTCTGAATTATAAAACGCAAGGCCTGAAATTAATGTCAGAAACTACACAGAGGGTCTTGAGCCAGTTTTTTATAGTTTGGTTCTCGAGAGGAACAGCAAATTCGAAGTCTGTCTTCTAGGTGTGCGTTCGTTAATCTCGAACGATATTTGTTTTTCAAAAAATTCATGTTTGCGAAAGTGTTTCTTACAATTTTCATATTTTTCTGGGACATTCTTGGTTCAAAATTGTTCAGTGGATACCGTTTATAAATTTGTAAATCAATTATCTCTATTTGAAGGGATGGCTTTGACAGATTGAATAACTTGGCAGCCACATCTGTCCATTCTGCCGCTACTTCAACTTCAGATGGCGATTTAGGTTAGAAACGGAGGTAGCTTGCCCATCTCTGCAAAGTCTTGGAATTTTGTAGCAAATTCGTTCCTAAGATCGGTCAGAAATTTTTTAAACACTGCAATGTTTTCTTCAAAGTTCTAATCATATTCAAGAACTGTCGGAAAATGAATAAATTCTTGTCTTGCAATATCTTTTTCAAAGATATTCAGCTTGCGACGAAAAACAGACACGCTTTGTATCATATCACATATTAATTTTCCATTTTCTTGTAACTCTTAAGTTCAAAAATATTATTTCAATTAATGAAGGTATAGTATGGTATGTATGAAAGTATAGTATACCCTCTCATATTCAAGTAGGATAGAGTCAGAATCAACGTATCAATTTATACTTGTATTGGCAGTCCGAGGTTCGATCTTTCGCGGTCCGCAAACGGACCGCGAAATTGTTGTTACTATTGCTGTCATAAGTTGAAGAAGAAAACACAGAATGATAATTACTCGGTTTTATTTACTTGCAAGGTAAAACTTAATGACAGAAATGATGACAAAGAAAACTTAACTTAAGTATCTAAGTTTAAGCATATAAATAACTAACAAATAATTGAAATGAATCACAGTAAAATAAAAACACTAATGAGACTTATGTAATTGTGATTTTCCACCGACAATACTTTGTAGTTGTGGATCAATTTTACTTGTACCAATTATCAAAAGAGATTTAAGATGCTCATCGGTTAATTGAGATCTGTAAACATTCTTTGTGTACTTCATCTTGGAAAACGTTTTCTCACACAAGTAAGTATTACCAAAAACAGAAAACAACCCACGAGCAAATTTATGCAAATTATCAAATTGTTCCAGTGGAAGACTCTTATAAAATTCCAACAAAGATGAATTTTGATATTTGTTCTTAAGCATATCACTGCACCGTAAATCAATAATTTCCATTTGGACTTCCAGAGACAGGGTTTCAATGTCAGAATGAAAAGGATTTTGAAAAAGCTTAATTTCATTCGCAATGACATCAAAATCTGAAAAACGAGTATCAAAATTTCTCTTCAAAGCACTCAAAGTTTCGATTGCAAAATTGACGGGAAATTCAGTCTCTGTAGTGTGGCTGAATATTTCACATGTTTCAAAATGTGTGAAACATTTTTTACGTAATTGCCATTGAAATAGTATTATTTTCTGCCTGAAGGATTTGATATTCGTGTATAAATCAGGGAGAAGCTGATTTTCTCCTTGCAATCTCAAATTCAGTTCGTTCATATGATTTGTCAAATCGACATAGAAGGCTAACTTCGATCTCTGCTCGAAGTTCAAAAAAGCGCTTAAGGACTTTTCAGCAACTAAGCCAGCGTACGGCAGTATGATATGGTAAATCATTTTCTCCAATCTGTTGAATAAACTCGCGGAATTGTCGGTGATTCAGCCCAGTGGATCTGATGAAGTTAACAACTGATATGACTGGTTTTGGAACTTCAGACATGTCCAAACATTTTCCGCACAAGGACTGTTGATGAATGATACAATGTAAGACTAATGGTTTTGAACCACCATCATTTTCTACAGCCTTTGACACAAGTGCAACCACTCCTTTATTTTTACCATACATATTTTTGCCTCCATCAGTTGTTATAGATTTCAAATTTCTCCATCGAAGGTTCTTTTTATTAATGGCATTTTCAACTCCCTTAAAAATATCTGCCCCAGTTGTCATGCCGTGAATACTATCAATATCAAGAAGTTCTTCATACACTTCATAGCTTTTATCTACTCCGCGAATAAAAATAAACACCTGAGCAGTATCTGACACATCCTTTGACTCATCCAATTCTAGAGAAAATCACTCATGATGTCCATTTTTGTCAGACAGTTGAGATGATATATTTTCTGCGATGTCTTGCACCCTCCGAGCCACGGTGTTTGCTGACAAACTGACACTTTTAAATAAATTTACCTCTTCGGGGCATATTTCTTCGGCTACTGCAATCAAGCATGCTTTTATCATTTCTCCATCAGTGAATGGTTTGCCACGTTTTCCGATTTCAAGAGCCACACGAAAGCTGGCGCGAGTTGCAGACTCTTGTTCAGTATTCGCTTTGGTAAACAGAGATTGCTGCGATTTGAGTCCGCGTTTCAAAGCTTCAAATTTTTCCTTCCGCAAACTTCCTGTATACTTGGAGTAACTTTGAAGATGTTTCGATTCATAGTGTCGTTTAATGTTATAGTCTTTGAGAACAGCTATGGTTTCATTACAAATTAAACATAGAGCCTTATTACTGGACTCAATCACAAAATACTGAAAGTTCCATTTTTCTTGGAACGTTCTGCATTCACTGTCGATTTTTCGCTTCTTTTCCATACTAACAAATCACACATAAAAACAATTAGTCAAATCAAAATACTTTTATTGACGGGTGTTACTTTATTTCATAATAGACAGTTTCGCTAACTTCGCTTCCTTACGCAGACTAACTCGCAGTTGCGCCGCTAGCCTTTTTATATGCAATTATTACTGCCATCTCCAGGTGATCGGAATACACTAGCTAGAACCAGAACTTTCTCGAACCAACGCGGTAATTTCAAATATTTAATTACGCCTAATGCCACCTAGCGGGTAGCTGAAAAAGATAGTACATAGTACCACTACTCGCCACTAGATGTCGTTAAGTGTCACAATACACAATAATAATTGAAATGCAAAAAAGCGTAAGTTTGCTTAGGTCACGCACTTTGCGACTATCCTAGTCTAGAAATATAGTTAAGGGCAGAAATTGGCCCTTGGAACAAACTGAAAAAATCATTATGACCCGAAGGCTTCAAAGTTTGAAGACCCCTGGTCTAGACCAATATACGAACATGGCAGGTATGTTACCAGAAGACAACAGATTGATATACATGACCATTATGGGAGAAACAAAATTGGTAGTGTTATGGGCGAGTTACTACGTTGTCTGAAGCATGATGGAAATAAAATTCTGAGCTTTGCAAACGACTGAGTCATCCCAATCCAGGCCAAATATATTAAGATAGTCATGGGACATATGCAGTGGATTCTGCATACTAAAACAAAATTAGTCGTGGAAGAATAACTAGATAAGATGGACTATGATCGAGGTGATCTGATACAACTGTTGGGATGGTTGAATATCTGTGAGTAATACTAGATTCCAAAGAAATATAGAACCAACATTTATACGGGATAGAAAGAAATATGGAGTTAGTAAGACGCTCTTACGAGAAGACAGGTGGGCTGAAATCAGACATGATGATGGTTACCATGATAATATATGCTTCTTTGCTTTGGTGGCCAAAAATGAATTAAGCTACTACAATTAACAAACTAGGCAAAGTGTGAAGACTTGCTTGTGTGGAAATAATGGGAGAAATGAAAGTTACACTAACAGCAACATTGGAGACACTGTTGACTCACACTAGCCGTTGACCACTACAGTAACGATGGTCTTCATTTTGGTGGGTTTTCGCCTTTGGAAAGTGCTTGGGTTTCCAACCACTGAGCACCGTTTCGGATAACATATGAACGCTATCGTAAAATATTGACTTTCTCAAATTTTGAGTAGAATTTTATTTTTCCTTTATTGTGGTCTTGAATTGTGTTCATCCTAAATATTCGAATCTGAATACTGGCTGAATTTTCAGTTATCAAAAAAGTATTCAACGTATGGAATGTGAAAATACAGTTTTCGCGTTTACCCCTGGCTTTTATTTAATTTGCAAAACCCAACGGCGATTATTTAATTATGGTAACTTCCCTCGATGTTCAATATCGCGTGTACGAAAACTCTGTTTCATGTCAATCAGATTTGCATTCGAAGTAGATTAACTAACCTGAAGTTACTTTATTCGGATTGACTCACACATACAGGGGAGAGAAAATACTTTGCTGAATAGAAGGAATATCAAAATAAACCATACGCCAAATATTCCAATATTTGGTTTGATTAATGTTCTGAAATCGAATTGACTCATACACACAGGGGAGAGAAAATACTTCACTGACTAGAAGGTATATCAAAATACACCATACGCCAACTAATCTGTCCAACAAAACATATCATATTTATGCCACAAATATCACGACGAAAAGCAATATACCGCTTTCAAACATTCTTGGGGATTGGCAGAATATTTATCGAAATATTCCTACACGAGAAGCTTGGTTTGCAAAATACAACGAAAAATCATAAGTAAAATTTACCTCCTGGAAAGGTTGTATTGAGTTGTTTTCATTAGTCTTTAAAATCTTGTTATCAATAAGTTTCAAAGAAATATTCCTGAGGCAAGAAGACCTTGGCCAGCAAAATACAATTGAGTATATTCTAACCTTGGAAACGCCAACTGATTGGTCGCGTTGAAATCTTGTTATCATTTATGATTAAATGTACTTTTATTATTATTATTATTTCCCCAAAGGTTGACCTCGACGGGTCTTGTTCTCGAGGCCCCGATATATTCGAGGAAGCGTGCCAGCATCATCAATCAAAGATCATTCCCCACCCCGCGGTGTACTTCTGTGATCGTGGAGTCCAAGAATCATATGCCTTGAGCAGGAGTATTGAGATAAGAATGACCGGCCAAGATTCCCGCATTAGTGCGACAAGCTGGCAAGATCTTGAGATTCGAGATTCAGCTCTGCCGCCAAAGATGATATACATAATCTCTAAGAATTTGGGTGGAAAAGGCGGTATGTTCCGGATGTGTTCCACACCACAGAGTATGCATTCTCGCCATGTACCCTATTTGCGCGAACTTGTTACTCTTATAGCAATACATGAGGCTATCCCTTAACTAAAGCGTCCACTCTAGCGTATATTGTCATTGCCAGAGTTCATATCGGTGAGCAAGTCGTCGTTAGGGGCCCCACCTCTGCCTCTTACCAAGCGGGTCGCATTCTAGGAACCGAGACTTGGATCTACCGGATGGTAGACCCAAGGAGGGAGAGTATTGTTCTTCTTTGCGAATCTTCCAGAGCTGCCGGTCCAGTTTGCACCAGCTGTTGGGATGTGGTAGCGTGACTCAGTAAAGACCTCAGGTGTTAGGTAGGCATCCTTGCTTATTTATTATTATTATTATGAATATATTTCGTGACTTACCTCTAACAATCGAGTACATTCAAATTCTTCTAATTGCTTTTGAAATCCCAAATTCGGGTTAGCAACGGATCTTCCAGCTCGGACAACTTTGAGAGCTTCCTTCCAGTTCAAAGTGGTAACACTCATTATGTAAGCCACTGCTACTGTTACGCTTCTAGACATTCCGGCCAAACTGAAAAAATTAGATGAGTTTACCTTAACATTTTCTATAACTGGTGAAAATTGGGTACACAGGTACCAAATTATTATTTAGTTTAAGATGACAGGCGTCACACTTTGATCAAGTACCTTTCCTGTGATATATCTTCGCCATCTGTATTGTTTCGTTTTTCCCGTAGGTTCGACAATAATTGACCACACTGTACAATTAGACTCAACTTTATTTTACCACCACACTGTCAATACAACACAAAATCTTTAACTGAACTTCAGACTAATACTCAAATGTCTATCGCCTCATCGCTCTAGCCCAATCTAAGTAGACAACTAACATTAATAAGGCTCTTTCATCTCCATACGATTCCGTTTTCGGTGTGCTTCAGGGTATATCAGAGTTTGTTCTGATATACAAAAACGTCAAATTGTTTATTCTCTCCCATGGCGAAAGTTTAGAGCTCTTTTCATCTTAAAAATAAATAACATTTTGTAAAGCTGGAACCATCTTTGATAATACATTTTATCTGTTTGTTATTCCTGCTACCCTCGTAACAAACCCCTAGTGTCGGATTGATTGCCTCGAAATGACCACCGCTTTCAAAAATGGGTACATTGACCTTGACTTTCGGTCGGTGATTTTATCTCCAACTATAAAAGTTGTTGGCCCTCCCGTTTTGCATGCGGTGTTTTATTCAATACAATGAAATCAGTTATTTCTACTTTGCAGGATCAATACTTTCTTGGAATAGTATAACGACTGAACCAATATTGTCGTATTTCACTTTGGTGTATAGTCTATCCATTCCCAATTGGAACGGCAATAAATATAAGAGTACAGTCATACACATTTCTTGCCTGTGGCCCTTAGTTGCCCAGATAGTTAGTAAATGTGCTATCAAATGTAGTTGAGGAATAAAGGCTTGACTAGCTGGACTGGATGAATACTAATTTTTTGTCGGTTTCACAATATTTCTTTATCAGTGCCGTGTGTTCGTGGGGTTAGGTGACGTAGTGAGTGGTTTTGTAAACCGATTTTTGAAAACTTTTTCTAGAGATCAATTACCTTAACACCAAACTGATATTTTTGCACTCGACGACGCGCGTTTCGCTAAAAAAATCTGTTTTCCGTTAATCTTCGCATCTTCTCCTGAAGATGCTAACAAGGTTAGCAGAAGCAAATTGATACTGAATCTGAAGACAAGGGTTAGCTGTTTATATACCTAAAGTTTTTTGGTCCGATGTGGACTTTGTTTGTTAAATGATGATTATTCTAATTGATTTTTCGGTAATTAACTAGTGAAGCCACTAGTTAATTACCGAACAATTTGTCAACAATAGATTAAAAAGCGGACAAATTAATTTGCAGGTAGTGGTTCCACTAGTTAATTACCAAAAAATCTATTGGGATAATCATCATTTAACAAACAAAGTCCACATCGGACCAAAAAACTTTAGGTATATAAACAGCTAACCCTTGTCTTTAGATTTAGTATCAATTTGCTTCTCCTGAAGATGCTAACCTTGTTAGCGAAACTCGCGTCGAGTGCAAAAATATCAGTTTGGTGTTGGGATAATTGATCTCTAGAAAAAGTGAGGAATCTGTGTCAATCGACAGGGATCCGGAATTTGAAAATAAGGACTTACATGTTCAAGTTCAGCGAGTAATTTTAAATATTCATGAATGCTTGAAGAAGGAAAACTGTCACACTTCACAGAATGCTATTGTGAATAGAATATGCGAGTTAACGAAACTATCTCGTTCGACAATTCTTCGAGTCATTGGAATAGGGGATGTCATTGACCATGCAATGCAAATTTTGTTGGCTTCTATTATTTTGTAAATATAGTTTTGACGAGAATTTTGTGTGATTATTTGTGTTTTCATTGTATTTTAGAGTTTTCGACTCGGAAATCAACTACCTTAAATTTTGAAGTTTTTCATAATTACCCATGATGGAAAAATTCAGTTGAGATAACTTTTTCATGGGGTGATCAATTGCTATGATTGTGAGAATAAGTAACTGAAAAACTACCACTGAAAAATAATATGCCGACGCCTATGTCGAGGCGGGAATTCCTTATCTGTGATATTCCAATTGGTGTTGGAAATACTATAGATAATGTAGGGAAATCGGGTGAATTATACGCGTCGGATATTTGTACGAACTATTGTAAGGCAAGAGTAGTAAACATAAACATAACATTATCCGTAAACATGAAGGTCTGTAGGTGATCTACTTGAATAATTTCAGCATGGTCCTGCTGCTAGATGAACGAGAAACATCTGAGAGAGTAGCCTTTGTGAGGAATGTTGCATAAATGTCTGTCGGATATTATTCAATATCCAGTTCAGTTCAAGCAAGGTAACAAGAATGCATGATAATTAAATTAACAATAATTTATAAGTTTGGTTTTGTCGACTTAGCATGTAGTGGTGTCTGGAACAGCGAATGTAACTCTTTCCCTGAGTGATGCTGGGTCAGGGAATTCGGGTTCATAACTTACTCGTAGTAAATAACAGAGGTGAAATTTCACTTACATGGAACACTGTCATCCTCACTGGTGGACATACGATGTTTCAGTATAAGATACTTGCCGTATGGCCTCTACAGCACCAATTTGGATACGATTTTGAGACAGTACGTAATGACATTCATTCTCTTATTTGAATAAATCCCAGCCATTGGAATCTTGTCTGAATTGAAAAGGGTATATATAAACTATTATACCTTTTAGTACTTATGTTTAATCTAATGAGCATGAAGATTTTCTTTCCTGGATTTGCTCTGTATTTTATTCTGGTGAAAATAAATCATAGCGTCATATGGGACGCCATACGTAGTATTGCCCCAAATCTGTGTATTATTACCCCTCTCAAATTTTTATGGTGAGGAACATTACCTACTTATCAGAGAAGATCAAGAGTTAGGAGTTAGGACCTACCAAGTCAGAAGATCTTCATAAGTTACTAGTAGAAGTTCGAGGTGGACCTTTCACGGAAGTGTTTTTTTAGGATTTAGTTCCAGGACGTTCTGATATGTAATAAACTGTGACCAGATATTAGATTAGATTATCTGGGAGCTAACCCATGGCCTGATTCACTGCAACCTTTTCAGATCTGTTGTGATGCTCCTTGGTTGTTAGAGCTCATTGTCTAGCTTGATCTCTTTGATGAAACTCCATAGCCTTGACACTGACCCTTACATATAGCTGGCAGCCTCTGGTTTTAATTTCCCGCATTTTGAGCCGGCTATGCCCCGTTAGTAGATCAACCACTACCCTTACAACCTTACGGTTGTAGTTTAGCAGGTCTTCCGTGAATCTGGGCGATGGTTTCTTTAAGAACTCTTTCGCCTGCTTCATTCCTGGGAGCTTATTCCACCAATCTATCGATTCGCCTTGCATCGACCACAACAGCAACTCTAATGCTAGTGCTAGTGAAGAAAATGTTACGGAAATTAGAATAAAGAGAACTGAACTGAAAATAAAAAAATAAAGATTAGAACAAGAATTATTCCAAACGGAAAATCAAAAGAAAAGATGTAATAGTACCTCCGTTAATGAATATTGTAAAGAACTTTGAGCTAATTGCGAATCCACAATGATCCAACCAAACAAGATGTCATGTATTATTCTATAAATTTGGATGTGGCAAGGAGGTTTGGTTTTTTAGCAGCCATTTTCAGGTTTGTTGGTGGTGGTCTTTTACTTTTCTTCTACAACTGCAAGAGGCATTCTCACAGATAATGGGGTAACGGGTGAAGAGCTTATAGCTCATACTTAGTATAATTAGAGCATTCTGTACGTTGTCTCTTCACCTTTGATGATGTCTACCGCAGTCGTAGAAGTAACTTTTGGCACAAAAACTTGCAGACCACGGCCAACAAACCCGAAAAATAGCTTTGACATATTTACCTGTGGACGTAAAAGTTAACAAGCATTTGTTTTGTTATGGTGGATGACGAAAAAGGTGCAGTGGAAAGAGCAGTGTTACTGGTTTTATATGTGACTTTTGCAAACCATACTATTGGTGTCTTGCTTCAATTTTTTCTGACATATGTATATTTAAATACTTTCAAAAATGTTCTAAATACCACATGCACAATCGATTTGTCTCCAATATACCTACTTTCAAAGCTAATTATGCTGGAATTTACCGATACAGTGTCCTTTTACAATTATGTGCGTAATCTTACCCCGATTGCCCCGATGTAATGATTGCAATAAAATTGGTACTTTAGCTGGCGTCACTTGACGAAGCAAAATTATATTGTTATGTTCAATGTTTGGAGAATATTAAATTATATTAGATTGATGTATCAGGGGATTTACACTTGACATATTTTCTATTCATGCAGATACAAACAAATAACAGCTGGATTTCCTTCGAATTGAAATACTTGATTTCATAGAAAAGAAACTAATGAAACAGATATATTATGTAGTCTGATTGAAAAAAAAACTATTAATAAACATTTCTCAAAAAACCATAGACAGCCATGAATATATCCACATTATAGAATATCTTCGGCAATTCTCAACTAATGTAAGTTTTACATATTGTATTCAAAATAGTGAATAATTGTAACCACTTTCAAATTAAATTTTTCGAGCAATCAGTTTGTAAATGTACAATGACACTCAAAATTTCTGTTTTTTAAATAACCTACGCCCATTATGTTTGGAGGATACCCGTTATTCTCAGTTATTTTTTGAATAATTATTTTCTCGATATTGTTGTTGATTATCCCCTGAAAAAAAATGATGTCGGCCGACGCTGGTCTTCGCCAATCGACTGCGACTTAGTCAAGGTCGCTCTTAGCACCACTTGTGTTTCTCCCGATCTTTCTAGAATGCCGCGACTGTTCGAGATCTGTTCCACCGGTTTCCAGTTCGGTCGAGTTATATAAGCATTACCGGCCCGCGGGAGAGAAAGTCTAGTTCGGAAAGTGTAGTGCGAAGTGAGCTGATGAGGTGATAGATATTTGAGCATTTGCCTGAAGTTCAGTTAGAGTTATTGTGCTGTAGTAGCCAAATACAGTTGAGTTTAATTGTTCAGTGTTGGCGAACCCACGAGAAAAATGTATCGTATTATATCTTTCCAGTTAACGGTGAAGAAATGTAATCCCGTCATTTTCTGTTTTCAACCATGGTGTGATGTATCTGAAGGTGATAATATTTCACCTATGTCCAGGAATGGTAACTCTTCTTTATTTTCAATTTCATGTGTGAATATTATATTTGGAGATCTGTTATTGACACAAATTCTTCTACTTTTTTCTTTTTTATCTCGAAAATGGAAACTATCCAAATATTGAATACTGGTCCATGGAAAGTAATTTAACTCTTCTCTCTCACTTCCACTTCATATGTGCTCAAGAACAGATTAGCCATGAAAGAAGGCAAGGGGTTTTCCATGCTGCTTGTAGAAACTGGCAGCAGTTCTGTTCCATGCAAATTTGTGAGAGATGAATATTCTCTTCGAATACCCCCCACAGGTCTCATTTATTTTTAAATGATCCTTCAGCTATTCGATTTTTTTATATGACACTTGAAACTAATGTAGATACGTCAAAATATACTAAAATCTCACCATCCAGCAACATTACAACCATGTCAACACCTACCAACGATTCCGTAGTCTTTTCACGTTTTAGTAATTAGAGTTCGGCATCTATAGATACCAGATTCTTGTAAAGTCAATTTCGATCAAATTATTCGATCAAATCATCCTAGGCTTTAGATTATACCTTGGATGAAGTCACAAACAGGTAGAGTATTAGTGGAAAAAACAAAATTCAAACACGTGTATCTTTCAAACGAAATATCGCACAGTATTTCTATTATTATTATCATTGTTGCATTCATCAATTTGTTTTTCAGGTTAGGAATTTTTATTCTTCGTTACACGTTCAAACATGGCGTTTTAAACATGGTGTTTCTTTGCTAATTTCAATCTAGGTGATCAATATTCTCTATTAAGATTAAAAAGCGAAAAAACCTAAAAATTGCCCTTGCTATTCCAGAAAAAAAATTATCATCCCCCACCTAGGGGGACAACCTACATACAAAAAAAAACATAAGGGTGCAATAGGGTCATAGGAAGTTGACTCAATGTCAACTCTTGACTCTATGTTGATCACTTTTGAACTTTATATGTCGCAAATAATTATTTATTATCAATTACATTTAATTTGAAATTGAATCATTCTTACCAGTGAATCAGAACGTTTCCATCGCGAAGCCTGGCAGCATGGATAAAATCGTTGCAGAGGGAGAAGTACTGAGTTAAGTTTTGATCAGGAGTGTCAGATGCGCTAACACATAGGTAGTGTTTATCCTGAAAACAAAACATCTTGTATTGTTGTTGCTTTCTATCTGTATGAGAAAATTAATGGAAATCTCTATGGTTTGCCACTTTCTTGAGTGCTATGTCCATAGACTCGTGTTTCGGGCTTTTGTGGTGATGTTAGTAATATTCTTGTGAACACTAGATCTATTAACTGAAATCACACAGAGTCAGATGCTATTAATGCAATAAGCATATGGGGGAAAAATGGGAAAAATACCACCGTGGTTCAAACAGAACTGGCTGGTATCTCAATCGCCACAAAAGAAATAACCAGGAAAGGAATTTCTGGCAAAAACATAACAATCTGCACTGTTAGCAGACAAGCTCTATTTGTCTGAGGTGGATTAGACAGGAGTAAAGGTAATCGCATTGCCGACTCTTTAGCCAAGGAAGCGGCTGGACTAAGAATTTCAGGACCCCGTGGCACCCACGGCCTGATGACTTCGACAATTGCAAAACTAGCCAAACGTCACACCCATGCCAAAGAGATGGGATGACATCAAAGAATTCAATCTTGCCAGGATCACCCTGGGCGACCCTGGGAAGCTGACGCCGAAGAATTTCTGACTGGCCACTGTCGGTTAAGGAAACACCTCCACAATATGGAGCTAGTGGACACACCTCTATGCGGGATGTGTGAACAGGAAGATGAAACTGTCAGGCATGTCCTATGCGAATGTCCAGAGTTATCGTTAATAAGAGTGTGTATTCGATGAGTCTTGGCCTACACCTGCCGATATAAAGGAGATGTCTCCCAGAGACCTGTCCACCTTTCTGGAAAGGACAGGATGGACGAAGACCTAGGAGGACAACCCCTTGGAAAGTGCTCTGGGCCTACACTGACCTTCCCTACTCTACAGATACAGACAACTGAAATCACAAATGTGCAGCTGGCTTCTGCTGATCGCTCCGTGTATTTGTAGTTCTTTTGACAACCAAGTGTTGTCCATCCTTGCACTTGGCTGCACCACACTGATGCTGGGCCAAAAGCCCGAAACTCGTGTCTATGGTTTGCCACTTTTTTGAGTGCTATGTCCGATGAATCATCTCCTGAATTCATATCAATAGTCTAATTGACTTTTAGATCAATTAAGACAGCGATAGTAAGCGAAATGAACAAGTGAAATAATTGAACTAACTGAAAGGAGATATTGAAGTAAACATTTTTGAAAGTACTTTCAAGTTGTTAATTTGTGAAAAACATCACAGAAACTAACAATATGATAAATGTATTTTTTATCATCACAAAGATTAAATTGTACCCTGAAATGGAATTCAGTTAGATTTTCAATGTCCGTAACTGCGAATGAGTGCGAAGTGAAAAAGTCTGATAATATTTCCAGAGCGCCGAAAATGAAGAGCCGAACGTGTTCCATAAAAAATTTATGAATTTATCGGTGAAAGTAGAGCTGTTCTCAGAAATCATACGTGAAAGGATAAATGGAATATCCGGGCGTGAAACTATTGTCTCAATAAAAGCTGTACTCACCGAATGTATTCTTCTTGCAGTGTCGTGTATTGCTAGAATGTGGGTTATACCGTATTTTTGAAGCTGTGTAGCGTCCTTGGAATCTCTGTAATTTCCAACGTAGAGTCCAGGCAAAACCTAGAAGAAAGTTAGGTTAGGTTAAGTTAGGTTAGGAATTTCAATTTTCATGAGTCACTTTGATTTGTGGTGTACGTGAATATTTACAGCTTCTAAGGTATTTCAGTGAATAAAAAATAAAAGATAGGAATAGAAAATCACTTTATTAACAACTTCTTTCACATGAAAAGTGAGGTATAGTCAAAGTAAACGGTATTTTGCATATTTAAAGGTTTCAGCGCTCTCAAGGGCCAAAAAAACCAATATATAGAAATGAAGCCACTGTCAACTAGTCCACGTGGACTGAAGAATTGGCGGTTCGTATTGGATAATTTTTACTAACCGAGTTTTATGATTGGCTGGAGAGTCATAAAATTTGAATGTTGAAATTCGATATTGGTGCAGTTATAATAACTTAAAAGTTTTGTTATCTGTTTAAAATGTGGTGTCCTTGGACAAGTACTAATAGTAATAACGAGTGTGATGACAACAGATAGACTTTTTCCAGTGTAGTGATTCCGATAACGATGGTGAACAATGCGAAAAAGAGGTACCAGTTAATAAGATTCGGATGCATTTGAATATTGAAACACAGAGAGTATGTTTCAACGTATATAAAAACCTACATCTCAAGTTTGGTTCCGAGGAAAACAAACTATTACAGCCGACCTGGCGGTTGGTAGCCAGGTGGTTCGACGTGGGTGCTTTGTTCGCTCACTCAAATTGACTGCCTTGTTGGTCGGTGGTTCAAGCCCTAGTCTAAACGATCGATTTTCATTTGCTATAGTCCAACCCGTGTTAGGAATCACACGTTAAAAGGTAAGACCTCGTTAATCCTTAGCTCGCACAAGTTTAGACTTCTGAGGGTTGTCGTTCGTAGGGGTGCGACAGCTGGTTAACGGAAAAACAGATTTTAAAACAGATTTTAAACATCCGATTTGACCGAAATTCCTTTCTCAACTATACGTAAAATAGTCAAAAACAAACCTTATGAATGCAAGACGCGATGTAACACAGAATTACCAAAACCTTTAGATGGTCATCTAATAAAATCATTGAAATAAACAATATACGACTGTTACGAAAGCAATTAGTTTCCTACAACTGAAATCATAAGGAAGTAGTTGATACTTTCGGCCATAACGTGAGCTACTGTGACAAAACTCTTCAGAATTGAATAAAGAAACTAGGATTTATATTTAAAATAATAAACAAAGCAGAAGAATAGTGGAATTGCGTAACAAATACTTACAACAAATAAATAAATATAGACAAGAACAACGGCAAATTTTTTATTTGGACGAAATTTGCTATGACACTCACGACACAGTTACGAAAGGGTGGACTGATGGTTCGAGAATGTGTACGCCTAACATGCCTGCAAACAAAATTTGATAAGAAGGTATTAGAGATAATTGAAGAAGAAGTATCTAATATAATAGAAGACTGGTAGAAAAGGAATAAAAAAGTAATTTTAGTTGAAAAAGACTATATAGAGATTGGACACTTCCATATTAATGGTAAAAATAAATTCATTGTTTACTTGAACTACATACTCTTAATACTAAACAATGTTGGGATTGAAGATAGAAGATGGATTTTTAGTACAAGCTCTTCGACTATTTCGACTATTATTATTGCGACTATTAATATTATGAATTATGTCTTTCAACTTTCAAGCAAAATTAAAATAATCCTGATACCACATTATAATATTACCGCTTTGCATTTGACTCAGATTTGATCGCCTTTTTGGTTTGTAGTCGAAATTACGACTTCAAATTCGAAATTTCCGAGAAACAAATTATAAAAATATGTGGCCCTTCTACGCTTCCGTAGTCATACATTTTGTTATTCGTTGTTTGTAGAAACATAACTGACTGCAGAAACTATGATATGCAAAACATGCAATTACTGACGGAGAGTGAAGATTCATTAAAATTAGGAAAGCTGTGCACGTATACACATTCAAAGAATTTCATTTATAATAACTTGTCGCAGTAATAATGTGGGTTTCATTTGTATGCAAGTTTATCGAGGGAAACGTGTAGATTTTCCGTTTACCAAAAGTAAACGAAATCAAATTGAAACGGGTATATTTTTAAGAGAAAATAGTTTTTGTAAAAGAAAGGTAATGACTTTCCACTTCTCCATTTTTATACAGAAAAATGTGGTAATCTTTCAAAGAAAATTTCAATTATGCGAAATGTTAATTTCAACGAAGATATAGTTGCAAAAAACGGCCCCAAATATGGATACCCAGAACTTCAAGGAAGAGACAGTACGAACCCTGCAGCAGAACGCAATGAAATGGAAACAGATTTTCATCAAGATCACGAGCAGGACGATTCAATCATTGATAATGAATCGACAGAAAATCCATCCAGTATTCAACTTCGAAATCGAGCCTCCATCAATATACCATTGAGATATCGTGAAAATTATGACATAGCAATGGCAGCTGTCATCGATGAACCAAAAACGTATTCTGAAGCAATGTCTAGTGCTTTCAAAACAGAATGGAAAAGAGCTATGGAAGAAGAAATGGCCTCATTGGAACAAAACAACACCTGGTGTCTTGAGAAACTGCCCACAGATCAAACAGCTATTGGTTGCAAATGGGTTTATAGAGTCAAATATAAATCAGACGGCACTATTCTCAGATTCAAAGCAAGATTGTGCGCTAAAGGTTATTCACAAACAGCTGGAATCGACTACCACGAAACGTTTTCTCCTGTGATTAGATATGACTCAATACGAATTCTTCTTGCACTGGCGGCAGCTGAAAACATGGAAATGAAACAATTCGATGTCAAGACGGCATTTTTAAATGGAGATCTTCAAGACAATATTTACATGTGTCAACCAGAAGGATTTGAAAGTAGTGATCCTTCCTTGGTCTGCAAGCTAATTAAAAGCCTGTATGGTCTGAAGCAGAGTCCACGTTGCTGGAATAAAAAATTTGTAAAATTTATGACCAAATTCTCGTTTGCACAACTGAATGCAGACAAATGTGTTTTTCGAGCAAAGTTTCGAAGAGAAGAGATATATATTGCTCTTTACGTAGACGACGGACTGATCTTATCGAAGTCAACTGAAATTATTGATATTGTATTGAAGGAACTTGCATTACAATTCAAAGTAACTACCGGAAATGGAAATTACTTTGTGGGAATTGAAATACATCGAGAAAGAGAACTAAACCAGATTTTCGTAACCCAGCAGGGATATTTATCAAGGATCCTGGATAAGTTCAATATGTTCGACTGCAATCCGAATTCAACACCAGCAGATCCAAATGTAGTCCAGGAAATGGGACAACGCACGACTAGTGAAGAACAGGAAATGGAATCTATACCCTACAGAGAAGCAGTAGGATCTTTAATGTTTTTGGCAACTGTAACAAGGCCAGACATTATGTATGTAGTAAGTCAAGTGAGCAGATTCTTGTCAAAGCCAAGAAAGGTACATTGGGTTGCTGTTAAACGAATATTTAGATATTTGAAAGGAAGTCGTGATGTTGGTATAAAATATAAAACAGAAAGAATGAACTTGCAAGCCTTTTCTGATGCAGATTTTGCCGGGGACATTGATACTCGCAAATCAACAACTGGCTACGCAACTATGATGAATGGAGGTATTGTAACATGGTCTTCACATCAACAAAAATGTGTATCGAGATCAACAACCGAATCAGAATACATAGCAGCGTCTGATGCAGCTAAAGAAATTGTTTGGATACGTTCATTTCTACATGAATTGAAAATTGTAGTAGAAGAATCGACAATATTGTTCGTCGATAATCAAGGTGCTATTAGTTTGATTAAAAATCAAGAACATCACAGGAAAACCAAACATATCGACATAAAATTTCATTACATAAGGGAACAAGTAGAGAATGGATTGCTATCTCTATCGTATGTCTGTTCAGAGGAACAACTTGCAGACATGTTCACCAAGCCACTTCCAAGAATGAAATTTATAAAAAATAGAAATGCATTATTCATCTCTGCAAGAACGTGAACAAAGAGTGGGAGTATTGGAAAACAGCTTTGTTCACTCTGTGTATTATTTCATTTTGTTTTTCTTTTATGACTCATTGTAATATGTCTTATGTTTTCATAGAAACGATAAGTTATTGATTAAACAAAAAATAATAAAACAAGAAGTTTGAGAATGAGTTTCAACTGATTTTTCAATTGCAAAACTTTTGTATTTCTGCTAAATCCAAAAGAACTCGCACCAGTATTTTGCAGATTTTTCAACCTATTTATAAGAAAGGGGTTTTTCCTTCTTGTTGAAAGATTACTTGCGTTCAGCCTATTCCCAAAAAGGACAAGAAAAATCTTCCAAAAGACTAGATACCAGTCACTTTGCTATCAGTGATATCAAAAATCATGGAGAAAGTCGTAAACCATTATATCCTCAAATATTTGGAAGGCTTCAACATCTTGAGCGACTTTCTATCGTCTGTTACCCATATCTGGAATTACGCAATCGAGGAACATGGAGAATCAAGAGCTGTTGCGCTTGATATTTCTGAGATCTTTGTCCGCGTGCGGCATGAAGGTTTGCTGGTCGAGCTTCGGTGCTATGGCTTGTCGTATCATTTCTGTGTATGGCTCTTCAGCTTCCTGAAAGAACGTTCCCTGCAAGTGGCTGTCGATGGATATATCTCCATTTAGATTCCAGGACATCGGCTACGGAGGCACATCTTCACCAGCAGCAGGAGGATGCATGTCTTAATGAGGATTTAGAAGTGATTTCGAATTGGGTTGAAAGTAACCAGGTTCAATTCAATACCACAAAACCCAGGCATCGGTTTTCTTCAAGAAGATAAATGACTCCAAACCGGATTTAATAATGTCAGGTCAGATAATTCCGCTTTCTGCTTCGATAAGTTTGTTGAGGATTAAAATGGACACCAATATGTCTTGGCACAATCATGGCGCTGGAATTGCAAAGGCTGCTTCTCAAAAGCTTGGAACTACGGTTCGAACCAGAAAAATATACTTTCCCAGCAACTTTTGATGCTTTGTAAAGCTCAGATCATACCTTTTTTGGAGTATTATTCACATGTATGGAGCTCTGCCCCCAAACATACCCTGAAGTTGCTGGATTCCATCCAGAAAAGAGCCATCCGCCTGATTAGAGACGCGGACATCACGTGCAACCTTGATAGCCTGGAACATCGAAGAAAGAAGATTTTTTGTCTAAGCCGACGTGTTCACGGAGTCTTACTTCGAAATTTCTACCGGTCTGACCTGTGTACGAACATCTACAAGAAAGAAACACGGTCTCCCGATCGTGAGTCGGGCGCACTACCACCGCGGCTAATTCCACAACTATTACAAGCAACATCAGATTTGACCGAAATTCCTTTCTCAACTATACGTAAAATAGTCAAAAACAAACCTTATGAACGCAAGACGCGATGTAGTAAAATCATTGAAAAAATGAATATACGACTGTTACAAAAGTAATCAGATTCCCACAACTGAAATTATAAGGAAGAAATTGAATAGTTCCGGCCATAACGTGAGCTGCTGTGATAAAACTCTTCAGAATTGGATAAAGAAACTTGGATTAAGATTTAAAAAGCAGAAGAATAGTGGAATTGCGTAACAAATACTTAGAACAAATAACTAAATATAGACAAGAACAACAGCAAATTTTCTATTTGGACCAAACTTGGTATGACACTCACGACACAGTTACGAAAGGGTGGACTGATGGTTCGAGAATGTGTACGCCTAACATGCCTGCAAACAAAGGATCGCGACTAATCATTGTGCATTGGGATTCTCCCAATCTGGTCTGTAACATTTCTAACATAGGGGAGAAAAGCTTTTCTCTTGACTAGACTTGCTGGAGTTACTTCGGCGTTCCCTCTCCTGGATCGTTAATAAATTAGTCGGTAACCTATATTCAATTTTATATGGCATTTTTGAGGATCATATACCCAAATTCAAAAACTTTAGTCATGTTTATTCTAAATAGTTTCATTCTTATATCATAAAGAACATTAAACAGAAGGCTAAATTCAGAAAAAAAATCAGGAAATTTAGACGCACATGATAACTATCTTGCAAACATACAAACAATGTCATCTAGAGTTCCTAGCAGATTCTGGTAATATGTTCACTCTAAGAATAATAGCACAAGAATACCAGGATCAGTAACCTACTTAGGAAATAAACTCGAGAATCGTCAAGATATTGTTGATGCCTTCAATAATTTTTTCAGTGAGGTGTATTCAAAATCTGGCTCGCTTTTGAACAAAGTTCGTACAGTAAATAATAATGTTCATATTTATTTTTACCCCGTTCAAGAAAATGAAGTTATATCTGCAACTAAAAAACTAAAGGACAAACTGACATCAGGCCCAGATATGATCCCATTATTTTTGCTGAAGGATTGTGCTGGAGCATTGGCAAAACCTTTAACGATAATTTTTAATTCATGTCTAATATCTGGAACATTCCCAGATATTTGAAAATTAGCTAAAGTATGTCCTGTATACAAAATTAGTGAAAAATCAAATATAGAGAATTACAGGCCCATATCTATTTCATCTATCTTTTCTAAAAATTTTGAGATTATTTTATATAATCGCATATATGCTTCTTTTCAACGGCAACTATCTCAACATCAACATGGATTTTTTACTAAGCGTTCTACTGTTACAAATCTAGTCATTATTACTCAATTTATTTCCGAGACATTAGATAACAATGGCCAAGTTGATGTTATATACATGGATTTCTCTAAAGCATTTGATAAAATTGATTATGGAGTCTTGCTCAATAAACTGATGAGTTTTGGTTTTTCAAATACTGCCTGTCAA